GCAGATGGAAAAAGACACATAGAGATCTCATTCATGTAAATATATACATACACCTGTGTGCTGGGGGATCTCCTTTCTTCTGCTACGTACTGCTTCATCTTTAATTTCCCCAGCCTCCTTCTCGTTTCGTCCTGCCAGATATATGAAAACGGCAGTATAACCATTGAATTTACTTCCCTCCCTCTGTATATAATATATACCTACCCCGCCCATTTCTTTATTTAACGGCTAATGCAGCTCCCAGTCCAACACACATTATAACTCACGACCACTCCACGAGGCGTACAGCATGGGAGTCATAACTAACGCTGTCAATATTAAACGAGGGGTCACAGAACACGTGGGATTCCACGAGGACAGACATGCGTGAGGTCCCCGCGATTTAATATCTCTTTCAAAATTCTCATTCTCGTTCTCATTTCACCAACACATTCGATCAATTTTCAGATTTTATTTCACATCCTATATATGTAGCCTCCTATTCCTATAGGGGTAGACCGCGCGCGTACCTATTCTGCCCACATGCATGCATGCACGCACGCACGCACGCACGCACAAAAACAAGCAACTATGCAATTGTTACGCCTCATCATATTATTAACTAATTAATTATATGCATCCATTAATTAATCAGCAGGTATATATTTTAATTTAATTTCTTCAGGATATATATGTGACGGGGTTCGTTTGGCTTATTAATTGGGAATCGGTAATTTGTCGCTGAGATTAATTAATGGGGATATGAGGTCTGAACGGCGCTGGCAGTTTTGGACGCAAGTCGAGGGCCATCCCAGTTTGGAGGAAGTTGGATGATCCGAGTTGGTCATGACTGTGATATGGATCAGGATCATGACGCGGGCATCAAATAAACAGGGTCAACTAAACAGAAGCGTGATTATTATTATTATTGCTGCTTCTCCCATGATTATGCCAATTAATTAACAACCTAGCTTAACTGTCATGTCTCTCTCCCCCCCTAATTGTCCTGCAATCTAGAGAGTTAACAAGCCGGTGGCTTGTTATGGTTCTGGAAGGTTTTCTAATCATGTACATATGCGGTTCTCTGTGATGGGCTGGCGGGTGCGAGTGTGCGTGCGTGGAGGAAATTAAAAAAGAATAAAATATAGAGGGAGGGTTGAATTGGTAATTAGCAAGGGGGTCATCATGATAATGACCGTGATCATGGTTGCTTTGAACCTAAACAAAATTCCAAACGACATAGGCCTAATTAAAGGGAGACCTAGACGAAGCATTTTCGGATTTTCATGTCCGCTCTCCATTTCATCTCGCTATTTTCTTGGGGTCCATTCTGAAGCTGACATTCCCAACTTGTGTTTTTCATTTGTTCTTATTCCCCTTTTTTATTTTAAAGCCCTCTCTCTCTCTCTCTCTATATATATATATCTGTATTCCTACAAGTAAAAAGGTATACATGCATATGATTGGCCGGGGGTATAAACTATAAAGTAACACTTGTGGTTTGAATTAATACTCATTCTTTCCTGTGTGCTTTATATAAAACCAGACCACACGCACCCAAGAGAGCTATCCGAACAAACCCCTCAATTACTGCGTTAATTTTTGGCTTATTATATATACTTATATATATACGCATTATTCAGGCATACTATATGACTCTCGTTTTTGGCGTACGCTCTCCACATGTAATTTTTATTAAAAAACAAATGTGAACAATCTTGAAGTATAGTTGCTGTTATTTTCAATAAACATTATAACGAGGGACAATTATTTTAAAAATAGTACTGAATATATTGCAGTACACTGACGCGCGATTTGACAAAGCAACAAGGAACACCTTACAACTTCAAATTGTGTGTGTATTATGAAAAAGGAGGGGGGCAGGAGACTAATGAAATTGAACTTTGTACCAACTTTCATGCCGGCTCGTCAGTTGTGAGGGCACAAGGATTCCAACTTTTGAAGAAAGAAAGGAAGGAAGGGAAGCAGTCCCCGGGGCTGCGGATCTTGCCGGTGAAGTGAATGGGATTTCAACTCTTGCACCAGGATGTGGCCCAAGAGAGGCCCACTAGTCACCTGGGTCCATCGATCTCATGTGGGCTCAAAAACTTTCTAACCCATTTGAGTGATGGGCCGGGCGGGGGCAACGGCCAGATGAAATGACGTCACTGAGAGAACTGGTGGGAATGGCATGTGTGAACTGTGAAGGAAGTAGGGCGGAGAATTGAATTGACGGGGGGAAGAGGTCATGCCTGAAGGAGAAGGCTTCTGGAAGGTAAACGCAGGAGGCAGGCCATTTCAACGGTCATTATATTTTAAAATCGAGGAGGAGGGCCTTACGCGCACTCTGAATTGACAAGTCAACGCCGCTCAATGTTCCAACAAAGAAAGGATGGGATGGGCTGTGAGGGGGCGGGACTAGTTCAACATCCAAAACCCCAAATTTCTTACCCGCTTTATAACTTGTCTGACATTTCTGAATTCCCTCAGATTCAGGTGGGAGCAGCGTATTGTGATGGATATGAATGCATATATAGAGGAGCATTACCATCCATGTATCTATACCTCCCCCCAAAAAGCGCGGCATTCTTTTTTTTTTTTTTTTGGCCAACAAAGCGCGGCATTCTTTTTGGGGCAGATTGGCACTCTCAAAGAGGCGCTTTAATCAGATGACGTCGCTGAATGCGCAGCATCTTTTTAGTTCTAAAACAACAGAATTCAGTTATCCACTCAGCTACTAGTAGTTCTCGCGAATCCAACCGCCCCGCCAAGACATATATAGGCTGAAGTGCCCACGCCACAATAATTAATTTAAATAACACAATTAAGCTGAGGCTGAATTTTAATAGCGCACAACTAACGCCGTGGTGGCGGTCATAATTATAGAGGCGAATTTTGCCAAGCGCATTGCCCTTCTAATTTGACCGCCCCTCCCCTATTTATTTACTTTATTTAATTAATTAACTCCATTGCCTTTCACCCCTTCCAATTGCGCCTTCTACTTTCCACAAAATCCCTCCCTACTAGTGTCGACATACAATCACCCATGCCCTCCTCTCCTCCGATTTTTTTTTTGGTCTATTATTACTACTATATTCCAAAACTAATATACTCCATAGGTCCTTAATATAAAACCTATTTTGTAGTGTAAATTACACTATAAAATTGGTCTTGTATTTGAGACCGGATGGAGTATATATTATCATCCTCTGCTTTAAGGGAACACTTAATTTTCTCTCTAAAATTTCAGATCTAACTCGATATCTCAGTTTTAAAACTGAGCTAACCATACGCTATTTTGTAACCGCTCCACCCACATAATCAAGTTAAATTAGTTCATTAAAGTTAAGCGGGGTTTTATTGAGTTTGTTGATCATCTGAATTAATTTTTTATTTAGTATTATCAATCCCTCAGTCCACTTAATTAACCTCTCTGTCCATATTTTGAATGAGTTTCGGAAGCAAGGATGATTGCCAAAAAAAATATATATATTCAGACGTATTTCATGGAAATCAAGTCTTATGTAGTAATAAAGAATGACGATAAAAATCTGATGGAAAAGAGGCCCTGCAACGGCCAGCATAACGAAACGTGAACAACATAAATTACGTTCTCCGAATCGTTTTATAATTAACTTTCTTATAAAAAACGTGTCACATTTTTTATAATTAACTAACTTCCCTAACTTTCTTAATCTAATCAAATTAGTTGAATGGGTCTTATATTAAGGACTAAAGAAGTATTATATGAGCGGAGTGGGATGATAGAGCGAGGGAAGTCAATTAATGGATAATAAGGTGATTGATGGAATGAATATGAGGCCAGTTGAGTTAATCAGATGAGATGAGCGGAACCGGGAGCATAGAGCCGGGAGAGACACGAGGGAGAGGGAAGGTTGGTGGACGTCGCACGCTGGCCAGTATGGCTTACAACTACCACACATATAAAAGCGGACACACACAGCACTCAACTCGGGGGTGACATTGGAAATCAAAGCTCTATTATATTCCATATTCATGTGTCACACAAATGAGAATCTAATTCAATTTGTTGCTTCTCTCTAAGACCACAACATCGCAATCCAAATGGAATCTTATTCTCATTTCATTCACACCCTTCCCCATTATTCAGCTCCGGAGAGCCAGCCACGTCATGACGTCGCCGCTCGTATACCCTCCTGTTCCCCCTTCAGTTCCAAGACACGCTCGCAATTCAACTTGCTGCCTTCTATGAATAATTATTGTGAATCCTGAGGATGAGTATCTCCGCGCGCAGTTCATAATTCATGAAGGTAATTACACGCAATTACCAAAGCGATAGAGAAGCAAACAAATATATAGTCAAACATTTGTCGACATTTATATATAATCCAGTAACATCTATTTTCCAATATTTGTGGTTCCCACTTAATTAATACCCATGCATGTCAGCCGGGCCATCTCGAATAATCCGACTCGATTATATTCGGTGTCAGTCATTTCATTAATATTATGACGTGAGGGGGAAGGAAGCGGTCAAGCCCTGATAAGCACCGATATTAATTACGAATCTTGCATCGTGTAAATGAATTTCTTTTTATTCCTCAACTTTTGTTTTTGGCCACCTCACTTTCATTCCAGAGTCATTATTCGGTCATTTTGCATTTTAAATGATCAGAGTCCAAAATCCGTTAGTTTGAATCTGATCAGGTAGGTGGCTTTGTGGTTGATTAAACAATCATGAGAATGATGCTAAGATTAATATCATATGATTGAGTGAGTTAAAAACGAATGACAAAAATTGGAGGGAGAGGAATAGGAACAGCAAGATAAAGAATGGAGGGAACGCGATTGGAAGGTTCGTGAGACGTAAAGAAGGAGCATCCTCTGAAATCAATGGGGAGGGGACCCCACCTTCTGCCTAGCCTGCTCCGTCCATTCTTCTCTGATTCGATTCGGTGAGTCCCGCATATAAAGTCCCACCCCAAGACTCCTTCCCTCCTTCTCACTGTCTCTTCACTCCCTCCTCATCACCCACCATCATGCCTCCCCTCCCCCTCCTCCTCCTTGTCCTCCTCCTCCCCCCTCCCCTCCCCCTCGCCAGAGCCCAGGTCGGTAACACCGGCCCTTCCGGACCTTACTACAGCTCCTACACCCCCTCCGTCGCCATCATCATCGTCATTTTAGTCGCCGCCCTCTTCCTCACCGGCATCTTCACCATCTATATCCGCCACTGCGGCCAATCATCCGACTCCGCTGCGCCCAACCTTGCCGCTCGCTCCAGACGCCAGGCTCGCGGTCTTGATGCCGCCGTCATCCGCTCTTTCCCAACTCTTGACTACTCCGCCGTTAAGATTCACAAGATTGGAAAAGGTGCCCTTGAATGCGCCGTCTGCTTGAACGAGTTTGAGGACTCCGAAACACTCCGTCTCATCCCCAAGTGCGACCACGTTTTCCATCCCGAATGCATCGACGAGTGGCTGGCCTCCCACACTACCTGCCCCGTCTGCAGGGCCGACCTCATCCCTAAACCGGGCGACTCCGTTCATGCAGTGCCCGTGCTTGAGTCGCACGCCAATATGGAAACCCAAAACGAAGCTGGGGAATCCCCGGGGGTTGACTGTGAGGCCGCCGAGCCTGACGTTATGCGAGTCAATCAGAAGCTGAACCGGAACGGCACGCGAGGTTCTCGGTCAAGTCAGACGGTATGGTGGGCGAGGTCTCACTCGACTGGGCACTCGCTGCTCCAGCCCGGGGAAAACAGCGACAGATACACTTTGAGGCTGCCGGCGGACGTGAGGAATCGGCTGCTAAATCAGAAATTTCATCGGGCGACAAGCTTGGTAATCTTGCCTGGGCAGAGCAGTTCAAGGAAGGGGTATCGAAACGGAGGTGAGAGTAGTAGCAGGGGGAGGTTTTCAAGGCGACTGGACCGCGGGCTTAAATCAGACCGATGGGTTTTCACGATGGCGCCGCCCTTCTTAGTGAGGGCGTCATCGGTCAGGTCTCCCAAGGTGGCTGGCAACGGTGCCGGCGTTGAAGAGACCTCCTCCGATCCCATCATGCCACCACCGGCGGTGGACTCGTCCCGGCCTCCGGTTTAGGAACACACCTTTTGCTTTGAGCCTAGATTTATTACGCGGGTGCAGCAGTAGTGCAAAAGATGGAGACCTTCTGCTTCCCTCTGCAACAACATCTTGTAGATTCACCTAAATTTTTTCTCAGCCACGATTTCCATTCATTCCTATAGATCGCTGGGCTGACTTGGTCGGAATAATGTAATTAATCTGAAGATTGTTGTGTGGGGCATTGACCTTTGAAACGAGCACGATGATATGCTGGCCGATCGAAAAAGAAACGGGCACCATGTAATAATATAGAAATTTGCACGATAATATTAATATTTTTTGGTGTGATAGCCCGAATACATGTAATATGGAGAAGTAGCTTATTTTCAACTCTTTTTTTGTTCGGCCCGATTGGATTTTAAGAGCTTCTACATTTCAAAGAGTGGACTGGAGAAATGAGAAGAGAATGTCATTAAAAATTGTAGAGGTAATAATATCTTCAAAGGTTGGTCAACGAAGGAGGATACGATTCATACACGCATAACACAAAAATATAGTCTAAGAGAATTAGAGTACTAACTTTGAACTTCCGGGAAAAATGCAGGAACAGTGGCAAGAATGTATGGGATAAACTAGAAATCTTGGTTGACTTTACTTTTTATTTTTACATTTTCAAAACATTTTTATTAAACTGGAACTTTTTGGATTCGATAAGCTAAAAAAAAAGCCTCCGTTTAAATCATTATTTAAAAAAAAAAGCTCAAACAAAAATATGTGATAAACAGGCTTTACGAACATAAAACAAATTTCCTTGGGTTCACTGGTTTTGATCTGCAACTAATATTGATATGATTTTTTATAATAATTTGATATATATATATATGCAATATTAATGAATTAATATATGATAATAAGATTTTATGCAAACTGAGTAAATAAGGTAAATGTGAGATTGGTGGAAAAGAAAGAAAGAAATTGTGCCCAGACTGACATTATTGTTATACTGGACAAGTCGTGGCGGCGTGTACCTGTGTTTCATAAGCTGATTGAAGGAGGACAATGAAACTGTAGACGCTTATATATTCTATTCGAGTGCGGATAGAAATTGGGGCTCAGTTGATTATTGATTTTTGATGGTACTGGGAAAACAATGTGGGGGCTAACTATCAATCAATATGTATCTTAGTATTGTCACGCGACACGAAGAATTGGTGTAGCTTGGGAGGCAAGAAGTCAGCAGTTCCAACTTCCAACTAAAACAACGTCGTACACCTCAAATACAGTAAGGTCAGGATGCCTATCACAGTACCAAACGCATAAGCAATTATACCCTGCGACACAAGTTGCTCAAATACAGTACAGGCAAGACAAGCGAATCAGCGTAACGACTGACGGCCATTGTGGTCTCCCTGGACACCAATCAATGGAGGCCTGCTTGGGGAAAAAAAAAAGATTATTGCTTGGACATGTGCGTTACCTTTTCCTCTTCCTGGGCCTCACGTCCTGCAATTTGGATTCTTTCATCTTTTTTTTTACGTCGGCCTCACTACTACCATGGAAATTGAGCACCACCAACTTTTATGTTATCTTAGTTTTCAAAGATTCCTATTATTTTAGATACTTTCCCGATCAATTCATTCTCGGCAACATAGAAAGTGCTCCTTGACTGACGCTGGCCCGTCACTACGAGGAGTTCCCTTGTTGTAATGATTTGTTGGAGGCCATAATGTCAGAGCAGACTTTATTCCGCCACATCCCTCCGCGTTTCTAATAACTTGACGCCATTCCTTCTCTCCGCCCGATATCTCCACGCACGCGCCTTCTGAGATTCTGCTGCTCCGAACTTTCATCACCACGAAACACAGCCCTTGACATGACCTCCCGGAATTCCAAAAACCTCAACAATATTCCTTTGTCTCCTTCGCTTTTCTTTAATTCAAAAGTGATTCCACCATCACTACCATTGATCATTGTCCCTGTTACCCCTTGGCGCCGCCCACAAATATGTCGGAATCTACTCTCACTTCCTTCTTCTCCATCAAAATTGCCTTCCGTCAACTCATTTCCTGTGTACTTATTGATTATTTTGTTAATTACCTCGCAGCCGAGTCAACCCCTCATGAGTCATAACAAATTAAATCATTTTATCATTGTGCTCATCGCCTCTACATGTACACATGGACAATGGAACAGAACATTAAAAAAGGCGAGTTCTAGAATCGAGAAAATGTGCTCGAAGACTGCACCTGTTTGTGATTTACACACACACACACACATATTTGAATCATCGGTCCATATGTCTTTGCTTTTCCATGACTGGAAGTGAAATTGCCCACGAAATTTGACGATATTGTGGCCAGGAGCAACAAGTACATGTATCTTCTTCTGGCGCTGCCGGTACCTTACTCACACAGAACATTACTGAAACAACAATACTAATGGACTGGACTCGATGTTTGTCTGCGAAGTTTTGGGGAACTAAATGAAGCTGCACTTGTGTTCCTGACAAGTGGTATTAGGGACTGCACCACGTCTGTCATAAGCGGTCTGTAATCTGCTTCTGGCTGTGCGCACATGGCTGCAATTGCACCTATCTATATACAGCGAATCAGCATCACACAACGCTGTTAGTTAGTTGATGATGAAATATCTATTAGTCCAAGTGGCTCTACGATAATGGTAATAATAAGTAATAACCACCAAATTAAGCTGACCTGAATTAGATCCTTCTCCGAGTAGTGTCCGCGCAGAACTGGGTCAACCATTCCCACCAGCTTTTCTCTGTTCGTTAACCTTGGAAGAGCCTAGTAATGTTAACATATTGTTAAACCTCAAAGTTATATATACAGCAAGCTGAAGAGACATACATGTCCATACGTGCATATTAACCGTATAGGTCGGACCATTTTAATTTTCCATTATTTTGTTTTCACTAACCCAAGAGACGAGAACATGTTCTCCGGGAGGTCGTTTGATATCAACCGGCACACGTCCAGTGAGCAACTCCAAGAGAACCACCCCGTAGCTGTACACATCCGACTTTGTGGTGAGCTCCCCTGAACACGCATGCCTACGTTCATTCATCATTGAACCAACTTTTTAGAGAACATTACGGAGAAGAAATGCAATTACAGGTTGCCTGAGAGGGACTAGACTGGGTGCATGTGGATTCGTTGTGCTTGTTTTATTTTGGGATTGAGCTGAGTGGAGAAGATAAGGAAAGATGCGTAACAATCACATTCACACAGACTCACTCTGGAGCCAGATATCCGGTGGTCCCTAAAGCGGGGGTGGAAATCTGAGCGTTGATCTTGGCCCGAAAGTTGTGATCCAGCAGAACGTTGTGGGAGTTGAAGTCACGATGCATCACCGGCGGGACCGCATGCTCATGCAGGAATTCAAGAGCTCTGGCACAATCAAGGGCTATCCGCAAGCGGGTCCACCAATTCAAGGGTTTAGAATGGCTCGTTCCAGAGTGGAGATGCTGATGCAGCGTTCCATTGGGAATGAATTCGAATATCAGTAGCCTGTGCTGCTGGTCCGCACTGTACCCGAGCAACTCCACCAAATATGGAGAGTGCAACCGGCTCAGCATATCCACCTCCAATCAAATTAAAAGAAACAAGAAATTTGTCAGCTAGCGTCCACATCCCCATGTGCAACATTCGAATGCAGCTTATCACGTCAGTTGTATAAGAGATTAGGGACTCGCATATCCCCATTTCTGGTCCCCGAAACCCCATAATTCATTTGTCTGCTCCTACGCTTCTGCTAGCTTGGAAAAGAACAAGATTCTTATGAGCAAGGAAGGTTGCCATTTTGTAGGCTATGCAATATACAAGTCCTTTCTCACTTTAAGATAACTTTGGTTTTGATTTTACCTCTTGATCAATCGGCAGCTTTCGTCTGGGGAAGACGGGAAGGATATTTTTGAAGAACAGAGACAGAATTAATACGCTTCGCTTCAGAAAAACAAAATGATATTTTTGAAGAGCAAATAGAATTAAGTGCCGGGGAAAGAGGGCGTGAGAGAGAGAGAGAGTAAGAACCGGAGACACTAAATGGTAGTGTAGTAAATAGAAGAAACAAAGAGGTTGAAATCATGAAATGAAGTGGTGCCGTGATTCACCTCAATTCGGAAGGCACGCTCGCCCTGCCTGCCTTGCCTTCGCAACAGCTTGATTGCGGCTAGAGTGCCATCACTTAACACTCCTCTGTAAATGGAACCAGATCCTCCTCTTCCAATCACATTTGCTTCGCTGAATCCTTCTGTAGCCTCTTGGAGCTCCCTGTACGTGAACACTTGCACTCCTCTTTCTTTACTGCATCCTCCTGCCCTGCTCATGCCCACACTCCCACCACTAAGACACCCTCCCTTCACAGCTGCAATTCAAGTTCTCAATCAGCCAGCTTTCATTTTAATTGATGTTCTAATTAAAAAGCACCTGTTTTGAAATTAATAACATATATACACAAGTCAAATAACCTGGACTAGAACCCAAGTTCATGGTGGCCGAAGCCATGAACCTGCAACTGGGGTCATCAAGCGCTGAGTTGTTTCTGTTACGAGTCAGAGCTGAATTCTTGGGGGAGCATTTCAGCCGACGAAGCATGAATATGATCAGAAAAATGGTAAGCAGGAGCACCAATCCCGAGGCGACAGCCACGATGATAATGAGAATGGTTTCGGAGGAGAAACGGAGATGATGGTCACGGTTTTGTGGATGCAAGGGGCGGTGCATGCCAGTACGAGGCTTGATGGTATCGACTGTAGTATTAACTTCCATCATCACGCAGAGAGGAATCCCGGAGGGGAGAGCTGAGGTTGTAGCAAGGTTGGAGCGGAGATGTGAGACAGAGAGAGTACAAGTAAAAGAAGGGGGAAGCAACGAGTAAGCAATTAATTGAAATGCTATTTGATTAGGATCTCCGCTTGCCTTTCTGTGAGGTAATTTCTTTATGTCCTTCCCGTGAATAATTTGGTCCAGCGGTTTTGTAATTTGTGCACTACATGCGTCCCTGGTTTCCGAATTGTCTCTTTCTAGTTCCGTATGAGAATATTTTGTTAGCTTCTGGGCCAGTGCCTTTCAATCATGCTCATCTCGCATCTAATCATTTCCTAATTATAGATTATAAATGACCTACCAAACACACCCTGCAGGGCATGTCCATATAAATATCATGTGTGTCGTTTTTCTCATTCTTGTTTCAAGATTAAGCGCGTCAGGTAAGCACCACGTGACTTTTAGCATGAGGACATTGGGGCCTTGACCAATTAAAGCGTAAACGGGTGCAAGCTTTGCCCAAGCTGATTAAACCATTTCCTTCTGAAATCCGAACCGGGGACAAATTCGCTATAGCTTCCACGTACTAATTAAACAAATTCACATGGAGTAAGCTTTAACTAACTCCACGGCCATATTTGTTCACATGCCCGCAACAAATTAATTTCGACCTGATTAATTTGTGCATAAAAGACAGCACAGATCATGACCGAGAACATCATTCATCATGATTCATGTGTTCAAGAGTTGGGGTGGTGTTTTGTTGCCGTAAATGTGAAAACAGCCAGAACTGTAACCTGCGGGTCACACGAGTCACGGGACCGCAAATGGCTTTGTGCCCGTGGTATTGCCGTATTGGCATGTAGGTATGTACAAACAATACGAACTACTCCTCCTGTACTTAATATAGGATCCAATTGTTAAGTTGGTTTTGGTCCTAAATATAAGACTCATTTCTCGTATTTATCAATTTTTTCTAAATTACCCATATGGATACTCCTTTAACCATAATCAAATAGAAGAGGAAGATGGGGTATTAACAAAGATGATTATGATATTTTAGGAAAAACATGTCACATTTATTATAATTAACTAATTTACCTAACTTCCTTAATCTAATCAAATTAGTTAAAAAGGTCTTATATTAAGGATCGGACGAGTAGCATTTATTTGGGGGAAGGACCTGGTCAACAGAATGCTGGATGCGTTATGTTGCGTAATCATCTGTGCCAAAGCTAGACTCTGACTTTTAATGAACATATATCCGACTCTTGTTCTTGTGATGCAGGTATTTTCTGTCCACGTACGAGGTCTCGGCGGAAGCCCACCCCGATGCACGATTGTTTCGGGCTGACCCTGTTCAGATCAGATGAAATCTGACTGAAACGGAGGTCACTCTCCAATGCTCGCCTTCACCTGTTTCTATTTCTATAGTCAAAATATGGCATATAAGAAGCCCAATGCCCATTTATCAAGGCCCACTTTCAAAGCCTACAACCCGTAAGCCCACCCACCGGCTTTTGAACTGAGATGTTTTGGCTTGCGTACGAACGGAATCTTCGTGGGAGATAATTTTAAATCTTGAAAATGGAGTGAGCAGCAAGTAATCTTTCAATCATAGTTATTTTTGTCCTTTTCTGCGGGCACAAATTTTCTTCGGAATATGGAAGAATGAAGGTATGGATGAAGGGGGGGGCCACGACAAACGAGTGCTCGTTTCTTCTTTATGATCCTTTTCCTTTTTATTGCGGGATTCTTTAATCATTCGGCTTCCTTGATAAGCGGTTGTGGATGCTACGTTACAACGTGTTTTACAAATTCAGTACTTGGTTGCAATAGGCGATCGGAAGGATCACTTCATTTGTAGGCTGCTTAGTTTGATACAAGTCAAGGTTGCCCTGCTAGCTCCACCCACGGTTGGCGGTTACTGCTCAGCCAACAAAACAAGTTCAGCCGACCCAAGCATCATACGAATTTGAAGCTGAGTCATGAAATTACGTGCATGCGCATATTTGTTGGCGTGTCAGCTCTCAACCCCTCACTGGCCCCCACTCCAAAATCTTCACGTTCACTCTCTTGCCTGGCTCAAGCCCTGTTAGGGAAGAAGAAAATAATGCTGGTTGCGAGCTGTGAAGGCAGCCTGCCATGGCGAAACTCAGTTTCTTCCACGTTCGAACTATATATGATGCACAAGAGAGGTATGTTTCTGGTGTTGAGTCAGGAGTATTTCTTATGTGTATATACACGTCTCTGACGTGCTATTGCTTCAACTAACCACGATTTCTGCCGCCTGTCCATTGCTTCAGTGGAGTGTATATGCAGGTGGTGCATGATGTGCAGGCATGTATATGCATGAGCATGCAGATGCAGATAATGTCAAAGATGAAGATAAATAGATTATATATATATATATATATATATATATATATGCAGCTTGTTAGCATGATGATGTTGCGGGTCCATTTTAAGTCCCTGTGCACACTCTTCCGAGTCTGGGGTGGCTGTATCTGCAAAATGGCTGCTGCTCAGCTATGGACAAATGATCCGCAAACATTTGATTATATTCCTCTTCATTCCGCCTCCGACATAATTATGTTGCGCTGCCTTTCTCTCTCTCTCCTTCCCCCACTCCGCTTAATTCTTCAATTTTTTTTCCCGCGCACATTTTTTTTCCATCCGTACATCACTTCCGTGTTTTTCCCGTATCCATCAAGGTTTTTTTTTTTTTGGGGCTTTGCCCTTTGCATGTTATTATGTGTGTCCATTTGCACTCTACAGCATCATTTTGAGCTCGGATTTCCGCGGCTTCTCTATCTTATGCAAATAAAACATCAGCAAGGAGAATGACAGTTATGCTTCTAAAATTATTTTTCCAAAAGCTGTTAGGAATTCTAATTATAAATAAGGCATTTATATTTTAAATATCATTCCCAGCTCACAAATTGAAGCTTTTGTTTACAATATTTTTGTTGGAAATCAACTGTCATTACGCATTCTGCCGGGGCTTAAATCCCGTTGCTCCTTATTCGTCTTTGTAGCTTTAAAGACCCCCCCTTTTTTTTCAGCATATGGCAAGCTTTTTTATACTCCTCTGGTTCTTATTATAAGACCCAATTTGACTTTTTATTTGGTCCTAATTATAAGACCCAATCCATTTTGTCTCTTATATTTATGCATTTTTTCAAGATAATCCTTCTAATAATAATAGTTTTAGCCAATATACTTAATTAGCAAGGATATTTTAGGAATGACAACACTTATTTATTATAAATAACTAACTTAACTTACTTCTTTAATCTCCTCAAATAAGTCAATTGGGTCTTATAATTAGGACCGGAGGAGTATGTTGTCTAGCAGCGGTTTTGAAACTCGAACTGATCCCATCAATCAAAATGGTCAAAGTAAGCTTAAATTTGGCCAATATTTTGGGTTATCTCGAACTTAATTATGCACACACTTAGTTGGGATTGCTCTGACTAAAATAAAACGGAAAAAAAAGGTCTGCCTTTCAAAATGGATCCCCAAGACCAGAGTTCTGTAAAAACGAAAATACTCATCTGCTCATATTTATAACGCAGCGAGAGAAGATATTTTTGTATACTATTTAGAACTTACCAAAAGAAATTTTATATACGAATGTATAATTTTATTCCTCATTCATTGTTATATTTATTTTGTTTTTATATGAAGTATAATGTATATTAAATAAAGATAAAGTTAAAAAGTTGTTAAATTTTTAAATAAGAATTCATAAAATTTAAGATTTCTCTTAGTTTGTATAAAGCATGTTGAAAATGACTTCTAAATAGAACTATAAAGTATCAATCAATCATTACCGTTGAATGTTTGTAACGTCGTCGGACTCATGACTTGATTGCACCGGAAAAACGAATGGTCTCGGTGTTCATGGTTTTTAATTTCCGAGTCAATGTGATTGGAAACCGAAACTTAGAACAGAACCTTGATCCTAGTGCCAAACGGAACAAAGTGCGTTTTACTAGATTTTCAGCTCCTGCGTTTGTCGGTGGATATTATGTTGGATCATGAATGTGGTGGCAATCTTTAACTTTATCCCGCATTAAGAAACTGGGACGGAAATAAATATGGACTCATGGGATTTGTGGGGTGGGGATTTAAAAAAGAGACGCTGTACTGGTTATTTTAAGAAACCGGGACGGGAATTGGCGAAGAAAGAAATATATGAACAGTAAAAGATCAACTTGTACGGGAGAGCAGTGTTTGAGAAGCCCGAGGTGGCATCGTGGTTAGAGAAAGCTCACTAGAAGAAAAGCACGAGTCAAACATGGAAAGAGCAGAGGGCAAATATTTAATGTCGATGTTGTGTTGCTTGGTTCTTTTGTGCACAACACTTGAATACTTAGCAAGAAACCGCGTGAGTTTGCGTTAGGGTGTGTCATGCTGTCCCCTACACAGAGTCCGAGAAAAGGAAAGGAGCAAGACAAAGTATCTGGGGATGTGAAGTTTGAAGCGATCAAAGGTAAAGGAGGGAACGAATCCCGGCGGCATGTGGGAATATTGAGTCAGAAAAGCCAAGTTTCTAGTCCAAAAGCAGCAGCAAGGAATCCCTCCTCGCAAAACACTACCTGTGCCTTGTGCTGAAGGTTTCGAATCCAGCGGAGAGTGTTGCGTCATTCAATGCCCAGCTCTGACTCTGTCTGTGCGTAATACTTACTGGAAAGAAGTCGTTGGACGCATGGGTCGGGGCAACAATCCGGTCCAACTCCTGCCCGACCCATTATGAGGCCACGCGCATGGAATTGGCAGCATTTACGACCCCGAGCAATGTGAGAAAAATATATAAAATAAAGGAGGAGGAGGAGGGCGCACCGAAAGCTGAGGGGAGTGTTGGTGGGTGAAGAGAATGAGTGAGGCGACAGTGATAAATGGGGTTTCAAAGAGACAGAGGGATGAGTGGTCAAATCAGGGAGGCAACAAGAAGACCCCAGAGGCAGTTAAAGGCTGAGGCATGTGTCCCCTCTATCATGTTCATATTCCCACAGCTGAGTTTTCACTCTGATAGCGACCTACTTTTAACTTGACATGTTTCTCTAATCACCCTCCATTGGATCCTCAGGTACAGCGCTTTGTCTGTCTCTTTCCTCTCTGCACTTCTCCGCTGTCCCATCGCCTTCGCTCCCTCCCCCTTCATCCAATTTTTTCATTGCAGAGGGATCACATTGAATTGCCCAGCTCTCAATTGTGGGGCTCATCTGATTAATTATGGTTAGCCCGGTCCGGCTACGTGCAATTTTATGTGAGGAATAATTCCTTTATTTGATTAGAGAGAGGGGGGGTGGGTGTGTACGTGGGAATCTTCTATTCCTTGCAATTTTCATTACGAGTTTGAGCACAAGTCGCTCTTGAGAGCCCTGACCAGGGAAAGAAATTTCTGACTTTGCCGTCGAGGGAGGGCATTAAATTCCAAAAGAGTACCCTTTTTCATTTTACTGATTGATGTCTCATACATATGAAGAGCGGTCTGAGTTTGGGAGCACTGCCGAGAAAAAGGCAAGATGGAGGGCGGGCAGAATTAGAGAAGGCCCTCGCCTACATCCTGTTGAGCCACATGAGAGTAGTTCCAGAGCACAGACCAGTAAGATAAGTCTGACAAACATAATTGCCATTTTTTTTAATAACAGAACAGATAAAAAGGGCCTTGTTTTAGAATCTATTTAAAACAATTTATAAGTAGCTTCAATCGTAGTTTAAAAAATATAAGATAAGTATATGAGAAAAATTTTATTTCGATTTATATAAAACGTGGTTATAAGGATTTTTACTGCCATCCAAAACAGGCACTTAATCTCAGCGAGTTCTCACGACTGTGTCCTGAAGTTACATGTATCCAAGACGCATATAATTGATTACGACCTCGTATTTTTGTGTACATTTGAAACTGAGAACAAACAAATTTTACTTCGTATATGAATAGCAGTGACGGCGATGGAAGACGTGGTTTACAGTGAAGGGATTGGAATATGAAAATGATGAAAACAGAAAAGGAAAAGGAAAAAGAAACGAGAGCAACGTCGATGGGGTTGGGGCTTTTAATAAGGAGGATAAGCGAGTGAGCAGCGTTGGAAAAGCAGAGGTCAAAGACAGGCACAGGCAAATAAACTTCACTTGCAAGCCACTCGGGTGTCTCATCAGCGAATTGATGCCCGGCTTCTTGACTCGTACCCCTATCAAAAAATGCTCATTTATTTACTGTTTATCAAAATCCCACTGTCCGGGCCCCCGCCTCACATTTTCATTCCTCAGCCCAGCCCTGCACTCATCCTATGACTTGCACGATTCTACTTCTCTCATCCAATGATCTTTGAGTGGCTTTCTTCACTATCTTCTCTTTTCATGCAATACTTTCTTCTCCTGCATTCAACAAACGGATACTTGTTGCTGTGGCGTTTAAGCATAATCATCTCTCTCCTCCTCTTTAAAAAATAGTGAGGACGAGTCTCAATATTAGGGGTGAATAAATAGAAAATTGACCCTCTATTTTCCGCCTAATGGAGTCCCGTGTATCAGAAATGGCGGAGACCGGCACTGCGTTCCGTTCCGTCCCATAAGGTCCATATGTTGTCCTATTATTTTATTTCGCCATGAGGTGTGTTTGTTACTTTGTGTTGCCCTTGAGTGCTGTGCGGTCAGCACTCGTTTGTGTACATTTTGTGCTTTTTATTCATTTGAAATTGTCATGTTATTTTTCAACGAGCCCATTGCCATTTGACATCAATTGCCAAATCATAAATGCTCTGTGTAATCCATTACATACTAAATACTTCTTCTTCTTGGGTGAAAGATTATTAGCTGCTTTAAAAACATACATTATTAATGTATATCAGGCTCCCGATAAATTCTTAAAGCCAGCCATCATGCTGTCTTTCCCAATTGCAAAAAAAAAAAAAAAAATCTATGATTCATGCGTAATAATGAGTCCTCAACCTCGTATATGGATAAGATTATAAGAATCTTTCACATATACACAGCAAAAAAAATGCTCAAGTTTAGAGACCAAGAGAGTTTGGCCAAAAAAAAAAAGACTAAAGAGAGAGTAATCGGCCTAAAGAAAAATGGGGCTCGCTTGTCCAGTTGTTTGCTTGTTTCCCTTTCATTTATTAATCGCGTGACAGGTCACACGGCAAACGGGGGGATCATTGCACCAGAGACCCAGTTCCAGGACCGTAGAGTCAAAGCGGTCAAAAAATTTCCCCAACCTAAAACCGTAAAGGCGACTTACAGGGCAAGAAAGCATAGTCCTATCAAAATATAATACTCACAAAATAAGTTTAGTTTCCCTTCCCCATGAAAATATAATATTCCCAAATTATTAATTACTAATTATTTATGTTTTCCGAAGTAAAATTAACTACACCCGGTAGCTCCAGGGGAGTGCTCCAACAGTGCGGATATTTGACGAACAAGTAAAGTTAAAACTAAAGGAGATGAGCGCCCAGTGCTGGCCTACGAGCCGCCCCTAAGTGCCCCTTTATAAATTAAAATCTTGAGAATCTTTTACACAGTTCTCTCATTCTCTCCACCCTCACCTTCAAATTCCCCCTCTCTTCTTCTCTCTAAACCTTCAACAATGGGTAAAATGGGTAAGCAAGACTTGCCTAAGTATCAGGTACACACTTATTTTATTCCTCGTCTTCACCCCTCACACTAGATTGGACTTTAGATCCGTCTCACTCACTGATTTCCCTCCAGTCTTGTTGTTAGTTGTTTTATCCCGAATGTGCTGGCCTTGACTGATTTGTTTTCCCATGCAGAGTTGTCTTCTCAAAGTGAATATCCACTGCGAGGGCTGTGAGCACAAAGTTAGGAAACTGCTCCAGAAAACTGATGGTATGCCCCATAACCAACAGGCCTTTCTATTTTCTTCTCCCTTGAGTTCGCCTCAAATGTACTCAAGTTCTGTGGGGTGCCTTTGTTTCAGGGGTTTATTCTGTGAACATAGATGCGGATTCAGGAAAGGTGCTGGTGGCAGGCAACATGGATCCAGCGAAACTCATAAAGAAGCTCAAGAGGTCCGGCAAACATGCTGAGTTATGGGGTGGCCAGAGAGGCAACATGTACAATCAAAACTACCCACCCATTAACCAGTTCAAAAACATGCAAATTGACCCTACCAGGATGGGAAAGCACAATGAGCCTCACAAGGTGATGGCGAAGAACCAGCAGAAAGGGGGCGGTGGTCATCCGCCACACTTCCAAAATCAAGGAGCCCAGAATCTCATGGTACCCGTCAAAGGCCAGAAATCTGTCAAGTTCAACTTACCGGAGGAGGAGGATTTCGATGCCAGTGACGACGAAGACCTCGACGAATTTGACGACGACGACGAGGAGTTTGACGACTACGAGGATGAGGAGGAAGACGACGAACAGGTCGGGCATGCGCATCCTCTGATGCCAAACAAGGCCAACATGATGGGCGGAATGGCCATGGCGAACGGACGCGGGCCACATGGGCCAGCCATGAACTTTCATAAAGCTAACGGTGGTGTGAATGGCAAGAAAGGTAACGCAATCGATTTGGCCGTACAAATGAAGGGCAAAGGTGGGAATAAAAATGGGAACGGAGGCGGGAAGAAGAAGAATGAGGAACGGGGAGGAATCAAAAAAGACAAAGGAGGAAAACGGAAAGCAGGCGGTGACAAGAAAAATGGCAAAAACAGTGGCGGTTTCTTGGGTCGCTTGCTGGGGTTCGGGAAGAAAAGCAAGAAAGCAGACAGCCCCAATTTCAAGAAAAACGGTGCTCCCAACAACAAAGCTAATGGCAAGGAAGCAAAGAAAAGTGGAGCCAGATTCGAGGGTCACAAATTTAAAAAACTAGACGACGACGACGATGATGGTTTCCAGGATTTTGATATTCCCATGAAGCCAAAGCCTGGCAATAAGGGAGTCAGGGGTAACGGAAATGGGATGCCAGGAAAGACGGGCCACATGCCTCCTCCGACTGCTCAAAGGGGCCCAATGGATCAGATGAGGAATATTCCGGTTCCGGCGGTCCAGGGTCTACCGGCGGCGGCCGGCATGAACGGCGGCTTTTACCAGGGAATGCAAATGCAGCCTCCTCGTCCTCTTCCCTATAACCCCCAACAGCAGCAATACATGGCTATGATGATGAATCAGCAGCAGGCGAATATGAACCAGATGTATCCAGGCATGATGTACGGGAGGCCGCAAGCGCCGATGGGTTACATGCCGCCGCCGCCCATGCCGTCGCACCCAATGGCGGATCCGATGACGCACGTTTTCAGCGACGAGAACACCGAGAGCTGCACGATCATGTGAATGATCGAGTCTGTGTTGAATTTAATTAAATGTTTTTGTTTTTGTTTTTTTTTTCCTCAAGTGATGAAATTTTGTTTGTAGAATTAGAAATGTGCAAATATTTAGGATATTTAGCAAGAAGTAATCTGAGCACAAGGCACGGTGTATTGGTTGGGGTTGGAAACATCATTTAATGGGATTGCCCGGCAGAGTCACAACTGAACTCACATGGCTTCCCTGAAATTCTGAAACTGGGGCCCCCGAATAACGAATTGAATGCTCTTCTTCGCTTCAATTGTGCTGGCCTGGGACTAGTAAAACTATTATTAATGCTCTTCTTCGCTTCAATTGTGCTGGGACTAGTAAAACTATTATTTTGATATTATTTATAGATAAGATCATATAATTTCGACAGAAGGTAGTATAATATAATGATATGCTAAAATTCATATTTATTGAACTGTCTTGTTTAAAAGTTAAACATATCAAAATTTAAAGGGAAAATTAGAAAAAAATTTCTGTTTGAAATTTTAATTGACCAAAAGGATTTGAAAATTGTGAAGTACAAGTATGATCCGTGAGTTGTCTGCACTTACACAAACCAAGTCTTTTTAGTCAATTAAAATTTAAAATACAGATTTTTTTACTAATTTTTCTAAATTTAAATATCTTAAAAGTTGTCTGCACTGGTATTTAATTTGTTCTTCCCTTTTTTTGGGCCCCTATCTAGGGTGTATGGATAAGTTTTTCGTAATTCTGTGGGCGTTCCCCGCGCAGACCTTCCTTCAATTATGAGTCATGAGATGAGAGGCTACTGTCATGTTGCATCCTGCAGAGTAAATTTCCAAGGGTAAATGAGTAAATACGGTTCTTTGTCAGATGGAGCGGGTGTATTCTTGTGGTACTGTGAATGCGCGCCTGCGCTTTGACTTCATCGCATCTTCTGCAATGATATGGGAGGGCAGAGTAGAGATCGACCGATCGTCTGAATTTTATTGGGCTGAGTTCAAAATTTCTGGCTTCGCTAACTGACAAAGAGTCCTACGAATAAACTTAACTGATGACTATGAGTCAACATCTTAGCTGGCTTTTAGATCTGTGAGCGTCTCTGCTTTAATCCTGGAATTGCCAGCACCAATTAGTTTATCATTTTAAAAAAAGAAATTCACGCAACGGATTTTTAGCTGCTGGCGAGCACACGCCCCTCGTACTGTCGTTTTCTTTTCTTGTTTTTGTTAATATTCAGATATTTTTTTGGTCCATACCAAACATACAATTTGGCAATTACGAAAGACAAATCTCCTTTTCCCAGTTGACCGGCCGCCGGCGCCATGAGATCTCTCTGTTAAAAAAAAAAAAACGAAATTGTTTGAAACATCTTATGATTTAGAGCCATCATTCAAGATATGATGAAGTAGAAAAAGCAGAGAGCAATGATACGGGGAGCGCGTAAAGTATTAGCTTTCTCGCTATTTGCTAAACGCCCGAAAAAAGAAAAACATGGGAAAAAGAGAAAGAGAAGAGAAAAAGAAAAAAAGAGAGACCGAAAGAGAAGCAGGACTCATTACACACTGCGGCTTGGGTGCCTGTTCTGAATCCTGATGATGGCTGGCGACAAAGAGAATCCACAAACAGTATTTTAAAAAAAATTAAAATAATACTATCCTGATATTTAATATAAGATCTCATTTGACTTTTATTCTAGTCTTAAATATAAACCCAGTGCACTTTATCTTCATATTTATCCATTTTTTCTAAAGTAGTTTTTGTAATAATAGTAGTTCTAGTTAATATACTTATTAGTAAGGATATTTTAACAAAGATAACATCTATTTATTACAGATAACTAACTTGATTTATTTTCTTAATCTACTCAAATTAATCAATTATTTCTTATATTTAGAACCGGAAGTAGTATAATCGGCGGCTCACCCTTTGACCTTGCACCTCCAATGCGTCTCATGCCTGAGCTTACGGTTGAAAGAGTATGTGGGTTTGGGGCAGGAAACAGGCCTAGTGTCGAAGTGGGCTTCCTTCAACCCAATAAGTATGGGCTTGAAATTAAGCCTAGACACGGCAAGATCCAACATAGTTTTTAGACCGGGGGGGGGGACCAGCCCGAATCTGTTTCGGTTTCTGAGAATCTGAGGTCAAGAGCATGGTGATCAAGGCGCCGCCATCCGCCCATATTAATGAGTACTGCCTTACTGAGCTCGGGGACGCTCCACCTGCTAGCTTGAGATTCAACCCCCTCTTAGCCTCGCTGTTTTTTTTTTTAGCCCTCGACCCTCGTTTACACCGCAAAAAAAAAACTAGTGCCACGTGACCTTTCACTTCATTCTTTATCATTCAACCTTTTTTAAAAGTTTGTTCATTGAATATATTTCATAGAGTGAAAGAGAATATTTTTTAAAATGATTACACAGATTGTGTGATTTTTTTTTTCACTTTTTAAATACACTAAAAAGGTTGGATTCTTGCTTGATGCCTAGCTTAAAAGATGAGCAGGCTGCCAGGCTACATTTGCTCATTCCTATCTAAAGAAGTCCTAACCATTTTGAATTGGGCAATGACAAGTTGAGTTGGGCGGGCTTCTTTGTCTAAGAGTGAAGCCCTGTTCATACCACATGCAAAAAAAAAAAAAATCCAATTGTATTTGAAAAATACATTTCATTTATCCTATAATTAACTTTTAAAATGTTAAAATACATAATACAACCAATGCCAACAGATTCAGTTTAATAGATACAACCACTTCCCTTACGGATCCCGGCAAGCAAAATACAAGACATATTATTGTGAAAGAGTATGTCATTAACTTTTGTTGGCCTGTATTCAGGCTGTGTCAATGCCAGTTTTTTTTTTAGTCATGCTCAAGTTTCAACTCATAATTACTCAAGTCACACAAATTTTACAACAGTAGTTACATTAACCCAACATAATAATTTCTCTCACCATGCACATAAATTGAGTCATAGACGTGTTATGCTATAATACCAAAATGTGAACACACAATTAACATGAGTTTAATTTTTGTTCTAATTATTTAAAAACTGGAAATAAAAAATGAAAGGTATGAGTGTCTTACCAAAAAAAAAAAAAGAGGAGCAAGATAAAAGGAAAGATGCATGATTAAATTTTTTTAATATTTAAAAAAAAATTAGTCTAAGCTCGTTTATTTATAGTTTATTAAATTTAAGTTTACAGTGTCTTAACATTTCATATCAAGAGTATTTGGACTTTGAATGCAATAGTCTACAAGATTATTATCAGATTTTTTAATGAAATAAAATAATTATAATTTGTTTTAAATATAATAATTAATAAATATTATGTTGTAATAATTATACAGGCACACATCTATCTACTTCGAAAATTGTAAATTTATCGTGTTTGATGTCTTAATACAAACATTATATTTTTAATTAATCTTTTAATATATAAAAGTAGAGTACAAAGCAAGAGTTGCTGGCAGCATGGCAAATGGCATCAACTGTGAGTAGATAAATTTGTTTCTTTTGTTTTTTTTAAAAGGCCACATTTTTTACCCATGTTTCCACCCATGTTGCTAATATTCTAATATATCAGCTTAAATTGGTCACTTAATATTTAAATTGATCTATAAATAGATAAATTATAGGAAGAACTATATTCACAAAATCCAGAAACATGTGGCAATTTTTTATTATATATTTATCGGCAATCTTCTGAAAGAAATCCCTAATAATTATAATTGTGTCTTTTATTAATTATTAATAGACCTAAAATATCAGTAAATCACAACCTTAGAACGCGGGCATCTTCACACATTGTTAAGTATCATTTAACTTAAAATAAAGATCCATAATAAATATTTTACTCTTTTTTGCCAGTTATTCCGACATTGTAATATTCCTTTTTAAATTGTTTTGGTTGAATTGTTTGTTCTTAAAATAAAGATCTAGAATAAATATTAAAAATTTTAAATTACAAATATATGAAAATGACATAACTTCCCTGATTCACCTCGATTTATTTGGGTGCACGATTTCATATTTTCTAACTAGATTTCTCTCGATAATGCTTTTATCGAGTCATGATTTTTGCTGTCTTGATCTGCCAATACTTATGTTTTAGATTTGAACTCCTTACCATTTCTTCAACAATGCTGTCTTCATCTCTATCTTACCATCTATATGTCAAATTTTACTCTTTATTTTACATCAGTCATATATAGCCTCGGAATAATCAAAATCCCATTAATCCTAATATTTTGATTTTGATTTGATTTGATTTAGCAACTGTTTTGGATTTTCTTTGATTTTGAGTGTGAATGCTGAAATATAAAGATAGGAATACACCTCAAATATATAAATTACTCTTCCAGTCTTTAATATAAGAAGTAATTAACTAATTTGAATAGATTAATGATATTAGTTAAATTGGTTAATATGATTTTTTTAAAACATCATAAGCATTTTCCTTAATTTCTTCCCTTCCCCTCTTACTTGATTATTACTGGGGGAATATTAATAAGGTTGATTTGGGAGTAATTATGTTGAATTTGTTGATGCTGGGTATGCATTGATTTTAGCATGATTAACTTCTCAAAAGAGGTCAAGTTGTCAGATATTGGGCTTTATTTAAATATGGGGTATAATACTGAATAATAAAATGTTGATGATGGATCTATATATTTTGCATGCCTTGAAAACTTATAGACACTTTACTTTTTACACATATTAAGCTAAAATGACGACTTGAAACAAACATGTGATATTCACTAATTATTTTGTGATTATTCAACATTTCATAGTATATGAAAGAATTTTAATTTATACCCGTGCATCATGCGGGTACTGTACTAATTAAAAAATAAAACGAAGTATAAAAAAGTTGTTGTGATTTGTGGAAAAAAAAGAAGGCCTCCGGCCGTTGTGCGCGCGCACGTGTTTTTTTTTTTTGGTTGGGGGATAGCAAAACTGAAGAAGAAACTTTGAAAGCCCCGGCCCAAAGAAGAAAGAGAAAAGCTCGCGAAACGGCGAAAGGAAGAGGGAAGGGCAAACGAGTGGGAAGCGGCAGCAGAGGTGGCGCGAGTGACCCCACCCACAACGTGTCCGATCCAATGAGAAAGCAGGAAGGCACGAAGCAAATATAAAAATTTCTCTTCCCTAGCCATCACTTCGCTTTGGTTTCTCCCTGATTTCTCCATTTTTCCGCGCTTCGTTCCATCCCCCACTGTTCCAAAATGCATTCTTTCGGCTACAGAGCCAACGCTCTGCTCACCTTTGCTGTCACCATTCTCTCCCTTATGTGCGCCCTCGCCTCTTTCTCTGATAATTTCAACTTCCCCACTCCCACCGCCCAAGTCAAGGTCCCTCTCTTTCTCTTCCCCTTTTTTTCTTGCTAGTTTGTATTCTGTAGATCTTTATCTTACCACGTTTCGTCTGCTACCGATTCCGTAGTCCCAGTATATTTTTGATTGGTGTATCTATGTATTTGGGAATTTAGGTGCTGAACATTAACTGGTTTCAGAAGCAGCCAAACGGCAATGACGAGGTAATTTTTATCTTTTATGTATTTTGCTTGCCTGTTGATTTACCCTCTGTTTTCCTCGTGATTGCTTCTCAGCTGGTTAGGGTCTTTATGGCTACATATATCTCCGCTTCCTGGACTTCTTTTTCCAGATTTAGGGTTGGGTTTTGTTTGAGACAGAATATGGCCTCCGAGCATTTTGTCTAGCTTTCCATTGTATACGGATGAATGCCATCTCACCACAGCCGATTCTGTTTTAACTTTCTGCAATATAATCCTTATTTACAAACTTGATGTAGAGATCAGAGCTTCGGTAGCTCCCTCTTATCCTGGTTGTGGGGTAATTTTCTTTAAAATCAAGCAACGATTAGTTGCCATTTCAGGCTTCTGAGGAAGGAAAAACCTGCATAGTTCATCCCCGTGTACTTAATTATGAGCAAGTTGAAGCCAAATGATTTTTGGGCATTCTAAAATTTGAGAAGCTGTCTCACAATGACTTGTATGTGAATTAGTCTGCACCGAAGATGATTCTGAGCATACTTCTGAATCAGGGGAATCATCAGTATGACAATCTGTAGTTCCATCACTACAATCTGATTTTTGGGCATTGGATGGAAGAGGCTCTAAGGCGAATAATATAGAAGAGCTTGAGCATATCGATCCCACTCATTTTCTAATCTTTTGCTCTCTGGTTGTGAGGATATAAGGTTAAAACATCTCTTAGATGACAGCATAAATTAATTTGTAAAGAAGAGGGACTACATGGTTCACTTGTTGAAGATGTTGTTTGCTTGTTTCAACTTCCGAAACTGTCAACTGCTTAGCTGTAACTGCAAGCAGTAATCATACAGATCTGTTTGGATGAGTTAGGTATGATAGAGATAGAACGTAGGTGCAAACATTTTGAATGGAATAATTTGAAAGAAAAAAAAAATTCATGGCGATGTCTAAGTAAAGAAGATGTGTGCTCATGGCCTTTTAGGTTTCAGCATCATACATAGGGTGGATCCACTCTTGCTACGATGCCAATAATTAGGCTTCACAAAGGTTGAGTGAGATTTCTATGTTTCAAGAATATTCTTGTTTGTAGTTCTTCTAGTCCCTATCTTATCAGGCATAACAGGGAGGTTTTCCCCGGGACGTGTATTGGTCGAATTTCTCATACATTATATCTTGGTAGATTTAGATCAAACCTATTTTGCCATACGTCATGGACTGCAAAGCTGTGTGAAAAAACATGTGGCTGGAAAGGAATCTTGATATTCTCTTGTGCAACCAGTGGGACAACGAAATGACTAGCTTCTGCGATTTGATGGGGTCTTGTACTGTTTCTAATTCTTATGCGAAAGAGTAAGAATTAGATATTTGTACTTTGTATCTGTGTTCAATATAAATATGGAATGCTGGCCAGTATTTTTGACTTGCCATTTATGTGTTCAAATATAGGTATACTTGATGAAGCTTTGAAGGCACCAAGTGTTCTTTCTAATCTATTAATTTGTCCAAGAATTTGCTTCGGATACCTGCAGAGTATCTGTACTTTTGACATGAAAATAAAAGTGATAGTGATACTCTTGCATGCTTGAAACTAAAGCTCTTGGTCCTTACTCCATTGACAACTCTGAATGTTCTAGGGGACAGCTTTGCTCCTCTCTCTTGTTTGTAAACTTTGTATGAGTCTTTGGTGATGATTTTTCCAGATCCAGAATCTCAAAAAATAAAAATCAGCGACAAACCAGGAACACTCGAGGCAATTTGGAAGTGATAGTGGTTATAATCCATATCACATTGTGTCATAAACCACCTCATTGTGATGCCTTCTAGCTGATATTCAAAGGCTTTTTTATTCTTGCAGGTCAGCATGACACTGAATATATCCGCAGATTTACAAACTCTCTTCACATGGAACACAAAACAGGTTTATAATTTGAATTTGTGAAATTCGTTGTGTTGAATACTGATTCTTTAAGTCTTTTGTCCCTATTTCTTCCTTAAAAGCATGGATACATTTACCATATGGGAGGCGTTTAGTACTGTATTGGGTTGTGATGTAGTTCCATTGCCCTTTCAATACTTTCTGCTTCAATTCTTTCCATCTTTAATGCTTAAGGTGCCATACCTCTGCATTTAGACTTTGTTTCAATTTATAGAGACGATGATTTATTGACATCATGCTCCGCATTCTCGTGTTGTGCGCAAAATTACACAAGTTTTGGAAATTGTCTTTAGAATACTTTGCATGACACACGAGATCCCAGTTTGTGATAAATTATTCCAAACCAATTTGGAAGCTTAAGAAGTCCTGAGATGTTTTGAAACTTAGTTTTGCCTCTTTTGATATGCTTGTAGGTTTTTGTTTTTGTAGCTGCCGAGTATGAAACCCCAAAGAATTCCTTGAATCAGGTGAGGGATGATCAGTCTGGTTGTTATTTGTCACTCATATAGCCATGTGAAACCATCTGGCACTGCATCTTTGACTTCTCTTACATATCAAACTTTGTCACATTATCTAATACACGTGGCTTAAGCTTCTGGGGTGTCATATTACAGATATCCCTGTGGGATGGAATCATTCCTTCTAAAGAGCATGCAAAGTTTTGGATACATACTTCAAATAAGTACCGCTTCATTGACCAGGTACGCCATGATGTGTTGTGGGCAGGTGTTAGTGTGGCTAACATGGATTACCTGAGAATTTAATTATTGCCATTTTCATGGATCAGGGAAGCAATTTACGGGGGAAAGAATTCAACTTGACGTTACACTGGCATGTCATGCCAAAAACAGGAAAAATGTTTGCTGACAAAATAGTAATGCCAGGGTATCGATTGCCTGAGGAATATAGATGAGTATTTAATTGTGTATTGTTAATGTTGTTGCTGTAACTTTAGACTCTAAAGGGTTAGAAGGCCAGCTTTAAAGGAACTAGTATCAGGGGAATGAATTCTTGCTCGAGTTAGTGAAATTCCATGGCGTTTGAATACTTGAGACATTCCAGACGTTTTGCTGTCTTCTTCATTTGTCTCTTGCGTTGTTCTGTTCGGGCCGAATGACGCTGCGTCTTCTTGAACCCCCTCCCCCTCCTCTTAAAACCAATTCACGCGGAAAAGTGCGAGAACTTTTTAGATTTCTCGATGGCCAAGTTTAAAGGGCGGCCCTCTGTCCCTCGCTCTCGTTTTTAATTTTATTGGCCAGAGACGGTTAATCTACATAGAAATTATATGAAAAATCTTGCAGTGGCTTCTAACAAGTCATTTGGTATTACAGCTTGTTGGCACTGTTCAAGGGATGTAATTCTTTTAGGGTGAAATTGAAGCATTTTTTTGGCAGAGAAATTGAAACTTCAACTCAAAAAAAAAAAAACGTCAACAGAGGGAAAAGATTCCGCGCCATCTTCTTTCATTGACCGCCTTGAAATAAGAAGGGGGGAATGACTAAAGATGTAAATAATATCAGCAATTTTATGACATTTTCTAGCTAGGTAAATAGTGGTATCTTCAGTAATGTTTGAATAAATGACGCTAATTGTGTTTAATTGACAGAAAATCGAATTACTTTTATTATTGCTCTGATAATATATTATTTTCAGTCGACTAAAAAAATTACAAATTTATATAATTATAACATATTTTTTTATGATTTTTTTAAAATATTTATATGTATTATTAGAGTATATATCAATTTATAAATGAGACAAATTAATTAGAAGAAGAGATAAATATAAATATAAATATTTTAAAGTAATAATTTAGTAATTTTCTTAATATCTTCAAATTAGTCAATTAGAGTTTATATTAAGGAGTATCCTACAATAAACTTAGAATTACTAAATCTCAAACAAATATTTTTATAATAATTTATTATTTGAAATTTAGTAATTTTAAGTTTTTTTTGGATTCCCCCAAATTTAATAAACTTTTTTAAGAGAATAAATTAAAATATTTTTCAGATATAGATCAAATGTTTAAACATTTAACAAAAGTTTGATTGATTAATTTATTTTTTTTATAAATCATCAAACTGCAAAAAAATCTGTGATCTATAAATATGGAATCTCAGAAATGCTTCTCTCCCCGCCTTTACGCGTAAAAGCCTGAGGGAGAGAGTCGTGAGAAAGCGTTGGATGCTGAAGAAATCCCCAGTGGATTTCGAGGTAATGGCATGGCCTTCGCTTTCCCCTCCTTGAAATCCTCCTCTCTTTCCCTCTCACTTGTTCTCATCTTTCTCTTCTTCCTCCTCAACCCTCCCTTTCCTTCTCCCTCTATCCGCAGGTCACTTCTTATCTCTAATTCCACCACTCCCACTTCCTCCTGCTTCTCCACTGGATCCCACTCCAATGGCCTCATCGACTACTTCTCCATCCATCATTGCCTTTTCCAACATAACTCCTTCCATTCCATCCCTTTTCTTTCTCTATTCCTCCTTTTACATTTCTATATCCTCGTCAAAACTGCCCAAGATCATTTCTCTATCGTCACCACCAAGCTCGCACTTCACCTCAACTTGTCTCCCAGCATGGGCGCTGTAACCCTCTTAGCTTTGGGTAATGGCGCACCCGATGTTTTCGCTTCCGTCGCTGCTCTTCGTGGCGGTCAGTACCGAACTGGGCTGGCTGCGATTCTTTCTGCCGGAACCTTCGTCTCGGCTTTTGTAGTTGGGTTCGTGGCAGTTTACGCCGCACCCTTTTCTGTTGATCCCGCTCCCTTTGTGAGGGATGTCTTATTTTACTTGATCTCCGTCATGTTCCTCTTCTATGTCTACCTTAGTGCTGAGATTTCTCTATGGCAAGCTGTTGGCTTTGTGGGTTTTTATTTGTTCTTCGTTGGTTTTGTGTTTTACATGGATTTGGGATTGGGAAGTCGTAGGGATAAGGGTGGGAGTGTGGGGAGTTTCGGTGGAGATCTAGAGGGACAAAAGGAACCAATTACAGCCAGCTGCGACGTCAAAGTTTCAGGAAGTCTACAGGAAAAGAAACGCGTTTCCAGAATTCGTCGCAGTTTTGAAACGGTAGGGATAAAGGACCCTCGGACAATTTAGGTTTTAATCCATACGTTTTGCTAGCCATGAATTTGTTTTTGTGGCCTTTTATTGTTATCTCTGTATATGTGAATCATGATCTGTCAGTAACTTTCCTGTCAATATATCAACGACCGGGTGTCGTAATTTAACTTTTACCTTGTCTCTGATCGATGAAAGAAACTGTGGTTATGACGGACTACGTGATACATTATAGACGAATAGTAACTCAAAATTGTTGACGAGCATCTCTTGCGTCTAGTTTATTTGTAATATTCTGGATAATGGCTCAACTTTGTTCTTGTGGTCTTAAATGGCTTGGAGCCTAGACTTTTTTCCTGTAAAAATTTTCTTGTGGCTTCCCTAACTGGTTGATTTTAGCAAATATGTCTTCCCGAATGGTTAAAAGATGTAAACATTATAGCTGATGAAGTCTCATTCCTAGAATAAGATATTATAAGATGATTAAAGCTGTCCTAAATGGCACAGCACCTCCAATTTCGATTTTCTTATGCTCAGTTTCCCATACCTCTGGCTTGATTCACCGTTTGTCCTAGCTAATGTTGTTTTATGCATGTATAGAACATAATGAAACCACAGTAATCTGATATAAAGGTCTTTTGGGTCATGTTAATAAACAAGCATTGAAGACCAAAATGTTTTCTGTATTTGATGCAAGAAAACCTTATAATGAGGGTGTTTAATCTATTAGTATCAGGCCAAGCTTCTTTTGCAAAATGGTAAAAAGACGGTTTGACTTGTCAATAACCAGGACTATAGGTAACTAGTTAGCAAAATCAAGGACTTGCTATGCAGAAGTCTTGAAAGTTTGTCGTGAAATTTTTTTTGGCAAGAAATGATATCTGCGGACATATTAAAAATAATGAGACATAAAACAATCAAGTATACAAAACATAGATAACGGCATGTAAATATTCATCCTTCTTTCTTTCACCCTTCTCTATTTTTCCAAGTTCCAAGCAACACAAGAAATTGATTTGGTAAATATATTAGTGACTAGGATCTGTATTTTGAAACTTATCCGGCCCTCAGGCAATCAGAGATTGTGAAACTCTAATATTTAGTTTAGTTGATTTTGTCCTTACTGGGATTAATTTTGATTCTTTAATAATTATAGACTTGACATTGTCCGGACTAATTTCTGATGTGTTTACAGATTTCAGTTACATGGGATCGTCCAGTCTCAATTCTCCTAAAATTGACAATACCTCAATCTGGACCAGCAGAATGGAGCAGATTTTATGCATCAGCTAATATTGCTCTTTGTCCCCTAGCCATTTTGTATTCCTGCAACTCATTGGTTTCATTTAGTTACCCAATAGTTTTCCTCCTTCCCAACACTCATTTCCCCCTCTGGTTGGTAGTGTTCATGGCAAGCTGCTCTCTTGCGCTTCTTCACTATATAATTGAAAAAGAACCCCCAAAGGCGGAGGAAATTCCTGTAGTGCTTTTAGCATTCGTTATGAGTGTGTTTTGGATATCTACTGTGGCCGGAGAACTGCTGAACTGCCTTGAAGCATTAGGAACGCTTCTCAAACTGCCACCCGCACTGCTTGGTTTTACAGTATTGGCATGGGGAAATTCAGTGGGGGATCTTGTTGCTGATGTTGCAGTTGCCAAAGCTGGCCATCCAGCAATGGCAATGGCTGGGTGCTTTGCTGGGCCAATGTTCAACATGCTTGTGGGGCTTGGGACTGCACTGGTGATGCAGACTGCCAAACTTTATCCCAGTGCTTATGTGCTTAAATTTCACATGGGTATTGTTATAGCATTTGCATTCCTGCTTTTGAGCCTTATGGGGTCTCTCCTAGTGATCACTTGGTGCAGATTTCGAGTTCCTAGGTTTTGGGGATTCTGTCTGGTTGGACTGTATGTTGCTTTTACGGCAGTGAGCGTGGTGGTAGCCATGTTTTGAGGGCGATCGGTCTTGGGAGGCGGATTTAATTTCAATTGTTATATTGATGCTTAAGCTTAACCAATAAGCCAGCCACCTCTACATTTGCTGGTGCGGTCGCTTGGCTCTCCGCAGTGGGGCATTGTAATTGTTAGAGAAAGAACACTTTAGCAAAAGGGCATAGCAAAATTGATGATAGCCATATGGATGACGTTATTATTCCTTCCTTTCAGTTCAATCTCCCGGCGTCTGCAAGATTATGTGGTTTAATTGTAACGAGTAGAAGTCAGTGTAGCATCGCCGTTCGTCTGAAACGCCCCAGTGAATAGTCATTTAGGCATTAGGGCTATACTAGCTCAGATGGGGCTAACATGTTTTTGTAATCTTTCTTCGACGGTCACTACCCCCTTGTAAAAATGCACAATTTTTCTTTATATGCTTGCTGGGAAACGAATTGATCTGGAACATGGTTTAGTATCTTAACTGGTATTGCCACGACAGAAAACCTCACATTAGTTAAGGCTTAATTGTGAGAGAACAGGCTGTTTGACTTAACGACAGCTTATAGAACGAGTCTCGAAGTCAGAATCGGACTGCCTCTCAACTCGTCAATTAAACTGTAATAATTATCCCTGTAAGCAGACGGTGGGGGTGGGATGTACAGGACGTGTTCCTTTGGCGGACTCTTTACTGTACGTTGAATCATCAGACTCGTTCAGCCGATTCCGATTCGATTCTTGCACTAATGTCTTGTCCTAGGCCGGGGCATTTTTAACGCAGAGACAGTTCATTTTGGTGGGGATCGCATTCCGTGCTCATCCGGCTGGCGTTTTGAGTGCTGAGCAGCGTAAGACGTTAGTTTTTTTTTTTTTTTTTGCTTTTTTCTCTCTCCTTGTTAATCACAAAAAAGGATATTTTTTTTGTTTTTAATATAAAAATTTGTTTGATTTTTATTTTAGTCCTAAATATAAAATCCTAATTCACTTTATCTCTCATATTTATTTATTTTTTTCGTTAAAGTAGTCATTGTAATAATAGTAGTTTTAATCAATACATTTGATTAGTAAGGATATTTTTTTAAAATATTTATTTATTATAAATAATTAATTTAATTAACTTTCTTAATTTACTCTTATATTGAAAACCGGAGGTAATATATATTAAAATTATTTTGGATTAAGTTTTATCTAATATTCTGAAATATTTTTTCATATGTATTCAGTAAAAATATTAGATGCATTTAAAAAATATTTTAAAGTGTTGGATGAATCACAAAATATTTTAGGATACTATATATATTTGAAAAAATATTTCAGGATGATGGATGAATCAAAAAATATTTCTAGGAAGCTGAACTTGCCTGAAAAATAATTTAGAGTATTAGATAATTGTATCAGAAAATACTTTAAGATATGGAACACATCTGAAAAAAATATTTCAATGTGCTGGGTGAAATAAATGCGGACACCATTTTGGTGTGGTTTCCCGATTTTCCTCTACCATATTCATTTTTCACATGTTATTCTGATCAAAGTTATGGAGCACATTCCTGATCCTCCACACTTCATAATTTCATACGCTAGTGTGTGTTTTCTCTCGGACACCACTGAAATCATAGGTTGATGGAAGCAAGTAATTATCTGATCATCGTACAGGCTATTTAATTTTTGTATTCCCCTCTCAACTGAAACATTAAATCCCAGGAAACATAAAAATGAGGGGTAGAGATTGAGATTAAAAGTGTAAAACTATATTAAAAGAGTGTTTAGTATGAGTAATTGTATGATACTTGGGATTAGACAAACTTATATACTACCTCCGGTCCTTAATATAAGACCCCGTTTGACTTTTTGTTTGGTCCTAATTATAAGACCCCAATCTATTTTGTCTCTCATATTTATGTATTTTTTTCCAAAATAATCCTTCTAATCATGATAGTTTTAGCTAATACACTTAATTAGCAAGGATATTTTAGGAATGACAACACTTATTTATTACAAATAACAAACTTAACTTACTTCCTTAATCTCCTCAAATTAGTCAACTGGGTCTTATAATTAGGACCGGAGGTAGTATGTGGGGGGAATACTATGAGAGGATTGCCTAATCCCATGTGATAAGAAATCACTTATACTAAGTATCCTCTTAACATATATTTTCAATCTTAATTTCAATATTTATTTTTTATTTTTAATACTCCGTACCAAGGTTAATTTGGGTTTACTGGTATTTCTGTTACGGCCCACCCTCGGATACAAAAAGTCGCAAGCTTTCCGAAAAAATGGCAATCGGATGTAATGTTAAACACTGGGAAGGAGGGTCAAAAAGGATTGTTTATTCATCAACAGTAAACGAATTCATTATTCTTTGTTTAAAAAAATAAATTCATTATTCGCTATGGAAATCTACCAGTTTAGGCGTCAGGCCGCTACTAGCTTCATCTAGCTTGCCGCTCCCTTGCCATCTTCGAAGGGCTTCCTCTGTTTCGGTCTTTCTGGCCTTTCGGTGTAGAAAGAACTACTCATACCCTCATCACTCATCACCTCCTTGCTGACCTATTCAATCATTCATTCCTCAGTAGCTCTTTCTTTCCACCCAAGGGGCCATGCCCATCGCTTGTCTTTATGCTCACTTTAACCATTCACCAATAGTTGAACCCTCGTACGTTTTTGACCCATGCAATGATGTTTTCTTTCTTTCTTTCTTTCTTTCTTTCTTTTTTAAATGAGAAAAGGCAATGGTGTTTTCGATTTGGATGAATTATCTTTTTTTTTTCTTTTCCAAATCAGTCAATTCAGAAGTGTCGCAAGTGTTCTCTTGGTCCACGTTACAATTGATGAAGTCTTGCCAAGATGATTAGCATCTTGCCCACTTTTCTTGCAGAACAAATAAAAAAAAAAATCATGTGCTGGTTACTGACCACTTAATAACAATGTCTCAACAGTTATAAATACAATGAGCAATTTTTACTAGCTACATCATGGCTCCTCATTTCGTAAAAGTTTGGATCCTACGACCCATAATAAATTTTATATAATATATATACATATATAGATTACATTGTTAATTATGTTGTTTCACTAACTGCACCATAAAATCTGGCAAGTATTTTGCTTTGCTCGTAGTATGTTGTTGTCAACTATCACTAAGGTTCCGGCACTGGCTCCATTCCATTTTAGAAGTGTTATTTATACATTTAAATTAATATACGAGGAAATCAATTTTCACATTTCGGCGTGTGTCTTGCCCGTGTGTATATTGCGGAATTAAATGCTGACGCTGCCGCAGGTGCAGAGTTGGGTTTGAAGGGGTAAGTTCGTCGGCACAAAAAATCTTCCACCTCTTCGGAATAGGAAGTGGAAGGTCTTGGGATGTTAAATAAAAAGCCAAAAAATCAAAAACAGAAGAGTTAGGTTCTGACAATTATTAGTCAGAATCGATCACACTCAGCCTTTTTGGTACTTGCCCATCGTAGGTTCGTTCCAAGAAAACATCATTAATCCTCACGAAATTTCTGTTTTTACGTGCTTCTTCTGAAACCCTAAATTTTTGTACCCTATAAAACTTGGGATCTCTCCCGCTACGGAGTACTCCCCTATAAAGAGCTTCTGGCCCTCGACTTATCCCAGTTCTCCTGGCGTAGATCTTTCAACACGAAATAAAACAACGAACTTCTGATCATTTTTCACTTTCCCTTCTCCTTTTTCATTTCAGGTCCTCGATTCTGCAGAGCAGAGCATCACCCGTTGAAGAAGGTAGCAACTGTTGCTTCAATGATGCGTGTGTCTCTGTTTACGTATTCACATTTTCCTATTTATATGAAGTCATGCCTGCATAGCGCAACGTTGTCTTGTGAACTTCTCTTACGACTCTGTCTAAATCATTAATTTCTTCAGTGACTTCTAATTGGGCATTTTTCATTCTATCAGCTATGTTCTGTGGTTAGAACTTTCTCTGCAGCGAGAAGCATCTAAAGAGTCCAGTAGGTTTTTTTCAGCAACAGAAAGATGAAGTGATCTTGAAATCTTTTTTCTTTTTCCCCCTATAAGTAAGTTCAGCTCAATTAATATATGTAATTGATCTGGTCGATTGTCCCTGGATTTCTTGAAATGATTTGCAGCTTCTTAAGCGTAGTCTTCCTTTCGCAAAGATATTTTGTTCTTCACGAAATTAAAAGGTCGTTCTAATTATTATTTTTGTCTTTGCAGTTTGATTGGTGTGTATTATTTCTCTTAGCCACTGGTATTTCGGTTTGCTTAGTCTTGTCAAAAAACAATTTCTTGGGATTTACGTTTCAGATGTAATTTTGACACGGGAAAGCTGTCTATGTGTTGCACGAGAATCAGGAACACGATCACAAGAGTCCCATTTTTTTCACCTCTCGTTCCGATTGTGTTCATTTGGTGATTCCATTTCGAATTTGCATTAAGATTAGATGACCTCTTGAGTTAACTTGGCACAGGATGGATCATCAAGGGCATAACCAGCACCCCTCTATGGATCATCATCAACTGCCTTATGCTTCAAACCCATACCAGGCGACCCAAATAAGTGCGACACCGGGATCCGCTGTCACATCAGTTGGGACCATTCAATACAGTGGTCAGCCTGCGGGAGCTCAACTGGGACAACACCAACTCGCTTATCAGCACATTCACCAGCAGCAGCAGCAGCAACTCCAGCAGCAACTCCAAAACTTTTGGGCTAATCAGTACCAAGAAATCGAGAAGGTGACAGATTTCAAGAATCACAGCCTTCCGTTGGCCAGGATCAAGAAGATCATGAAAGCTGATGAGGATGTTCGCATGATATCAGCGGAGGCGCCGGTGATATTTGCGAGGGCGTGCGAGATGTTTATCCTAGAGCTGACTTTGCGTTCTTGGAATCACACTGAAGAGAACAAAAGGAGAACACTTCAGAAGAACGACATTGCAGCAGCAATCACAAGGACTGATATATTTGACTTCTTGGTCGATATTGTGCCGCGTGAGGATCTGAAAGATGAAGTGCTGGCATCAATCCCAAGAGGGACAATGCCTGTGGCAGGGCCTGCTGATGCACTTCCTTATTGTTATATGCCAACTCAGCATGCACCGCAAGTAGGCGCCGCTGGGGTCATAATGGGTAAGCCTGTGATGGACCCGACCATGTATGCCCAACAGTCCCACCCCTACATGCCGCAACAGATGTGGCCACAGCCTCCGGAGCAAAGACAATCTACTCCTGATCGTTAGATGCTGTGTTATGCATGTTAAGGTCAGCTTCGGGCTCTCTCTTTTCTCCCTCCCCCCTTATCTAAGTTTCTTTTACGATCTCGTTTCGGACTTTAATTTCCTGCTTTACCTGTTATTGCATTAGATGCATGGCGGTTTCTGTATGTTTCTGATGTTGGTTGTATTATAAATCTGTTATAGTAAATGTGCTCTGACTTTTCAAAGCGTATATTGTCGGTGCCTATCTCTGACATTATAGTGCTGCCGTCATTATTTGTCCTGGGAGACTGTGAACGTAAATATTTGAATCTCCCCTTCTCGTGCTCTTCTCTTCCAGAAGTTTGTTTCATTTGACCAGCTACAGTTATCTGTGCTCCTTTTGTTTCGTAACGTAAACAATCACATTTCTTTTTCTGCTGATTTTGCGCCTGATTTCTGGCTTGCAGATTACTGGTGCAGTGCGATGAACGCAGGACGTGAAATGGAGGGGGAGGTTGAGAAAGCCCTTGGCACTCAGTAACAGTAGCTTATTATTAGCTTACGGACAAAATAAACCTTACTTATATGTAGATAGTGTGCTCGGGGAATCTTACCTTTGATAAAGTCGGTGTTCTTTAATTGTTTTAGTTTAACTTGCGCTTCCTAAGATAGTAATAAGTTACTCACAGCTGTATAGGAGACTGTCGCTACCTGCTTGAAATTTAGCTTCTTTATCAGTGGAAGGATATATGCAATTTCAGGATTGCACTTTCAATTCCGTTATGATCACAGCCTTGGGCTTCATTATCATATCCAAATTGTCGCATACCACACGCAGGTCATATAATCTCGTCCATTTCTAAAGCAGGCGAAAGAGGCTTTCATTTTAAGCAATCATAGTACTCTGGCCAAAGCCTGAGTTTAACAGTGAGATCTTACATGGTAGATGGCGGGAAACCTTGACACGTACACCAATGCCCCCTTACAAAGGGCCGCGTGAAAGTGAAAATAAAAGAAGGATTCATATAGAAACTTGTTTAGTGCTTTCGAGGAAGCTTGACCTCTTCAAAAATGGCGGAAACCACGGCTTCTATCATTGGATTCCATCAAAGAATGGTGTATCATTTCAACTCGATAGATGTGCAAAACCAGGTACACGACTCATCTAGATCGTCTAGATGAGATTTTACTGGCCTAATTTCCTTTTTCTTTTTTAAATATTATTTTAATGATTTTTTTAATTTTTAATAATGTAAAATACAAGCTAATGTAAACGTTACAAATATTAATTGACGAAATAAATTATATTTGTATTAAAAAAATCTTGATCTAAAATTACAAAAATATAATATCGGAATCTTAACCATCCAAATCTTACTGCATGGTATAGATGAAACGTGCACGGTGCACATGCCTTACCTAAAATGTGCAAATCAACAGCCTGACAGGCCCTGAATGGGCAAGTAATGAAATTATCTTTTTTTTTTTTGGGGGGGTACAAATTAATGAAATTATCAAATTAACGACGATGAATTTTAAAGATGGGTCAGTGGGCCCAGGAAAAGAATCAACAAGACATCGATACCGTCCAGAAGATATCTGCGAATGGATTCAATCATACCATGGCCGCTACGTCAACACCAACTATGAAGCGTCCAAAAATGTGAAAAAGACAGATGCACTGTTAAATTTTGTCATTCTAAACCCCATGATCTTTACATCAACTTGGGTAAATTTGCAGTAACCTGCATAGCTGGAAGAAAGGAAGGTCATAGATTCTTCCTAATAAGGCAAAAACTTGTCAGTTTGTATTCCCCCCTTTCATAACAATTCCTTCAAGGATCCCATCAGTGCCGAAGTTACCAGAAAATTGACAGGGATCAACTGGGCCAGGCAGCTGAAATGAGATGGAAAAATGGCCAGGCGGACAAAGGTTCTGGGTTTGCATCTCAAACACCTGAGAGTACCTGCATACTGTCTTCTCCCCTGTTGTAGTCACTCCCCGTATCAATACTTTACCATCAGTGTCAACTTCACAACTGAAGTCACCTGCAGTGATAACAGATTCGAAGCTCGTCAATATAGAGGGATCTGAGGCTGTAATTTTAACAATACAAGAATTATGATGCATTTCCAAATACACTTTAGGAGCTCTTGTTGACTGCTTTTTTATTTTAAGAATGTTAACCAAAGAGCAGTAACCTACGCATACATACACTGAACATGTTAAGTAACATTTGAACCTTGTCAACCACCCCTCATATGGATGTCTCTAATCTGGAATTGTTTTCACAGGAATTCCTAAATGTTACTGCTACCCAGTGGGCATGCACAATTCCATGGTCACCACAAATTGACGAAGCTACTTCAGCACCAAATTAAAGAACCAAATTACAACAGGTTACACATTCTTTTCCTTTCAGTATTCTTGCCCATTATGGGGGTAGGGCTGGATTGCCACGGGTGGAAGCGATTGGCATTAAATGACTGATAACAGATTCAAAAGCGCTCCCATTGCGAAATCATTTTGTTTAAACGCCTTTATAGCACGCATCAAGACATTAGTGACTTAATTTAATTTGACAAAAGCATGCCCCTTATCCATCCTTAAGATGGAAAAGTTGAAACATGAAACATGAAAAAGAAATTCCTGGAATGCAGATAATCTTTTGCTTACAACCAAATGCCAATTATGTCAGAAGTAAATCATTGATGTCTCACAAGGAACTTACTTTCATCCCTCTTCACTCCAGGGAGAGATACACGGAACAGATATGAGTCGTCGCATTCTCCAATGTCCATAAGTCCCATGATTGGTCCTGCCTGCCTCACAGCTGCACTTCCTGTCAACGCAAATCCTCTCTTCGTAGCAGCCACAATTTCAGACAATTCCTTTTTGGTTGGGTGAGAAGGAAGAAATATCATAGCTGGACCAACTCTCTCAGGGTCAGAGTCTTCTTCAGGTTGCAATGGAGTCATGTAATTAGACATCATATCTGTACCATCATATGGCGCGCCACTCATAGGCGCTGAAGCATGGACATGTTGCAAAGGATCCAAGTTAGCGTAATTTCTTTTACTGCCTCCTGCTTTTTGAGAATTGCAGCTAGACTGGATGGGTGGCATTTTTCCATTATGATCATCCTCTTGTACATCATATTGAGAACTGCCATCAAGAGAAGTATGTGATCTCACAGGACATCTGCTCAGATGGAAATCCTCTAGTCCACTTAGCCTCCTGAACCTTTCAATGTCATCAGGGTTGATGTAAGAGGTTTCTGGGTTGTTAATAAATACAATGTTCTCAATGATTTTAGATCGTTTTTTCGACAGAGATTGAGGATGCAGTTCAGGAGGAAACAAATCAGCATACTGTGGGTACTTGGCAGCACTATGGTGAACTGGACAAGAAATATTACCTTGAAAGAATTGACGCAACAAGGTTAACTTGACAATAACTGATTTATCTGCCTTCTTAAGCACATAGTAGTAGATGTGCTCTAATTCCACAATTCTCATGAAAGAATTTGTTAGTTGATCAGATGTGTATGGAGGAAGCCCCTCAGCTATCCTTTGCAGAACAGATTTTGGGTTCCTCTCCCCTTTAATATTAGGACCAAAGTAGGTGCCCATAATAAAGTACAAGAGAAAACACTGATCATCATTAATTGTTCCCCTTTTTAACTTAGTTGATCCCGGTCCTACTGTAACAGGAGATTCTTCTACAGCCTGAGATGAGCCATCCATTGGAGCAATCCTATATCACAGAAATCCAGATTCTGCAAGGAAATATAAGGGCTAATAATTGAAAAAAAAAAAAGAATTTCAGCTCCTGAAAGCCAATGTTCAGAGGAAAGCATCACTTATCCGATGAAATCTGTGCAAAACTTGGTGGTAAGGGTTGACAAACTTGATCCCCTTCTCACCACCAACTTACACACATCATCTCTATCAAGACTAACAATACTTGCCATTACTACCCCAAAAATCACCGTCACACTTTTGCCATTATCACCAAAACATTGCTTGTCGAGGATGACACCTTCAAGGCTAAAAATACAAGATTTTTCCTCAAACCTTATTCCCTAAGGAGATGTTTGTCTTAGAGCCAGAAACCATTTGCAAATTGAATCCTTTTTTCTATTGAAATTATGTATGAAAATATAAAAGAAAAATAAGAGACCAAGAAGCCGAATAAAGGCACAATATCCCTGCCATGAAGAGGAAGAAATAAGCATACCTAAAGGGAATTACAAAGGAACAACAGGAAATGAGATCAAGCAGCCGAAAAAGAGGGACCGCAAAAGCACTAGCCACCGCCCATTGAAACGTCCCATCAAAATCTTTTGCCAATAAGAATTGGCTTATCCAGGTAAAAATTAGTTGGTAATAGATCTGTCGTCATTGCTGCTATTTGCATCAGATGTTTCAAGACTTAAGCATCAACAAACCATTTGATCAGTTTATCCTTCTATGGTGTTGCCTTTCAGTTTCACACGGCACACACGCTTGAAGCTTCTCTCGTATGCTTGATTTGCAAACTTTCAGCTGAAAGACGATTTCATAACATTTAATAGGCTATATTACAAGATTAAAATTTTACCATCTTAGAAATTAGACAAAGAAGCAAAGCCCATATTCAACAAAGCGAACTGGGAAAATCAATTTATTTATACTAAAGTGACAATCATATCGCCTAAATACGATGGTTAAAGCAACCCCATCACTACAAACGGAATGTCCACTGTCTCAAATCCACCCAAGTTTAGTCTTTTTTCACCCATTTTGCCAACCATAAAAATACAGGGATAAGGCAAAAACCAACAAAATAATTGCTCAGCTCAAAACATAGTGAATGGCCCCAAACATCAATGCAATATCAACTCAAATCCATTAAACGCCAATCCTATCGATGACCCCAAGTCGTACATATAAACACTAGTTCAGATAGAACCAATGCAAATCAATTCTGAAAACAAACAAACAAAATTTCAGTAAATTAAAAAAAAGAAAGGAAAACACTGATGCTATTGGAAGTGAAAAACGTCAACAGGCTCTATCTAGCAGTAGTACAAAACAGCATTCAGAAAAAGGTGGAAGGAATAGTGAAGATTTTATATTAATTGATACAATTCTTGGGCGGTAAAGCACACCCAGTTGATTAAACAACTTTACCACGCTGATATATATTTGAAATACGAGAAGTGAAAAAGAGCTAAGAGTTGTAGGTGCCCTGTTGTGAATAAAATATAATTAGCACGCCAGCACAGACCATGCATTATTTCAAGGCTTCCAACTTTATGGTAATGCAATAGAAAGCGAAGCCAAGCGCCAGAAACTGAAATGTGGAGATGGCGACGCCACCTTTCGTTGGGAGTAGCAGGCAGCGATTTCCGGGAATCGCGTCGTCCGCGGGCATTAAACCCCAAATCCCATCCAAGGTGCATCGATTCGATGGGATCCCGCGGATGCGAAACATAGATATCAGCGGCTTTTGTCATGCCCGTTTTATTAGTAGGTTTTATTCTCGGAATCCGGAACCTATAATTAACGAGTAACTTTTTACTTTTGCCAACTTAAAAAAACCGTGTATGTACTGCTGGTATTTAGTTAATATAAATATAAAATTAGGTTAGCCAAAAATAAAAATGTAGGACCTTTTTTTTTTTTTAATCCTGCACGGAACCTCGGTTTTCACTTGTTTCCTAATACGCCCATAATGACCGAACTCCTCACTTTTTTGAACATCTACTGATAATTCTATTCGAAACATAATACTAAATATAGGGTATGTTTAAAATAATTTATAAGTAGTTTATAAACTGCTATTCAATAGTAATTTACAGGATACAAGACAAGTATGTAAAAAAAATTTGATTTATATGAAATGTGCTTATAAAATTTTTTTACCGTCTTGTCAAACGGGATCATAAACATCATAAGACTAAATATAAACATCTTCAATCTTTAATAAGGATTAAACCTTATTCGCTACTCGAGACTAAAGCCCCGCGACCCATTAGTAATGCATGCTTTGCTTACCACAAGGCGGGCTACAAAGGAACCGACGGGCCACGCCCCGGGCTGAGAAACTTGTTTGTCATTAATGAGCGGTAGTCCGTAGAGCCCATGTGCCAGTAAAGATTTTTTACCCCCACCTAAAATTATATATTTTTCTGCTTCTAAATATAAAAATTTTATATTAGCGTGTATAAAATTTTTATATTTAATATTGGAAGAGTAATATCAAGCCTTAAAAGGAGAAAGCGAGACATGCTTTAAGAACATAAAGTCCTGTGCTTGTTAATGGGCAGCTAGGTCTTGACCGGGGGGGGGGGTCAGGTTGAAGCAGATCACAATAGAATGGAAAAGAATGAAGGGACGGGGATGACTTCTGCATGCTCGGATTGCGACGACTCCGCTTGCTGCGCCATCTGCTTGGGGCCCATGCTTCAGGATTCCTACCTCGACAAATGTTTTCGTACTCTCCTCTCTGCGTTTCATTTTCTTCCCCACTTAGCTTTCTTGGAAGATTGAAATATGAAACTTTGTCCTAAACCTTGTACTTTGTGAGATATTTGACATTATTGTTAGATTTTAATTTGATATCATAGAAAGCGTTGCAGATAGGAACCATTGTTATTGATTAATTGGAGAGAGTGAGGTAGAAGGAGAGTATTTATTGATCAAGGTTCTAGCTTTTCATTATCACCAAAAAAAACAAAAAAAGAGTCTAGCTTTTCATGGGTTTCCCGGTGAAGTTGGGGGGAAAATCTTTAACTTGGGGCTTTGTGGCCTGATAATTTACAGTATTTTTAACTCCGGAAAAACTTTTTTGGACCCAAGAAAGGGGATGGAATTGTTCTAATTCACGGTGGCTTTGTGATACAGACAAGTTTTGCTTCAATTGCATCTCACGCTGGACCAAAGTGGTTGCCGGCAAGCACCGTTCTCCACCTTCTTCTGTAAAATGTCCCCTTTGCAAGGTTTGGTTTAGTCCAAAACATTTCAACTTCTGGAATTCAGTGGTCCATATTTTAATTTTCTCTGGCGATGGCTGTAGCAAAGTGGATATCTCCTATGTTCTGATTCCATGACGAGCGCCTTCTGAGGAATTTTTCAATTGAAAAAAAAATCTCACATTACAGGAATAGATGATAATTTGAAGGTGCATCTGACTTTATATTTAATGTTTGAAATGCAGACAGAAAATTTTTCAATAATTTACGGATTTGATGGAAGTTGTTTTCAGCGGCAATATGTAAATGAGGATTTTGGGGATAGGTCTGTCAGACTGTCTGTGTTAGTTGTCCTTAACTTAAAATTTTTTTGTTGAAATACTTTATATACTTTTATCCTTTGAATTATCTGTGCAGTTTTACCTTATCAAGAGCTCAGAGATATAGATTACAATGCTATTACACTGAACCAGGTCCATCATTGCTTGTCATTAGCCTCATTGTTTACTGCTTAGTAATCAGTTGCTGCCTGTCAGTCACTTGTTTTCTGCCAAAGCATAAATTTCAAGATACTCTTATGTTTCATTGCCCTTTTGGTTAGGTTTCTTGGAGGACGTATTCAATATACCACGGTATTGGAAGTCTCATAGGCATCATCAGCCAAACTGTTGGATACAAAGTTGGCTCAGAAGGGAAATTCAAGCCCTTGTCCAAGTCAGAAAGTTTATCAGCTTGGTTGCCTTTTGCATTGTCTGTGTTCGACAAATATATATCATACGCATCATAACTTACACTTCATTTTGCTTAATATGTAGGAGGAAGACGTTGACATCATTGTGCACCATATTCTGGGAGTAATAAGTGCATCACTGTCGTGGTAAGAATTTGTATGTGTGAAAATTGGAATGGCATGAGCTTAGTGTGGAAAGTTGACGATAATTACTACCCAGGAGAGAGCAAAATCGTCGCATTGTGGCACCTGAAAAGCAACAGGAGGAGTTCAAGATCGCAGTTTCAGAAGCAGCAAGGCCCTTCTTGGCTTCAAGGACCGGCAGATTTGTATACGAGGTGCAACTGTTTCTTGCTTCAGGATTGAATATTGAAGCTTATGATGCAGTTTACATACAACGACTGGGTTGGAGTTCGCCTGGGATAAACACACAGGCGTCTCAGAGTGAACCTGTTGATCGCAATACGGTGACTCCATACTTGTATATATTTGACGCGGACTCTGATGAAGATGAATAGATACTTTTGTTTTCTTTTATCTTTTTTTTTTAATAGTTGTATTAGCCTGTATATTATTTCAAGCAGTTTAAAAGGTTTTGCATATAGTCAGAGTTCTGTTGGATATTATCAGCCAGCAACACAGGCAGATTCTTCAAGAGTTTTACGGGCTAACAAGATTTATCTTCTTTATTATTTCGGTGGATCAAAAACCAGCCCCAACTATTACAAATCATGATAAAAGTTTAGAATAAAAAAGAAATGCGTGCAAGAAGAAAAGTAGATACGATCTTCTTAGATGAATACCCGATAGCAGATCACTAGCAAACATTATAATATCCTCGTGGTTTTAAATTTTTTGGCCATATCTAAAGGGTTATTTCAACGGACCCAACAGAAAAGTGTTGAATTCAATACGCACGCACATTCGATTTAGCCGATAGCGTCAAATGGAATTACTCGGACCGTCGGACGTCCACTACGCAGTAGATGTATTTATCCTTGCTGTTATAACGTAGAGCGCTACAAAATCCTTCTGCGATGGTTGATTAGTAAGATGAGGTGGAAAAAGCAAGGTTTGCTGCCAGAATGACACACCCGGGCATCCTTGTGCCTCACGCCCAAGTACTAGGGACTTGGCGTGCCCAGAGCTTGTTTTCACTTTTCACCTGATGGCCTCACGCACCTGATTTTGTATTTGTTGTTTTCCTTTTATTACCAAAAATAAAGATAAGGTAGAAAAAGGCCTGCATGATCGGGGAAATAGGTATTTAGCAAGACATTCCTGGCTTGCGCATTAGGATTGGTCAGCGAAACTCTGGATAAAGGGGAGAAAAAGAAGAAGAAAGCATATAATGGATCGAGAGTAGTTTCAGTTTCAGAGTTAGGAGGCGAAGAAGGACCTCTGCCTTTTTATCCATTGCTTAATATCATCTCCATTGCCGAAGAAGAGCGTAAATTTCGAGCTACTAGTTAGTCGTAACTGAGCGATTTATCGACGCTGCAACAGACATGGCAACAGTCTCAGACTACGGAGCGTTCATGCAGAAATTCATTCTCCCACGAAGTTCTTCCTCCCATGGTCTTCCGTTAAGTTCTCTTACTTTTGCAGTCAAAGAACTGTAAGTTCTGTCCCTCTCTCTTGATTAACGGAATATTCGAATTATTAGACCTCATTTTTTACTGATCTCGAAGCCGTCTTGAGTAAACTAAGCTCCTCAATGGAAGATTTTAAGTGCGTGAGTCGTTTGTTTCATTAACTCTCTCTTGAAATCCTGCTGCCAACAGATTTGATGTGGAGGGGCATGTGACTGGATTTGGGAATCCTGACTGGGCGAGAACTCATCCGGTGGCTTCATCCACTTCTCCAGCTGTATCAGCTCTCCTAAACGCAGGTGCCACTTGTGTCGGTACAACTGTCATGGACGAAATGGCTTACAGGTTCCAATTCCCGCACTCAACCCAATTATCTATGCTTTCTAGTCAGTAAGAACTGTGTTCTAATTTCTCCGGTTTATCTATCTTCATGGCCATGAGTTTCTAAAAGTCTGTGATTTTAACATATCTGATGTAGAAATTTATGTAACTAAACCCAGATTTCTGAGTCAGAAAATTCAGTGAAGAAACTGCTCATGTGTGTAATTGTATCCTTCCTGGTCAGGCGTGTAACTTGAGTATCCGGAACGTCTGTTGAAACATATATCTGAGTATTTTTATTTGGCAGTATAAATGGAGAGAATATACACTATGGCACACCCAGGAATCCTTGTGCGGCGGATAGGGTGCCTGGGGGTTCTTCTAGCGGCTCTGCTGTTGCAGTTGGTGCAAAGCTTGTAGATTTCTCCTTAGGTAAGCTGTTCTTCCTTGTATAATTTCTGGCATCTCTTGGCTCGTTATTTGAACTACAAAATTCTTTGTACGATAGGAACTGACACCGGTGGAAGTGTGAGAGTGCCGTCTTCATATTGTGGGATTTTTGGGTTTCGTCCTTCTCACGGAACTGTTTCAACATCAGGAGTTATTCCCATGGCACAGAGTTTTGACACTGTGGGTAAGAAACCGCAAATTTGGTAGCTTTCTTAAAAGTTTAGTTTATAGTGACTGCGACGTGGAATTTGGTGACCAAAAACTTTTCTCGGCCAATGGTAATAGAACTGATGAGGGAATTGGGTGATTAATTTGGGGAATAGATAAAAGAGTTATTGCTTGGTTTATTCAATATGCATGTTTCTGAATGGTTTTATGTGCTTATTTCACGTGTTTGTTCAGAATCAGTTACTCCAAATACACAGCTTATGAAAATAGGAGTGCATATTTGCTCTAGACATCTGGGAAAAAAATCATGGTCTTGAAGAAGAAAAAGTAAGAAGGATTGGATTTATTCATGGTCTTGAACAAGAAGAAGTAAGAAGGATTGGGTTTATCTTTCTCTTTAAAATCATTGGTCTGAATTTTCAGTCTGCTTACTTCTTTCCCTTAACTGTACGGTGAGCATAAATTGCCTTATAATACTAGCTTCACAAGTTGTAGAGCTCTTTTCTTGGAGTGTCATCGTTTTCATTCCAACTTCACATCCAGGATGGTTTGCTAGGGATCCCGTGATTTTGAGCAGAGTCGGACGTGTTCTTCTGCAATTGCCTGAAGCAGCATCTGTCAGACCCACTCACGTTATTATCGCAGACGATTGTCTTCAGCTGTCAAGCATTCCACACAATCTAGTTGCGCAAATTCTCATTAAAGCGGTTGAAAAGTTATGTGGAGGTTAGCATGTATATAAATTAATTATAGGTGATTTGCTATATAGATAATAGTTGTAATTGCTCGTTAACAACTCACAAATATGCATGCATATACATATATATACAAAAATACATATATATTCTTTGGAAGGTGGGGGTCATTGCATTTATGTGCCCTTCTGCAGTATCATCTTGAGAATGGTATTAGTTTTGAATCCAAGTCAAATGCTTTTCTTTTTTCTCCTACGTAGATGAGGTATTGAAGCATGAAATCTTGGGCGACTTTGTAAAGGACAGGGTTCCAACTCTAAGTCATTTCATGATGGCTAATAGCCAATCAGACCAAGTATATAACATTCCATCTCTGGCAGCCCTTTCGACTGCCATGCGATTACTTCAGAGGTGTACTTCTTACGTCAGTCCTTGGTCTCATCTATGTTGTGCCTTTCTTGTGTATTGTGGACTGCCTTGAATTGAAATCTGTTGTCTTGCTTTATACCGCATCACACGTAGGTACGAATTCAAGAATAACCACGGTGAATGGGTCCGTACAGTGAAACCTGAGTTAGGTCCAGGAATATCTGAACGTGTATCAGAAGCCCTAAGGACAACAGGGGAAAACATTGATCTCTGTCGGTCAGTTAAAGAGGAAATGCGTGAAGCTCTTTCTGCTCTTCTTGGGGTACTCTTTCTTCTCTGACATTTATATGTGGAGTCTCTATTCTTATTCATTTTTGGCTTGCTCAGTTGCCAAATTCCGTATATATTCGGCCTTCTGTCAGACTTAAATTTCTTCTCACGCACTGCTAGAGAATTACCTTGTTTGGATTTTGAACTAGCGGTGGAAAGATAAGGGAGACACTCGTTATCTCATTTGTATTTTTGATGGTTGGGCCCTCGCGGCGAAACACAAACGTACACATTATTTTCATTAAAAATGTCATTTTCTCTTCGAAAATTTCAGGATTTTGGTGTGCTTGTCATTCCCACTGTCCCAGGGCCACCGCCAAGAGTAGGAACAAATACGCCTGACCTGGAAACTTTTCGTGCAAAGGCTTTTGCCCTGTTATCCATTGCTGGAGTATCGGGATGCTGCCAGGTTCGCTTTATTTTTGAATCACACAAACTACGATTTTATTGATAACTTGCGTAATTTGTGCTTCTTTGTCTTGCAGGTTAACGTACCGATGGGGATGCATGAAGACCTTCCCATATCAATTTCTCTCGTGGCCAGACACGGTGCAGATGGGTTCTTGCTTAATCTTGTTGAGCGTCTTTATGACCTCCTTCAACAGGAGATCACGCCGTCTTCCCAATAAAAAGCTTGCTTATGATATCGTTAATAACATCTGATAATACCAGATTTGATAACATTTTAAGAGTTTTAAAACTAGTGTAGTTTTGGCGTAATATATTGTACAACTTTATATGTGAATTGAGCTATGCGCTTTCACAGAGGAATCAGCAACTTCACGAAAATCATCTCCCCCTGCTGTCGCATTGTGCGAATAGTTTCCAGGAGAATCGCCCTTCCAACCTAGCAGTACAGAAAATCACATGTATTGCTGAGATACATATATATACCTCTCTTAAGCTTTAAGCCTGGCAGGGAAGACTTCCCTCTTGAAAGTTTTAACGTTGATGGTGAACTCCTGTCAACCCTTTTTTTCTTTTTTGCCAACCCTGTCAGCTTACATATATCTTTCAAATACCAAGATCTACCTACTATCCCCTCGATACCGACAGATATAGATACGGAGATCTGGTGGATATGGTAAGGTGTCTAATATGCTATATTTGTATATTATCGATTAATAAGTGGTTTAATGTTTTTCTGCCAACAAATAGTTTCACAACACTTTGGTTAGAAAAAACTAGTTTAATAACACATAAAATTATAATTATATACCGCATTTTTGATTTATTAATTATCTATTTACTTGTTCGATTGTGTGTTTATGCATTTGTTGAATATAACTATTCAAACACACGCTTTCTCTCTCTCCCTCTCTCTCTCTCTCTATATATATATATATATCCATAACAGAATAGATACTAGTCTCTTGCGTTTCTACGTAGACAAAAACAAACGTTTATTTTCTTAAGCTTCGCATTTACAGATAAGCTGAATTACAGACTCATTCCCCTGGCTGAACAAAACATGTTTTTAGAGGACAGTATGCACTTATCTTCAACCATTTACAACAGTTCCGCCTGCAGAAAACGTCGTCTGTGTTAGAAAACCCAGATAAAGTGCAGCCCCCGTAAAAACCGTAAATGACTAGAAGTGTATATATTACCGTTGGGGTGAAGGACTTGGCCAGTAATGTAAGAGGAGCAATGATTGCAGGCAAGAAATACATAGGAGGGAGCAACCTCGATCGGCTGGCCAGCTCTCTTCATTGGCACCTGAGCTCCAAATTGTGCCACTTCTTCCTCCTTGAAGGAAGCTGGTATTAAGGGAGTCCAGATGGGTCCCGGGGCAACCCCGTTGACTCTTATTCCCCTGCTCACCAGTTGAAGGGACAGACCCCTCGTAAACGCCACAATCGCACCCTTCGTCGCTGTATAGTCCAGTAATTTGGCGTTTCCTTTGTATGCATTCACTGATGTGGAGTTGATGATGCTGCTTCCTTCCTTCATGTGCTTCAGGGCATGCCTGCGCCAGTGAAATTTATTGGTTTACGTATTCTCCTGCGAAATCCTAAATCAAATCTGATCATTTAATTTGTTTGTTTGTTTTACCTGGTCACGAAGAAATAGGAGAAGATATTAGTTCTGAACACCCTCTCGAGCCTTTGCTCGTCAATCTCCTCCACAGATCCAGCCTCGTACTGCTCAGCCGCATTATTGATCAGAATGTCAATCCGGCCAAACGCTTTGACGACCTCATCCACTACTTTCTTGCAGTTCTCATCAAAACCCAGGTCAGTCGGTATGGCTATGGGCTCCCTGGCGTCCGCTGTTTTTGCCTTCTTGATCATTTCAAGCGTGTCCTCGGCGTCCTTGTCTTCACATCCCTTCACATATGTGAAGGCCACAATGGCACCCTCCAAGGCAAACACATTGCACACGGCTCGCCCAATCCCAGAGTCCCCGCCGGTAATTAGTGCCACCTTCCCCTAAGACATTCAAACAAGTTCGTATCATGGCCTGGCCATCGAGAAAGAGAAAATTATGAGTACACAAGAACTCTTCATGTATTTGCAGACACACGCATACTTGGAGTTTATTTGAGGGCTTGTAGTCGGGGCTGGTGAATTGAGGTATCGGATTCATGTCACGCTCTTTTCCAGGGAGCTCGTCTTGCTTCTGCGTGGGAAATTTCTGATCACCGGAAGCCATCCTGTAGACACGACCAGATTTTGTGAACAGAGGGACGGGGGTCTTTCCGGAGTGATGGGAGTGGGGTTTAGATGGTGGGTTTGTGCTGGTTATGGATCCGGAACAAGCAATGAGGCGATCTCAGATGGCTGCACGGGTGATTGTAATTGCACCATGGTGAGCTTAAATGGAGAATTTGAACATGCCACGCGCCGACTAACGGCCCATGGAGTTGTCTACGTGTCGTGTTATTCGCATGCATCGGACACGTCTGAAGACCAGAGCATTGGTTTGAACTCTGCCAACAAAGTTGTAAGGAGGTCTTCTGTTGGAATTTTGTGCCTAAGTTGAATTGAATTAAACCAGTCCAGAAGAATTTATTTTCAATTTAAATGACATATATTCTCCATTTTCTATATTAATTATGAACAGATAATAAATAATATAATATACTATGGACAAAAACCGGTTACGTAGATCTAATGGCGTGCCAACAAATCTTAAAAATAAAATTTGGGACATGATTCAAGAAGGAATGAATGACCAGCAAGACATCATCGGAATAGATACTCTTGATTTCTTTTATGTTTTTTTATATTATTTTTTAATAGTTATATTAGCCTGTATATTATTTCAAGCAGTTTAAAAGGTTTTGCATATAGTCACAGTTCTGTTGAATATTATCAGCCAGCAACACAGGCAGATTCTTCAAGAGTTTTACGGGCTAACAATATTTATCTTCTTAATTATTGGATCGAAAACCGGCCCCAACTATTACAGATAATGATAGAAGTTTAGAATGAAAGAGAAATGCGTGCAAGAAGAAAAGTAGATACGACCTTGTTAGATGAATACCCGATAGGAAATCACTAGCAAACATTATAATATCCTCGTGGTTTTTAATTTTTTGGCCATATCTAAATGGTTATTTCAACGGACCCAACAGAAAAGTGTTGAATTCAATACGCACGCCCTTTTGATTAGCCAATAGCGTTAAATGGTATTACGTAGATGTTTTTATCCTTGCTATTACGTGGAGCGCTACAAAATCCCTGTGCGATGGTTGATTAGTAAGATGAGGTAGGAAAAACAGAGCTTGCTACCAGAACGACACTTGGGACTTGGCGTGCCCAGAGCTTGTTTTCACTTTTCACCCATTGGCCTCACGCACCTGATTTTGTAATCGTTGTTTTCCTTTTATTGCCAAAAATAAAGATAAGGTGGAAAAAGATATTCCTGGCTTGCCCATTAGGACTGGTCAGCGAAACCCTGGATCAAGGGGAGAAAAAGAAGAAGAAAGCACATAATGGATCGAGAGTAGCTTCAGTTTCAGAGTTGAGAGGCGAAGAAGGACCTCTGCCTTTTTATCCATTGCTTACCATAATCTGCGTTGCTGAAGAAGAGCGTAAATTTCGACCTACTGGTTAGTCGTAACTGAGCGATTTTCCGACGCTGCAACAGACATGGCAACCGTCTCAGACTACGGAGCGTTCATGCAGAAATTCATTCTCCTACCAAGTTCTTCATCCCATGGTCTTCCGTTAAGTTCTCTTACTTTTGCAGTCAAAGAAATGTAAGTTCTGTCACTCTCTCTTGATTAACGGAATATTCGAATTATTAGACTTCATTTTTCCTGATCTCGAAGCCGTCTTGAGTAAACCATGCTCCTCAATGGAAGATTTTTTAAGTGCGTAGTCGTTTGTGTCATTAACTCTCTCTTGAAATCCTACTGCCAACAGATTTGATGTGGAGGGGCATGTGACTGGATTTGGGCATCCTGACTGGGCGAGAACTCATCCGGTGGCTTCATCCACTTCTCCAGCTGTATCAGCTCTCCTAAACGCAGGTGCCACTTGTGTCGGTACAACTGTCATGGACGAAATGGCTTACAGGTTCCAATTCCCGCACTCATCCCAATTATCTATGCTTTCTAGTCAGTAAGAACTGTGTTCTAATTTCTCCGGTTTATCTATCTTCATGGCCATGAGTTTCTAAAAGTCTGTGATTTTAACATATCTGATGTAGAAATTTATGTAACTAAACCCAGATTTCTGAGTCAGAAAATCAGTGAAGAAACTGCTCGTGTGTAATTGTATCCTTCCTGGTCAGGCGTGTAACTTGAGTATCCGAAACGTCTGTTGAAACATATATCTGAGTATTTTTATTTGGCAGTATAAATGGAGAGAATATACACTATGGCACACCCAGGAATCCTTGTGCGGCGGATAGGGTGCCCGGGGGTTCTTCTAGCGGCTCTGCTGTTGCAGTTGGTGCAAAGCTTGTAGATTTCTCCTTAGGTAAGCTGTTCTTCCTTGTATAATTTCTGGCATCTCTTGTTTCGTTATTTGAACTCCAAAATTCTTTGTACGATAGGAACTGACACCGGTGGAAGTGTGAGAGTGCCGTCTTCATATTGTGGGATTTTTGGGTTTCGTCCTTCTCACGGAACTGTTTCAACATCAGGAGTTATTCCCCTGGCACAGAGTTTTGACACTGTGGGTAAGAAACCGCAAATTTGGTAGCTTTCTTATGATTTTTTTTTTTTTTTTATAGTGACTGCGACGTGGAATTTGGTGACCAAAAAATTTTCTCGGCCGATGGTAATAGAACTGATGAGGGACTTGGGTGATTAATTTGGGGAAACCGATAAAAGAGTTATTGCTTGGTTTCTTCAATATGCATGTTTCTGAATGGTTTTAATGTGCTTATTTGACGTGTTTGTTCAGAATCAGTTACTCCAAATACTTAGCTTATGAAAATAGGACAACATATTTGCTCTAGACAGCTGGGGGAAAAAATCATGGTCTTGAAGAAGAAAAAGTAAGAAGAATTGGATTTATTCATGGTCTTGAACGAGAAGTAAGGAGGATTGGGTTTATCGGATCCGATGGGCTCAAGAGTGCTCAGCGTTTTGAGTGCTGAGCATGAGGGACCTTTTTTTTTTATTATAAAAAAATATGTATTAGAATTATTTTTAGTTAAAGTTTATCTAATACTCTTAAATATTTTTTTACACATATTCAATATTTTAAAATATTTTATCATATCCTGAAATATTTTCTCATATGTATTTAGTGTTCTAAAATATTTTCTGACAATGCATTTGAAAAAATATTTAAAAATCTAGTATTTTAAAGTATTTTGTGATATATTTGGTACCTAAAATATTTTTTCATATATGTTCATTATTTTAAAATACTTTGCGACTGGGCTTACCTAAAAACATATTTTATGATCTAGTATTCTAAAGTCTTTTATCATTTATTAGTATCCTGAAATATTTTTTAGTATTCTAAAATATTTTATGATACAATATCAAGAAATAGAAAATTTTTTAAAACATTAAATGCATGTGAAAAAATATTTTAAGGTACTAAATAAATCATAAAATACTTTAAGATATTGAAAACATCTAAAAAAATATTTTTGAGTACTAGATAAATGTTAACAAAAATAATTTTAATACATACTTCTTCTGATTCTTAATATAAGAGTTAGTTTAACTAATTCAAGTATATTACAAAAATTAGCTAAATTAGTCAATTGTAATAAATAAGTGTTGTTTTCTCTAAAATGCCTCTCACTAATTATGTGTATTAACTAAAATCAACAATTGATTAAATCTTTAACACGTACAATTATTATAAGGACTATATTAAAAAAATAAAAATATATAAGAGATAAAGTATATTAGAATATTTATTTAAGAGTAAATTAAATATCAAGATAATTTTATATTAATAATTTGAGATGGTATAAATTTTTTTGTAACAAAAAAATAAATAAAAAAAATAAAAATGCTCAGCACTCAAAACGCTGTATCAGCTGATGAGCACGGAATGCGAGCTGGGTTTATCTTTCTCTTTAAAATCATTGGTCTGAATTTTCAGTCCGCTCATATTTTTTCCCTTAACTATACGGTGAGCATAAATTGCCGTATAATAGTAGCTTCACAAGTCGTTGAGCTCTTTTCTTGGAGTGTCATCCTTTTCATTCCAACTTCACATCCAGGATGGTTTGCTAGGAATCCCGTGATTTTGAGCAGAGTCGGACGTGTGCTTCTGCAATTGCCTGAAGCAGCATCTGTCAGACCCACTCACATTATTATCGCAGACGATTGTCTTCAGCCGTCAAGCATTCCACACAATCTAGTTGCGCAAATTCTCATTAAAGCGGTTGAAAAGTTATATGGAGGTTAGCATATAAATATATTAATTGTGGGTGATTTGCTATCTAGATAATAGTTATAATTGTTCGTTCACAGCTCAAAAATATGCATGCATATACATGTACATACATACGTACATATATATTCTTTGGAAGGTGGGGGCATTGCATTTATGTGCCCTTCTGCAGTATCATCTTGAGAATGGTGTTAGTTTTGAATCTAAGTCTACTGCTTTTCTTTTTTCTCCTATGTAGATGAGATATTGAAACATGAAATGTTGGGCGACTTTGTAAAGGACAGAGTTCCAACTCTAAGGCATTTCATGATGGGTAATAGCCAATCAGACCAAGTATATAACATTCCATCTCTTGCAGCCCTTTCGACTGCCATGCGATTACTTGAGAGGTGTACTTCTTACGTCAGTCGTTGGTCTCATCTATGTTGTGCCTTTCTTGTGTATTGTGGACTGCCTTGAATTGAAATCTGTTGGCTTGCTTTATACTGCATCACACGTAGGTACGAATTCAAGATTAACCACGGTGAATGGGTTCGCACAGTGAAACCTGAGTTAGGTCCAGAAATATCTGAACGTGTATCAGAAGCCCTAAGGGCAACAGGGGAAAACATTGATCTCTGTCGGTCAGTTAAAGAGGAAATGCGTGAAGCTCTTTCTGCTCTTCTTGGGGTACTCTTTCTTCTCTGACATTTATATGTGGAGTCTCTATTCTTATTCATCTTTGGCTTGCTCAGTTGCCAAATTCCATGTGTAGTCGGCCTTCTGTCAGACTTTAATTTCTTCTCACGAACTGCTAAAGAATTGCCTTGTTTGGATTTTGAGCTAGCGGTGGAAAGATAAGCGGAGGCACTCGTCATCTCGTTTTTATTTTTGATGGTTGCGCCTTTGCGGCGAAACACAAACGTCCATATTATATTAATTCAAAATGGCATTTTCTCTTCGAAAATTTCAGGATTTTGGTGTGCTTGTCATTCCCACTGTTCCAGGGCCTCCGCCAAAAATAGGAACAAATACGCCTGAACTGGAAACTTTTCGTGCAAAGGCTTTTGCCCTGTTATCCATTGCTGGAGTATCGGGATGCTGCCAGGTTCGCTTTATTTTTGAATCACACAAACTACGATTTTATTGATACTTGCGTAATTTGTGCATCTTTGTCTTGCAGGTTAACGTACCGATGGGGATGCATGAAGGCCTTCCCATATCAATTTCTCTGGTGGCCAGACAGGGTGCAGATGGGTTCTTGCTTCATCTTGTTGAGCGTCTTTATGACCTCCTTCAGCAGGAGATCACGCCGTCTTCCCAATAAAAAGCTTGCTTGTGATATCGTTAATAACATCTGATAATACCAGATTTGATAACATTATAAGAGTTTTAAAACTAATGTAGTTTTGGCTTAATATATTGTACAACTTTATATGTGAATTGAGCTATGCGCTTTCACAGAGGAATCAGCAACTTCACGGAAATCATCTCCCCCTGCTGTCGCATTGTGCGAATAGTTTCCAGGAGAATCGCCCTTCCAACCTAGCAGTACAGAAAATCACATGTATTGCTGAGATACATATATATACCTCTCTTAAGCTTTAAGCCTGGCAGGGAAGACTTCCCTCTTAAAAGTTTTAACGTTGATGGTGAACTCCTATCACCCTTTTTTGTCTTTTTGGCCAACCCTGTCAGCTTACATATATCTTTCAAATACCGAGATCTACCTACTATCCCCTCGATACCGACAGATATAGATACGGAGTTCTGGTGGATATGGGTAAGGTGTCTAATATGCTATATTTGTATATTATCGATTAATAAGTGGTTTAATATTTTTCTGCCAACAAATAGTTTCACAACACTTTGGTTAGAAAAAACTAGTTTAATAACACATAAAATTATAATTATATACCGCACTTTTGATTTGTTAATTATCTATTTACTTGTTCGATTGTGTGTTTATGCATTTGTTGAATATAACTATTCAAACACGCGCCTTCTCTCTCTCTCTCTCTCTCTCTCTCTCTATATATATATATATATCCATAACAGAATAGAGAGTTAGTCTCTTGCGTTTCTTCGTAGACAAAAACAAACGTTTATTTTCTTCAGCTTCACATTTACGGATAAGCTGAATTACAGACTCATTCCCCTGGCTGAACAAAACAGGTTTTTAGAGGACAGTATGCCACTTATCTTCAACCATTTACAACAGTTCCGCCTGCAGAAAACGTCGTCTGTGTTAGAAAACCCAGATAAAGTGCAGGCCCCGTAAAACCGTAAATGACTAGAAGTGTATATATTACCGTTGGGATGAAGGACTTGGCCAGTAATGTAAGAGGAGCAATGATTGCAGGCAAGAAATACATAGGAGGGAGCAACCTCGATCGGCTGGCCAGCTCTCTTCATTGGCACCTGAGCTCCAAATTGTGCCACTTCTTCCTCCTTGAAGGAAGCTGGTATTAAGGGAGTCCAGATGGGTCCCGGGGCAACCCCGTTGACTCTTATTCCCCTGCTCACCAGTTGACGGGACAGACCCCTCGTAAACGCCACAATCGCACCCTTCGTCGCTGTATAGTCCAGTAATTTGGCGTTTCCTTTGTATGCATTCACTGATGTGGAGTTGATGATGCTGCTTCCTTCCTTCATGTGCTTCAGGGCATGCCTGTGCCAGTGAAATTTATTGGTTTACGTATTCTCCTGCGAAATCCTAAATCAAATCTGATCATTTAATTTGTTTGTTTGTTTTACCTGGTCACGAAGAAATAGGAGAAGATATTAGTTCTGAACACCCTCTCGAGCCTTTGCTCGTCAATCTCCTCCACAGATCCAGCCTCGTACTGCTCAGCCGCATTATTGATCAGAATGTCAATTCGGCCAAACGCTTTGACGACCTCATCCACTACTTTCTTGCAGTTCTCATCAAAACCCAGGTCAGCCGGTATGGCTACGGGCTCCCTGGCATCCACAGTTTTTGCCTTCTTGATCATTTCAAGCGTGTCCTCGGCGTCCTTGTCTTCACATCCCTTCACATATGTGAAGGCCAGAGTGGCACCCTCCAAGGCAAACACATTGCACACGGCTCGCCCAATCCCAGAGTCCCCGCCGGTAATTAGTGCCACCTTCCCCTAAGACATTCAAACAAGTTCGTATCATGGCCTCGCCATCGAGAAAGAGAAAATTATGAGTACACAAGAACTCTTCATGTATTTACAGACACACGCGTACTTGGAGTTTATTTGAGGGCTTGTAGTCGGGGCTGGTGAATTGAGGTATCGGATTCATGCCATGCTCTTTCCCAGGGAGCTCGTCTTGCTTCTGCGTGGGAAATTTCTGATCACCGTAAGCCATCCTGTAGACACGACAAGATTTTGTGAACAGAGGGACAGGGATCTTTCCGGAGTGATGGGGGTGGGATTTAGAGGGTGGGTTTGTGCTGGTTATGGATGCGGAACGAGTAATGAGGCGATCTCAGATGGCTGCACGTGTGATTGTGATAGCACCATGGTGAGTTTATATGGAGAATTTGAATATGCCACGCGCCGACTAATGGCCCATGGAGTTGTCTACGTGTCGTGCTATTCGCATGCATCGGACACGTCTGAAGTCCAGAGCATTGGTTTGAACTGTGTGTCGGATATGCATACTGCCCCCGTTCAAAAGTACTCCCAGTTATCAGCATGTTGGCAAAGTTGTAAGGAGATCTTCCGTTGGAATTTTGTGCCTAAGTTGAGTTGAATTAAACCAATCCAAAAGAATTTATTTTCAATTTAAATGACATTTATTCTCCATTTTCTATATTAATTATGAACGGATAATAAATAATATAATATACTATGGACAAAAACCGGTTACGTAGATCTAATGGCGTGCCAACAAATCTAAAAAATAAAATTTGGGACATAATTCAAGAAGGAATGAATGACCAGCAAGACATCATCGGAATGCTTTGCATGGTAGCCACGTGGAAGAGAGATGAATGGATACCTGTCACTACATAGCGACCAACTTCCCACCGTGTTATTCCCATTCGAGAAACGCTTTGTGATCTGGGAGTCAAACCCACCATGGCCTCCTTCCTTCTCGCCTCTGTTCTCGCCTTCCTCTTGCTTTCAACTCCGGCGCACTGTAAAGGTACACTGCCCTCACTCCCGCATCCACTGCATCTCATCAGTTCATTATCTTCTATCATGTGAAACAAAACACATCCTCTTATGAATATACGTGTCATATCCTCTTATGAATATACGTGTGTGTGTTTACATACATATACATATCCGATGCAAGCATTTCTAAATAAAGAGTAAAACAAGTCTCAATAATTGACATATGTGGGCGCATGCAGATGAGAAAGATAGTGTATTAAAGGGTGTCAACAGCTACAGGCAGAGTCAGAACCTGCCGGTGCTGGCGGAAGTGGGCAGAGCGTCGTGCCTGGCCAACGAAATAGCGGATGATCTGGAGGACGTGCCGTGTGAGAATGTGAGGCAGTACTATCCAACGGCTTCTGGAATCCAGAAACTCCCAAACTTGCAGAAGCACATTGATAAATGCGGCCTTAACATCAACACCACCAGGGACGGTGTTATTCTGCCTGCTTGCGTCGCCAAGTTGGAACCCACCGTCCTCCTCTCTAACTACACTCACAATGATCGCTACGCTTCCTATCTCAACAACTCACTGTACACCGGCATTGGACTTGGTTCTGAGAATGACTGGATGGTCCTCGTTCTCACCACCAACACTCCCACCGGATCTTTCTCTGCTGCCACTTCTCTCCTTTCTCCTCCCGCTTTCATGCTCGCCTTCCTCCCCACTCTGCTGCTTCTCTTCACACACACCCGTTAATTACATTTTGTCAGACCCCTCTTCTCTTCATATTTTCCTAACTGCGCTGGACTCTAGTTTAATCACACTTTCTGTGTTTTCCTTGTAAATGTGGTTGTGAACCCTGGGAACTGGAATGGACTGATATTTTACCTGTTGCCGTTTCTTTGGTTGGATTTGCAAGTGACTTGTCCGTTAATTACTTGTTATATATACGTCCTCCCGCCTGTACGAAGGCATTTGGCAGCACGCACAAAATACAACCTCATCAAATGAAAATAAATTACAAATCCAGATATGTATCTGAACTATTAAGGCACATTCGCAACCAGAGGCAAGATCTGAATCTTGTTATCGGAGAAGACACGCTGCGGACCATGTGGCCACCCCATCCGAGTCGAAACAAGATTTTGAGAGTGCCCGATGCCTTTGCCCAAAAATACACATATTGCCTTCATAAATTAATTAATTAGTTACTTAATTAAAACAAAATCTATAAATTATAAAGAGGCTACGATTCTCCTCTATTTACAGTTAATCTCACAACCAGTGGCGCTCCATGCAGAGGCTCAGATATACGGCGGATGGCTAGACTATATCACATAATATATTTAAATTAACAGTCCACATCTATATATAATATAAATTTTTTTATGATGCTAAAAGAGTTTTAATCTTATACTTTCAACTGACTAGTTCATCTGGGATCCGGTAGTTTATACTCTATCCTTTTGAAAAAGTAAATAAAACGGCTCCTCCTTAAGAATTAGTTCACTGTGAACAGATTAAAAAATTTGTTAAATTAGCAAATATTTTTACTAATTATGTATTAGTTAAAATTAATATTTGATTAAACATTTAATGTATGTAATTACTCTAAAAATTACTTTAAAAAATGAATAAATATGAGAGATAAAATGGATTATAATCTTATATTTAGGATCAAATTGAAAGCCAAATTAGTTCTTATATATATATTAAGTACTTAAAAAAGTATTAATAACATTTTAAACAATTAGTTAAGATTTTTAATTGATTGATTGAAACTGAAATTAATAATTTAATATCATTAAAACTAAGGTGGCAACATTAATTTGCCCTTAACAAACAGCGAGTCAAAATCAATTTTCGAGGGAGATCGCCTGTTTAGGCCAGGGGAGTAACTAAGCCCTGTATGGCTGGCGCCTGGCCGGGCGAACCCAGAAGATGTTCCTAACCCCATACACGGTATTAGCGCGAGAGCCAAGGCAAAGCCGTAACATACCCACAGGGAGATAGACACCGACAAGAAGGGAAAAGGCGTGTGTCAAGTCTCTCTGCCATGGCTGATAATCTAGCAGACGACGATGACGACGAGAGTTTCGGTGACTTCAAGTTTGTTTCTTTTCCTAATCAGCCTGTTCAGAACAATGGGAAAGACCTCCCCGCCGACGACGACGAGTGGGGCGATTTCATGAACTATTCCAATCAGATCAATGGCGGATCGGCCCACACACCTAATGGACTCTTCTCTTCCAACTTTCCCTCTAATTCCGCCAACACTTATAATTTTTTTGACCCGCTTCAGGTTTCCCAAGATCTTACGCAGAAAAACAGCTCCCCTGTGAACGAGATCAATCGGGTTGAGTTGGCACCGACCCCGGCAGAGCCAGAAAAGCTCCGGTGGAATAAGCCCGAGGGTGCTCTGCCGCTGTCAATCTTTGGCGAGGAGGAGGTGGAGGAGGAACGTACATCAGGCAATCTTCCTTTTGGAGATGAAGCCAATGTATTCTCTAAAAAAATCGGTGATTCCGTTAAGAAGGAATCCGATTCCAACGGCGCCATTAGAATCAATGATTTAATTGCGAATTTGTATAATCAACTTCCACAGATAAATTATGACAACGGATCGATTTCAGTATTAAGCGTGTCTGATTTGAATTTGCCCGGAGCAAGCTCTAACATCGTCAGCTCGATTACGACTATGGCTGCTTCCAACGTAGACGCTAATGGACTAAACTCCATTATAAACAGTTTAAATTCTGATTCTGTGGATGAATTAGACGACACCGGCGATGACGATGGTGGATGGGAATTCAAGTGTGCAGAATCTGAAATCCGAACTGAGAGCAATGATATTAAGGTAATGAAGGAAAATTGATAACCAAGGTTTTAAATTGTTGACGCTGCTTATACTTAAGTAAGTGATGGGCTTCAGATGATTTCTAAAACAAGCATGACTATTTCTTGCTCTAATGTGCCTGTTAATGTCCACGGCCTCATGTTAATATTAAAGGATTTTAGCTAACATGTTCGCATTCTGCTGTTAAGGTAGAACAGACAGAGCACGAAACAAGCGGTGCGGATGAATATGCGTTCACTTTCGATAATGGTGCGCTTGGAGTCGGTGACATGTTGGACTCGTCTAGCAGGATTTCCCACAAAGCTGATGAATGGAACCTGGGATTTGAGTTCAATCCAAGTTCTGCAGTGCAAAATCATATTCAAGTTTCGGAATCAGGATCAAATCATAATTTGGTAAGCCACTTTAACGTAATTACCTCATTTAGTTTGACAGTGTTCAGATTTTAAAGGAACATTCATCTAGAAACTCTGGATTTGGTATTTAGGAAGCTCCAAAGTTGGCTGCCATAGATCCGGTTGGTGAGCAAGTACTCAGAATTGATGATGAAGGTCCCAGCAATCCTGATGATCAATATGTTGCAGCAGGATCTCATCAATCTGGTGACTTCAATTTTGGCTCTAATCTCTATCCTAGTTCTCTGGGCGAAGTCCATCACACGTCAGAGTCCGATTCTAAAAAAAACCAGGATGATGACAACAAAACTTTTAATGCTTTCCCTGCAAATTCCAATGTTGATTTTGATGTCAAGTTGTTTGAACCTAAGGATGCAGTTTCAGAAGTTGGAACAGACCAGAAGGTGCTGAATCAATTTTATATCATGTTTTGTATATCATGTTGTATTATCAAGGTTTAAAAAGGATATTAAATGCTAGATTCTTAATTTTGATTCCAGGGATTCTCAAAAGAATTGTTTTATTTAGTCATTTAATATAGTCTTTATGATTCTTGTGGCAATAATCTTATTGTTACTATTCTTTTCAAATTTCCAGAAGAGCCAAGTAAACTCAGAGAAGTGGAGGGAAGCCTTGTCCCTCTCAGTATTTGGTGATGAGGTGCAAGATACCGATGAGCATTCTGTGTTTCAAGGTTTTTCTTCTTATGCACCAGCATCCTCTATAAGTAATAGCTTTAATAGCCCTGGTTCCAGCTTAGCTATCAGTGATTTGATATGGGATTTATATGGTCAAGCTGAACAAAAAACTTCTCTTGGAACACCAAAAGGAAGCGAAAATGGTCAGGCAGTGCTGGACTCCAATTTAGTCACTTGCGACGATGATTTTAATGATGACTCCTGGCAATTTAAGGATGCTTCACATGGAACTAGAAGCCTTGAATCTGTGGAAAACACTCATTCTAATCATGAACCGCAAGTCAATGAAAACGGGCTACAACTTTTACCAGCGGTTTTGAAACCTGATTTGATTAATGATGATGATGGTTTCGAGAATGAATCATGGGAATTTAAGGCTGCCTTCTGCGAATCAAAGAGCAAGTATCAGGGATCTATTATGGATCACAAGGATTTACCTCTTGAGTCGTCAGCAAAATTAGAGCCTCCTGATTATGTAGATTTCTATTGCAAATTGACAGACGACTTGTGCAATGCCATCCTGTTCCATCTCCAGAATCTCAAGGTTGATAACTATTTGCTGGCTTGCATCCTTTTTAAGAAAATGTTAATACTTAGTGATTCTAAAGTTTTTTTTTTTTTTTTTTACGTGAAATACCTAGAATGGCCAAAGTGTTGCTACACTCAATGGTGAAGAAGCAAAAGCAAAGGCTCTTCAGGAAGAAATTCAGGTTAGTTTATGTGCATGGACAATATTATCGTTGTGTTCGGTCATGCATGTTTGTCATGATGTATGACATACGTTATTTTGAAATTCATAAGCTTAGAATCCCAACGCTTTTAGAATATCTAAGAGAAATATAATGTGATTTGTTTACATTTCTATTTTTTTGCTGTATGTTTATATCTCTCTGCTTGCTTATGGCTATTATCTCTGTTGTTGTACTTGAATAAAAACTCACTCCTGCTGTCTCCTGTTTTAGGAATTCTCTGACATGCTACATGAGTGTAATGTCCTACCAAATGAACATATTTCGGAGAATCAACCTACAAGAGATGTGTCTCTTCGCAAACTTATTGAAGCTTTGAAGGAACCTAGGTTTCAACTTCTTGAGTCGGATTACAAGCTAACATCAAGGTTGTCAATGGTACGTGAGGTTCCTAAAATATTGAGTATTTTATGTCTAAAGATCCATGCCTTTGCACGTTCAAATGGTATTTTGAACTGTCAGTGGAGTTTGATAAACCTCTAGCAGTTTACTTGATTTTATAACTGCTCCAGGCTCTGCAAGAGGTAGTAATTTTTGTCAGTTCTCTTTAAGATTAACTTGATGAATATGGACCGCAATTACTTGTCAGTATTTTTAATTTGTTGATAAGCTTTTGTACAGGTTGATTTAGCTTTAATAATACCTGTCACTTTTATTTTGAATAGGCGGAGACAAATACAAGATCTGCTATTGAACTCCTAAAAGATACGCTATCAACGTTAAAAGTTCTCAAGTTAAGATCAAGAGAAGAACAATCTAACTATCTTACTGCGTGGTCCAAAATAGCGTTAGTTTGTTCTGAGGAGATGAAACACGGTGCCTTCATTTGGAAGCAATCGGTCCAGAGGAATGTCCACGACCAAATATTATCCAACCCAAAAGGTAGGCCACTGATTGTTGTGTATAATGTTTAAAGAGTTTATATTTACTCCTAAACAAACCCTAACTTGTGGGATGGTTGGTTGACACAGGCTCTCAGTATATTCATGCACTCGGAGAAATTTGTAGAGTGGCAGAAATTGTTGGACTCTCAGCCAAACTTCACAAGCCATGGATGTTATCAGGTTCTGTAGATCCGGCAAGATTGTTTGCACTTTTGAACGAGTGTTATGCCATATGGTCTGATTCAGGACTTGAAGAAGCCCTTCTTTGTATGTCAAATGAAACTAATTTCGAGCAAGAAGGAATTTCCACGGAATTACTCAAATCCATTAAGTATATCCACGAGCTTGATGAGCAAGAACTCCAAAGCTGTATCTTCGCTGGAGAAGAAGCTACTTGCCAGTTGTCAGCCTTACCTGCTGGTTTTATACCGGGTATGTGTACAATATTTTTGGCTGTCTTTGAAATGCAAACGGTGAAATTTGCCTAAAAATATTTACATGATTAGAATTTTAAATGGGAGGGGATCTCATGATAGTGTTGTTTAATGGGTGGTGAAGTCTCAAGGTGTCCAATTGCCGGTTATTTAGCGATTAGGACTTTGTGAAAGTTTATCACCACAAACATTTTATCTTGTATTTTAAAATTCTGCTCCGGATCTCCCCATGATCCTTTGCCCTTCGGCTATTTTTTTCCATGCATACCCTCTCCAGCGGAATCTTTTCATGCTAGTCGAAAAGATACTATTGCAGTTGAACCTTCACAGATGTTCTTTGGTGATACTGTAATTTAGGGTATGCATTTGAGGTCAACCTTTCATGCCACTGAACTACATGGAGACGGGCAAACCAGCTGGATATGAAAAAAGATGTATGTGTCACAGCATATTAGTTGTTAAGGGTCTTTCTGCGTTCTATGCTCCCAGTGAGTGTCTTTTGTTAATTTAAAAATGAAAACGAAAGAATCTAGATTATAAATCAATCTGGGCAATCTTTATGATTATCTTGTGATTTTCATCAGGTTTGAAAATGGTAACCTGGAAAGGGAAGCAGTATTTCCTCGCGATTGCAAACTTGTGGATAAATCTAGTGAATTCAGATTTTCCTTAATCGAGTCACTGACACCGTGCAACTCTTGCATGCCACTTGTAACGGGGGGACTCTTCCATCAGACCTTGCCAGTGCTGTTGAAGCTTTCTTATGAACAGAACAGTGTGAGCACAATTGTCGCAGCAACCAGCTTTTTTCTCTGGATGAAGCCTTCTGGAGCCCTCTCAGCTGTGTTGCTGGACTAGTGGATTGGAACGATTGTTTGTATGGGGTGAAATTTTGCAAGTCAATTTTTGAAGTCCTCATGATCGTACTTGCATGACTGCTTGTGCGATCATGGCGAAGCTTCCTGGGTAAGATATTCTTTGTTGGGTAGACTAGCATTCTTTCTGTGGAATCTGGATGACAGTCATTGGATGTTAGAAGTACTGTACTATTTTGTAGTGTGTAATCTAAGATAAGGATATATACCGATGATAATGAAATCTTATAAATGCGAAGTAGAATGTTATTCGGGAGGGAATGATTTTGCATTCTTTTTTAAAAAGAAAAGGCAAAATGATTAACACTATAATAAAAATTATCAGTCTACATCACAGGTTTTGCTACGTGTAAAAAAGTCTGAGAAAAACGGTAAAAAAACCTATAGTCATTACATTTAGAAACAGTTACTCTAGAAAACAAAAGCAGGAGTTGTTAAGGCTTTGCGAATATGAGTGAGATCCACGAGCTACTTCTTGAAGCAAATCAAGGTAAGTTCAGATCCTTCTTTAAGCAAGTCTTTTCCCATGTGTACTACCCATAGCAAGATTTGCCTCAAACAAGAGTTGTTGAAAATATCTGGAGCTATAAAGATTCGCTGGGGTTTGAAACCTTGGACATGAATGCCTTCGAATAGAATAATAGCATGCATTGGCGTTTGTTTTTAATTTTCCCCTTGAAAAGCAATATTGTCCATTCCTTACCCACAGATGGTGTATCCAAAGAAGTTGGTACGGAGACTGGTGATCTTTTATCTTCAGAGATCTGAGGAGAAGGAAAAGCCATACTGAAGTAGGAAACCCAACTTCGAATTTCCTTTATCACCTTCATAGGATGAACAACTTTGCCTTCATGTCGCACCTGATTTTGCTTCCTCCATATAACATTTAAAAGGATGATCAATCTTTTTAGTTGAAAGTCAAGCTCATCCTGTGGAAGTTATAACATTACGGATTTTAACCACAGCAAAAAAGAGTCATAGCTTTGCACATCAATTTTGATTGAGAGACAACCAAACCAAATGGCACGAAGATAGGGGGCAGTAAATGAACAAGTGCTCTAAAGTTTTCGGGCAGCAACAACCAAAAACACAAAACAAAGTAGTGGGCACATGATGTTGATTTACGACATCCCCAGAAGGAATTGATTTGTTAAAGAACTTCCAGATGAAAAGCAGTGACTTCAATAGAAGGGAAAGGGACTAGAGGAATTTCCAGAATTTGTCACCACAGCCATTTATCTGAATAACTTCTTAAAGACATTTCTTGAAACCATCTTTTGCCTTATAAATACCAGAGCTATTTGCAATCCAGTGAAAAGAATCATGGCTTGTTTGGTACAAAATTGGAGTTGATGTAATTTTACACAAGGTATTTGCAGAATAAAAAGTCTTTTAACAAAGGGATATTCTATCGGTGAGGAGTCCAATTAAAAAAAGTATGCAATAAGAGATCCTTAACCTTAAGTAAGTTGAATAGCAAGGCAGATCTCAAGTGCATAGGCCACCCAAGATGATGGTTGAGACGAATTTGAAAGTCAAAAGAGACGTCCCACCGAAGATTATCCATTCTATCAGGAGGGAATGATTTTGCTTACTCATCAAATGATGTTCATCTTGGAATGCAAATGGGAACTCCCGTGACGCTCTGACAGTATGCTTTTCTGAATTAAGTTTTGACCTCAATCCCTGATTCCTCTTCTTTACGCTCGATTTTAATTGAATTAAATTTAATAATGGAATAAATTTATTTAATGGGATGCTAAATTTTTTGTCCTTAATTTTCTTCAGTTCATGAAATCTAATACTTATCAATTTAGTTTTAGATTTTGATAATCATACACAGTTGCTCCTTGTGATGGGAAAGAGAAGTAATACTACCATCATAAAGGCTAATTATACATGGTTATGACATTTCAGGGATTTAATTGAGAAAGAATAAGCTTAACATATTTAAGGAATAAAAAATTTCGTTATCCCTTTATTTCATCATCTGCGTATTAAAATTTACTAGCAATTAACATTTAATGATTGATCTCTTTAATTTTGTTGTCATCTTATATAGTTTTTCTTTTTATTAAAATTAATTGAATGATATAATATAATTTTCAAATTTTTTTATAAAATATATGATTTTCAACTTCATAAAAATTTAAAAATAATTAATCACGCATCCTTAGTGTTAGGAATCATTAACTGATGTGATTATATCACAATTATCTCTCTTTTTTTGCATGGAATCCCTTAATTTGGTGAGGATTCCATCAATTTTTTTTATTCTAACTATTAAAACTAGGGGAGGGGACTCACGCAACAGAGTTGGATTCTCTCCACTACCTTCCCATTCTTTTTCCCTCCACTACCCTTCTTTTCTCTTCACAACCATCGGATCAAAATTCCAATGATCCAGATTTAACATTTTATAAAAATAATGTTATTAAAAATAAATAAATAAATTTAAACTGTTAAAATCTGGTTTGAACAGTTTACAATTGTAATAAAAAAATTAAAAAAATTTGCTTTATAATAACAGTTTGTAGTTATGAACTGTTCAGATTAGATTTTAACAGTTTAAATTTATTTATCTATTTTTTATCATAATATTTATTTTTATAAAATGTTATAACATATTAAATCTGGACTATTAGAGTTTTGATCCAATAGTTGTGAAGAGAAAAGGAAGAGTAAGGGAAGGGAAGAGAATGAAAAGAGTAGTAGAGAGAATCCAATTCCTTCACGCAATGACCCATCATGAGGAAATCCCATTAATTTGTTCTCTGGGCCAAAAGGGCTCCCCTTAATTAAATTAAAATTCATATAATAAATTAATAACTACAAAAATTTCCTAATCCGTACCCCTCGAATCTCGATCTTCTTGCATAACCCTCTCCTTTGTTTCCTCTCACTCCGCAAAGAGCAGCAGTGCCGCCGCCGATTAGGTCCTAGCGCTTTGGTGGAGATGTTGGACATCAATCTCTTCCGGGAAGAAAAGGGTCACAACCCTGAACTCATCCGCGAATCTCAGCGCCGTCGTTTCGCCAATGTCGAACAAGTCGACGAAGTCATCCATCTCGACAAAGAATGGCGAAAGCGTAATGTTCTTTCTTCACCCCTTAACCTCTATTTCTAGCCATCACAGTACTATGATTTGCTTTAAAAAGAAAAAAGAAAAAATCCAATCCCCCGTTATGGTTTCCAGGACAATTTGAGCTGGAGAATCTCCGGAAAGAGGTCAACAAGATCAGCAAGGAAGTCTCTAAGCTTAAGCGTGTGAGTCTATTCAATTTCTTTTCTCCTTCTGGTTTCAGTATCCAAACTCTCGATTTTAGTATGCTTTGTAGATAAGAAACATGGAACAAGCAAAACGTTTTCATGATATATAATGTGTCATGTGTACCTTTTGTGAGCATTTTGTTTGCTTACATGGCTATCCACATTTACAAAGACGCCAATCCTCTTGAAACGTATGAATCAGGAAGCTATTCTTAATAGCCTCTCCTGAAATGTTAGAAGCCTGTAACTCGTATCTATTGGGAGCTTATCATCAATTGGCGTTTTCTAACTGCTGAATTCTGGCTGACTAAATATGACTTGTGTTCCTCTCTGCTCCCTTTTCTTTTTGATAGGCAGGTGAAGATGCGACCATGCTCATCAGTGAATCGGAGGATGTAAAGAGACAGATAGCAGATAAAGAGGTTGAAGTTCAGGAAACCTTAAAACAGCTGAACTCAAAGCTGGAAACAATTGGAAACCTTGTGCATGATTCAGTTCCAGTCAGCGATGATGAGGTTTCTTGTTTCGTTTGGTTGAATATGTTGCTTTTAATTCTTTCGCCAACCTTTCCAAACATCATCAGCCTATATAATATTTCTTAGGCCAACAATGCGGTGATTAGATCATGGGGGGAGAAGAGGATGGAGCCTAAACTGAAGAATCATGTGGATCTAGTTGAGCTCCTTGAAATAGCAGATACAAAGAAAGGTATAAATTTATTTATCTGGTGCTCAACAGTGCATCCTTTTATGGCTTGGGAGATGTCTTTTACAATGACTCATTTTCATGTAATTTATCATTCCGTATAGCATATTGGCATGCAATTCTGATTCAGGATTTGCTATTCCAATGTTTATAATGCTATTATTTGATGCTGTAATTGTATAGTGCAGAAAATACTTGCATTTGAACCCTTCCAGCCACGAACTTCAGAAATGCATGCATTTATATTATTCCTTTATAATATATTTCATCGTCTTATGTGATGTTGCTTGATACATAACAGGAGCTGATGTTGCTGGAGGTAGAGGTTTCTATCTCAAAGGAGATGGTGTTCGTCTCAATCAAGCTTTAATTAACTTTGGACTTGATTTTTTGGAAAAAAGAGGATATACTTTGTTGCATACCCCTTTCTTCATGAGAAAAGATATAATGTCAAAATGTGCTCAGTTAGCCCAATTTGATGAAGAGCTTTATAAGGTAAAATTCACAAGTTCGATTGGTTTTCTTGTTAGGTCCATCTGCAGTTTGGTGATGTTGATAACATTGCTGCTTCTATGTATAAAAAGTTAAATTCTTCGGTTAAATGAATGAAACGAGTGCGTGACTAGTTAGTATGCTTGATAATATAGCGCTGATATAGTACATTTATGGTTTTCTAGGCAAAATATTTCAATTGTAGTATTTTCCTCCGATCTTAGCTGGGTTTTTATGCAGGTTACAGGTGAAGGAGAAGACAAATATCTTATTGCAACAGCTGAGCAGCCATTATGTGCATATCATTTACATGATTGGATCCACCCTTCTCAACTACCTATACGGTAATATTTATTCAGGGAAACATATTAAATTGAAGGATTGCTTTAGCTTTTGATTAAAAAACATGCTTTTGCCAGATACGCTGGATATTCATCATGTTTCCGTAAGGAAGCTGGATCTCATGGTCGCGATACCCTGGGAATATTTAGAGTTCACCAGTTTGAGAAAGTGGAGCAGTTTTGCCTTACTAGCCCAAATGGCAATGATTCTTGGGATATGCACGAGGAAATGATGAAGAACTCTGAGGATTTTTACAAAGCCGTAAGTTTTTTTTCCCCTCGTCAAGCAATTGGAAAATGATATATATTGTTAGTTTACTTCATTTAGTGGTGTATGCTTGGCTTAAAATAAATATATATTGTAGATGACTTGTTAATACTATAACTTGTTACAAGTTTTATTATATATATTGATATTGATTTCAAAATGATCATTCGATCCTAGGCACCTGGTGCATATTGGAGAATCACCTTTTTTTTAACTTGGTAAAGATGCTGGTTAAGGGTATCGTTTAATTTGTCCTAATATGATATTAATTAAAAATATTAAGCGCATCTAAATACATGATTGCCTATGTATGGATGTTATTACTTGGAAAATTGTTGCAATGGTTGTGTCCTGCTCAAATTAACTTTATTATGGCCCCCATGGGTTAAATCTTACCGTTTGCAGTTAAACCTTCCTTATCAAGTAGTAGCCATTGTATCTGGTGCTTTGAATGACGCTGCAGCAAAGAAGTGTGATCTAGAAGCGTGGTTTCCAGCATCTCAAGCTTATAGAGAGCTTGTGTCTTGTTCTAACTGTACTGACTATCAGGCCAGAAGACTAGAAATTCGATACGGTCAGAAGAAGGTAAGTTATACCGTGTCATTATAAATTTTGACGGCATTCACTTTCTTCAATAACTTTTTAATGAAAACTATAAAATGCTTAATTTCTATACCGAATTTATATGAGAAGTTCTTAGCATTGCTAGTCATAAAATTTGTTGCAAATCTCAACATCAAATATCCATTTATATTATAATTCCAAGCAAATGTGACTTTATTCAACTTGTTTTTGGAAATAATGGAAGTGATTATGGTTCTTAATTGTGGAAATGAGACCTAGGAGAAGCAGCAAGGCAAATTTGGTTGGTCAAAAGTGTGTTTGGGATTTAACGGTTGTGCTGTCGCATCCTTTTTTTTGCTGTTGCAGAGCAATGAGCAGACTAAGCAATATGTTCACTTGTTGAACTCTACTCTCACCGCTACTGAGAGGACTATTTGCTGCATACTGGAAAATTACCAGAAGGAGGATGGTGTAGAGATACCAGAAGTCCTCAGACCATTCATGGGTGGAAAGACTTTTCTTCCTTTCAAGAGCCAAACAACTAATGAAGCCAAAGGGAAGAAATCGAAGGCCTAATTGCATCATTTTTTCAGTCTGATATTCACGAAAGAGTTTGTTTAAAATGAATCTTACTTTATCCCTGTGTTATTTCCTATCATAAGTTGCCGCTACCTCCCCCTTTATTGTCATTTCCCCTTTGGGTCTGATATTTATGAAAAGATGTCATTTAAAATGAATCTTAGCTTACCCCTTTGTTATTCACCTCCTTCTGCCCTTGATTAAATGATACTCCACCGGTCCTAAATATAAGATCCTTATACACACTAATATAAATGTTTTATATTTAGGACTGGAATGGAATCATAGAAGGTCGCCTATTGACTATTTTTGTAGAGGGGTTGTCAGAGGGTCCTTTATATTGGCAAATTCTGTAACTTGCATTAATCCACCTATCCGCCAACTTTATAACTTATGTATTGTTTAGATTTGTACGTTGGAATTGTTCATTGTTAGATTGATTCTGGTTTGCAATGTGCTAGTTTCCCTCAACGTTTGAGTTTAGCGGACCTGGCTTGGAAGAGGGGGAGGGCATCTTGTTTTATCGTTTACAGCATAAAATTAGCGGTCTGGACGTATTAATTTGCAATTTAGTGATCGCTTTCGGGGACATGGAAATCTGGCTAGCCTAGGGATAGTGGGTCACCGGAGTGCATTGCTGAGGGTGAATGAATGGCCGGAGAATCTTGAGCGTGACCCGCAGCTTGTGAAATTGTCATTCATGGAGACTAGTTCTGAAGTCAGTATTGCTTTGTGTGTTGCAGGGCATCGAAGCGTGTTCATTTTAATGGAGCTATGCCTACTGACATGTATAACGAAATTGATTGAAAAGAGGACTCCGGTCTGGAAAATAGGTACTACGATTTTCAGCAGAGTTTTGTAGTGAAGGTGCTTTTGATCCATTAGATTCATCCATGCAGGAATATACCAAAGCCTAATTCTTTAATAATTCATATTGCGTTCAGAAGGATGGCCATTGTCCATGTCAGGTCACCTTCATGGATTTTTAAGGAAAAAACGAGCTTTTTGGTCCTGGATTTTGTTCCCGAATCCTCTTTTTTTTTTTTTTTAATGAAATGTTGGGGCGTTAAATCATAGATAACTCCGAGTTCTTTGTACTTAATTAGCAAGTGTTAATTTTTTCTTTCGGGATTTGTTTTTTTGGGGGGGGGGTGTGAAGCAACTAGCATTTTCGTTTTCGTTTACAGCTACTCGTTACTATTCGATATTATCAACCAACTTGAATTTCAACCTTACGTAGCCTGAAAAATGGTTTGCTTACCCGGTGCAATTTTTTGTTTGAAATATACTTTCATCTTAATTACAACAGCATCATGAGCTCACCCTCGATCCGCATAAGTCAGGCCCGTCAAGTAACTTCTACATAATATAATAATAGGAGAGAATTTTGGTGCCTTTATTTTAGGAAAAAAAATGTAAAACTGCTGATTAATGATAATGAGTGTATGATAAATATTATTATAATTTTTCACCTTTTAATTGATTAACACAACAGGGATCTCATTGTCTCTATAAGTGCTACGGTGTGTTTAACGTGGAAGAGACAGATCGGTGACAAGTATACAAATGTTGTACTTCAAATATTAAAACTTGAAATATAAGAATGAAAATATGAAATTGGTCCCCATTTTTTGTTTCTCGTCTGGACTTGCTCTCCTTGGTGTATGAAAGACAAGTGTTCTTCTGTTTTTTTGGCCCACAAAAGACGAGTGTTCTTAAATGTTAGTGCCGAGCGGCAAAAAGAACCCACATATTTGCCGGTAGCAGAAGAATGTATGAAGTCCCAAACAAAGGTAATTATTAACAAATCCAATACTACCAAAATAGTATGCACTAGCAATTTTAATGTAATAAATGATAACTTTTTATTTATTATTGAGATTTTTAGCTAATTATTTTTTTTCTCTCGAAACCTCATAGTAATTCTCCCTAAAAGAATTTTGATCTGTAAGCTATAAAATGCAAGCCTAAGCCTCTAAGACAAGGTAAAAAAAGCTCTTTGTTATCTGTATATTCCCACTTCTTGATGATGATACCAGACCGGTTTCCTTTCATACGGATATTGTGAAGAGATACAACTTTAGGACTACAGTTAGAGCCAGCTGCAATAGAAAGATGCCAGCAACAATCAGCAACCACCTTTCTCCTGCCGATTGGATGTGTGCACGGAGGTTAAGTGCCACAAATGTTGCAGACATGAATCCGGCCACGCCTGCAATCGCCCATCTAAAGATATCCAACAGCACAATCGATCGACATACACTGCATCAAACCCAACTTCTTTACATACCGAGGATGAAAACGGCACATCTCGTGCCTTTCATGAATGGAGAAAATATGAAGAGCACTGACTCATCAAAGCCGGAATGAAGACAAAAATGGAATATCCGTAGAGACAAAATAATTGAACAAGACTGGATGGTGCAGATAAGTATTTGAGGATTACATACAGACAAAGAGGAACAATGATGACATAACCATAAAACAAACCAGCCGCCCAAGTCACCATATTTATGTCATAGTTCCATTCCTTGTTCTTCAACTTGTCTGCTATATATGTCACAAATGTGCCAATAGAGGCTGCTACAAATATTGAAGTGGTACAGATCCAGAAAGGCCCATACCTGACTACCTGTGCATATTCAAAAGTGCAAATTAAAATCACATCCTGCAACTCATGACACATCATCCAATTGGCTCTTTCCAGAAATAAGCTTGAAAAGTTAATTTATGTGACGAGGTCATGTCACATGGAAGATAATCTACACTCCACTCCACCCCTAAATAGATAAGCTCAAACACCTAGCTCCTTATACCACGGTCGTTCATTTGTATCACGAATATATACGTCATCTTGAGAGATGCTAGGAATAAACAAAAGACACAATAGTTTAGTTATATATTTTCCTCGAAAAAATCATATCGACATTAACCATTTCATCATTTTTTCACCGGAACCATCCATGTCCATGTTATTTTGAGAGAAGAAAGACAGAAGGAAAGAAAGGGCTGGAACTATGGCATTGGTAGTTTAATCAGTTAATTAAATGAACAAGCAAACATAAAGTCACAGATCAGGATTGCTAGCGGTTTTCTCATTGAAGGTTCCTCTAAATGGAAAGAGTGACTCTTTAATCCTCTCTAGAACTTCTGGAGTGTCAATATCAAAGTATGGTTTGTATGCAGCTAGTGTGAAAGCCCGAAGCCAACCACTCCGTGGGATTCATCAGAACCAGATACAGGATTGGAAAATGTGTCTGTATACAATGAATAAAACGAGAAGACATATGTACCTCTGACGATGTACAAACAAACAGATAATACATCCTGACTGTAACCATAAAATTGCTAAAAGCATGCAACACAAGGTCAGCATATATTGCCTACTCCATCTCACTGTCATGGAGAGTCACAGCAGACCCCTACTTTATCAAACTGATCGCATTCGCATCACAAGGTTTACGTAAAAGAATGATCGAATATATGAAGAAATAAAGTAACATGCAATACCATAAGTAATATCAGTAACGAGTCAGTAAGATCCCCCACTAGAAACGTTCTAATTTCTAAGGGAATCAGGTATGCAATAAGAAGTTAAACCAACTTGATATTTTTACCGAAAAAACCTTTTACTAGACATTGGTATGAACAAATTTGATAAGGACCAACTGTAATTCAAACGGGAGAAGAAACCTCACAAGTATTTATTGTAACCAGACAGAAAACAAACAGATCAGACCAATTTGAACAAACACGTACCCTCAGCATCGCGAGGAGGCCATGAACCACCAGAAATCTTCCCGGACGGTGCAGATGGAGGAAATGTCTGAAGATTGGAGTCTACGTATTCATAGAATGAAAATTGGTCATTCGGGCATAACTTTTGTTTTATTGTTGTATAACCAGAAACAGCTAGCCTATTCTATCAAACACGCGGCTGAATGGGAAGTTGTTAAAGGATTTTCCGTCTAACGTGGAAGATATAGCAAGGCCTATTAATTCAGAGTTCAAGTTCATTGGCGTCAATCTCCAGACCGAAAGCCAGCCGGCAGTCAAAGAGGACGAGTATGAATTGGATATGGTATTAAAGGGAAACAGATTTGTACCTGTGAACTTCACGGTGACCTGTCCCGGATCTGAAACAGCCTGCAATGTCAAAATAGAACCTCAACGTCTGATAAGAGTAAGTAAATGAGAATCCAGGAAGATGACAAATCTGAGGGATTAAATACTCACAGGTACAGACCCCGAAACATGTTGATCATCAATTGTTGTATACTTTCCGGACATCATCTTGTGTCTCCAGTACTTTCGTCTACCTTCTCCTCCTGCTCCTGTAGATTTCTCATTTCCTCTCGGCAATTTTTTGTTTTTTGTTTTTTTTTTTGGGGTGGGGTGATATACCCCTCAAAACTGGTATTGGGCTTCGAGGCTCATAAAGTCAATGCCCAGTAAACCCAATTACTAAGGCCCCAAAAGTGATTGCCAGATGCCAATCCAGAGTGGGTCGTTTTGTACTCGGTTAACTTGAACTTTTGATATTCAATTATCATTTCCAACCGATATATGCATAAGACGGTGACAGTGAATTAATTAATTAATACAAAGCAAATATTGAGGTGAAAATTCACAACTACGTTTAACCCTTTGATTCTTGAAACAAAAGTGTTCTTTCATCCTTTTCGTTTTTATAATGATATTTTTCATATCACTGATTCCGATAACGTGTTCCGATGAAGCTATGGTACTAAGACGTTGAAGGAGAACCATAATGGGACACAGGCACCCGGAACAACTTCAATCATTATTAATATCAATGTTAATTAATTAGGAACCACATTTTGGATTTTGCCACCCATTAGATACGATGAACGAACTTTGAACCAAACCATATTTAGCCCTGCGTTCAGTCATATATTCACCTATTTTGTCCGGAATTTATCATCTGTTAGCTGCTACAAAAAACGGGGAACAAAATAACTCTCTCTTTTGGATTTTAGTTATACCCATGCAGCACCCAAGGGTGGGGCAGCTTCATAGCTTTAAGACATATTGTGGGCATTACCAATAGGGAGTGGTCCAAATAGTAAGTGACTTGGTACCACTTAAACAAAGTATCGAGTTCGAGCCTCAGTGTATGCAGAAATCCCCGTTAGAAGACTTACCCACCACAGCCTAGTGCGCGACACGGGTCGGATCCAGACATAGTCGGAACAAAATTCCGATGAATTAGGTGGGCAACCCAAAAAAAAAAAAAAAAACATTGTGGGCATTATTTATAACAAACGACAACGATGAGCACGATTTGGTTCTGTTTTCTTTTCATGGATCTACTTGACAGTCGCCGAAAAGAGAAAACAGTGCATTTGCTGACAATAACATGTCAATATAATATGTTAAAAGGAGCACATGACAATGGATAGAGTATCAAGAGGGCTTCGATCTTTAATCGCACATCACTGAAGGTCGAAGCCAAGATAAGTTGTCGTAAATCGTCAATTTGTCCAGCGTTTTACCCAGCAGTCAATTCTCCTAACACGGGCAATATTATAAAAAATGAGGGGGGGGTCCAGGGAAGCAAAAATTTTATTAACCGCATCGTATATCCACAAAAATACACCTTGCAATCATCCACACCACTGCAACGTGAAATTTATTTGACATCACTTCATCTACTACGCAAACTTGGTAAAAACGTGAAATTGCTTTCAACCGTCATAACAGAGGTTTGACACGAAGAAATGAACTAAACTACGCTATGCATATAAGATTTAGGTATTTTCATTCACTTATTTCCATTTTATAGGTTTTTTATTCTACCCTTCGGGACCAACAGTGACCTTCTAATTGCAAGTATAAGTACCCAAGTTGTGGCAGAGATCTTCTCCTTTATCATCAAAAGCAAAGCTGAGCTCAAAACAGTCTTTAAGATTTGAGCATGCAATCCTTTGAAATAACCCGGTAAGCCCTCCCTTTGCCATATTGCACAGAGAACTCCGCAGACTGTTTTCCCTGACTTCTTCTGTGATTTTGAGGCTGGTTTTTCCTCATTGTCCGCAGCTTGGATCATCACCTTGCACCTAAACGAGGAAAGATCAGAAATTGGTCCTGGGTATTAAGTTCACAAGTAAAAACAAGTTGGAAGGAGCAATTACAGACCTGATAGCGGGATACGTTAAGACGGTAGCAACACTCTTTGAAATAGCTCCCAAGAGAAAGGCCATAAATGCAGAGAGGGATGCTGGAGATGATCCCCTGTCTACGCTGTTTTGCTGATTCTTCAGGACTCGTTGTTTCAGTTGATCAAAAACTGTATACTGCACCACACCGTAGCTCCAGATTAAGCCATTTCTCACAAATCAGGCATTCTAAATGGAAAATAATGTAACAGCCAAGGATCAAATCCGCTACAGAATTCCACTCGTGCAAAATTGACAGCTTGACATTGAATACCTGAATTGCTGGGTTTGAGGTCAGCAGTAAGGAAATGCTGAGACCATCAAATGCATCATTCCAAGTGCCTTCCGTAAGGGTCTTCAAAAGACCTTTAGATTTTCCAAAATCACTTGTCTGCATCCTTGAAGAGGCTGTATCCAGGGGCTACACAGTCATCAATGAGATACTCTTGTATTAAATTATTTTAGTTTGATAAGACATCTCATTTCCGATGGAAGGGATGATAAAAGAAGAAACGCAAAACATTGAATAAAGCATGAGACTTTGTATAATTGACACCCATGTGTTATTTTCAATTCCTTTCATGGCAACACAGAAAACTGAAGTACAATGACAATACATGTTTATAACCCGAAATGCAACAAATGCAATACTTAGCTTTTCAATTTTCATATTTCAACAAGTAAAAATAAAAAACACATCACACTAACAGACTTGTGGGACAATGGACTACTGCATGGTTTTTTCTTATTCCATACCATCATGGTTTTAACCTAACAAAAATAGAATATCATGTTAAGGGGTTTCGCCACAAGTGATCCCACAGTTATTCAGATCTGACCGAAGCTATATCAGTTTCAACACAAATAAAATGTTTTAAGTCACATTTTGGTCGCTTGAATTAGTTAAATACTAAAAGCAAGAGATTATCTTGATTTTGCCTCACCTGAGTCACAATGGCAGTGCAGGCCCCAGCGGCAGCAGCAATGACCAAGTTTGCTTTGGTTCCAATACGTTTAGAACCACTCTTCCGCAGATACAATCTTTTAAAATAGCTGTAGCCATAGAAGTAGACAAACTGCGAAATGAAGGATTGAAGGTTTTTTGTTCCCAGACCCTGATAAAGCGAAAGCACCTGACGGGAAGATATTGCTTCCCATAACACATCAGAGAGGTTCCTGCAAAATTCAAAGCAAGTAGAATGAACTTAACTGCACCCAAAAGATAAATAATGCCAACTAATTGCAAGCTTACACAACAAGCTAGGATTAAGATTCATATAACTACATAATTAACATAGCAAATTCCAATATCAAGGACACAATATTTTCATGGCATTGAGGCACAAATAGCATACTTCTCAAGTTTTTTCATTGGCTAAATCATTAGAAAATTTAACTTGATCAAGATATTATAAGTAGAAGAATCACGGATTCCTTAAATTGGTGGCGAAACGGGGTCTTCAATACTACAAAACCAGGTACTTGAAAGGCAATTATGCATGTGAATTGGATTACCCTCTAGTCAACAGAGAAAAATACAAGAGTTGACAAACAAAGAAGCTACTTTTACTCCAGGCCTCCATCCTATTTAGAGTCCAGTTATGTGCCGTGCTAAGCGGCAATTTCAGATGTCCACACCAGCCATTTTATTTTACCATGCGAATGAGTCACAGCCGGAAACAAAAAACACGAGAAGAACAAAACAAAAGTGTGTTAGTTTTATGAACTCGTCGAGGACGAATTCCAATTAATCAACGACTGTAGATCAGAAAAGACGATCACGAACAGTACCCAGCATAGAGACAAAGAGAGAACCGAACGAAGAAAATAACAAAGAAAGATGGAGTGATGACTGGTGAGTTAGATCAAAGACCTGTATTTTTGGTGGCCATGGGCCCGAGCCTCGGCTTGGTACTTGGTCTTACAGGTGTCAAGCGGGTACAAGATGGTCGTACTCAAGAGTGATCCTATGGCGCCAGAGGTCGCCTCCGCCAACGATTCCAGATCAACACTCATAGTCGGAATTCGGGTATCAGAGTCGGCCGGAGGCGCTAAACTAGAAAAAGAGAGAGAGGAGATCAGGGAGATGATCAGAGCAGGGAGTCAGGTGGGAAGGGCCGGGTTGGCTAGGCTAGCACAATGAATGTCTTTAGGTGCGAAATGCGTATACTAATTTATGGGACGGAGCTGGTCAAAAAATATTTATGGGATGGAGACTTGGGACTATTTCGAACGTGAGTCCCGTGCTCCGTCCAACGTTGTTAACGGCATCACTTAACGGACCCTCAAGCGGTGTGCCGCTCCTCCACGGAACGGAATACCTCTCGAACTTGGTTGTTGCAACTTGGAACTGGGAAACCGCGGGCACAGCCGCGTTTTTGAGTCCAAACACCAAACGTCTTCCTGTTCCTGTCATTGGATCTTTAACCTGTTGACTGATATAATATCCTTCATGGGCCCTATCTGTCCATGAGAGTGGGCCCAATTTCTTCATGTTCATCTTGATAACGTAATCTTTTTCTTTTTGATAAATCAAATTTGATTTTCCCCTTGTAGCAAACAAAAAAAAATATTTATTTTGCTCTAAAAGAAAGTAGCGAGCTTTTATCATTTTTCCTTTGAAAGAAACAATTCAATAGGATTTGAACCCAGACACTACATACAACCAATCCCATTTTTATCCCTTCTGATATTATGGGTTTAACGTTTAAAATATAGAATACAGGGTGAGTTGTGAAACGTGAGTGGTATCTACCTATACCGATAGATAGGTATCTATCTATACTAAAGTTAGAATATCTACCTATACTGATATTGATTTGCCTCGGCGTATTTCACTGCATGAGTGTGTAATTGTATCGTCTGGGTTTTTTCCGAGATCTTTTGTTTTTGGATTGGTGGCCCTATTATGGGCCGTTGAGTTGTGATTGCAATAGCGTTGCTTAATGGGCTTGCTCGTCAGCAAAAAACCAGTTTTTGTCTTAAGACGCTAGGCTGTGATGGCCACTCCAGTGATACACAGAGATTCAAATATTTATAGCTAATAACGTGATGATTCAAGTTTTTCACGTCTAGTACTCGATTGAGTATGATGATACTTGTACCGTGTAAAACCAGCATATATTTAGTGTCTGAGTGCTTAGCAAAAATTTCTTGGAGATCTGAAAGCATGATGAAATTTAGAAGATACACGTGATTGATGGTTTGATACATGTTCAGGTTTTTTATGCACACGCTCGTTTGGTTCAAGTGATCATGCTTCTTAAAAAGATTTTTTTTTTCCCCAAGGTCCATGCATAACTTAATTATTCAGCATTTTATATTTGGGCAAGTTAGAGTTATTTAAAAAAAAATCCAAAATTATGTTAAGGATGTAAACGTTCCCATTTAAGTTTGAAGAGTCTGATGAGATTATAAATATGCACATCCTTCCTTTGTTACTCTTTTTTTTTTTTTGGTGTAATCCTTCCTTGTTACTCTACTCATCAGAAAAACGTGCGCATTGGAAGTGCAGTTTTCGATATAATTTTGAAAAATATTCATCTGCTATTAAATACAGGATTTTAATAATTATTATTTTTAAAAATAGTTAATTTTGTTATTTATAAAAGATATGCATTAATTTTTTTAAAGTACCCACTTCAATTACTTATATTGAAAACTACATTCTTAGTTTACAAAAATCTTAAATTGCACAATTAATAATCAGAGTTTAAAAATACAAAATTAAGAGAAAAATAGATGTATTTGTTTTTTTTAGGTTTTGGTTTGCCCATTGCACCTGACTGTTTAGACTCGAGACTATTTCAAGTTCTATGAGAATTTCCAGAGACAGCGGACCTTCTGGGCTCTCCCTTTCTTGATAGGAACCCGCCATCACCAACCGGGGCTTCAGCTAGGGTTCTTGCTCCTCCTCAACAGCTCCACTGCTTTACAAGAAACAGTTCTCACTCTTCTGGTTCATCAGTTAGGCTCGCTTAACTTTCACGCCAACGTAATTTCCTTTCGGTCCCAGCTTTCTGTCTGTATTCACTTCAATTTGAATTTTCACTCTCTGCTGACTAGCTCGCAAGGCTTCTGTTCGTTGCCATTTTCTTCTTTTCATCTGGCCATTGCGTCAAACCAACACCATAAATTTATCTGCGTGCATGAAAGTTATTATTTTTTCTTTATTTTTATATCCTTGTGGGAAAAATTTGTTCACGCGCTCAGCCTGGCTTTGAAAAACAAGGTTTTAGGGTTTCACCAATAGCACGGATGGCAAAAGCTTTTGCGGAAACAGTGAATCCGTATGGCCGGAGTGGGGTTCGCATTGTGGTTGCAGGAGACCGGGGCACGGGAAAATCAAGCCTGATCATTACTGCTGCAGCTGAAACTTTTCCACCTAATGTGCCCCCGGTGTTGCCTCCAACGAGGTTGCCCGAAGATCTGTATCCTGATCGCGTACCCATCACAATAATTGATACACCTTCCCGGTATGAATTTTGAACTTTTGATTATTTGTATTTCTGTCATAGTTCATTTCGGTTTCATAGACAATTTATAATGAGGAAGATCTTCCTTTGCAGTCTTCATTAACCTGGGCCACATAGTTTTTCCGTTACGATGTAAAATCTAGTCACTATAAGACAGCTCTTTGTTTTGTGGACATTTCAAAGGGAATAAAAAATAATCTGATTGAGGCAGGAATAATAGTACATGTACGTAATTCTGCCCTGCTACTGTAAATTTAGACAGGGATTCAAAAATAGAAGTCTGAATTGAATCTTGAATGATTGAAGAGGCTGAATGAAGAAAAATAATTAAGAATTCAAAGAATAGCTTGGAAACGTCAAGTAAGATAATTTTTTCAGATTATTAAATCTCAAAATGTACACTTTTCAGCTTTGCGACACCATTTAATTAAGGATAAATAGAATTTTGAAGTGCCAGCATGAGTTTTGGTGATTTTGACTGGTCCAGATATAGTTGATCTTTGTTTCCCTTGTTAAGTCCCTTAATTTGTGGTTATTGTTAATTGTTTGTTGACCAATATGATAAGGAGATTGTTTTGACTTCATTTTTTCATCTTGCTATGTGCCATGTCAAAAAATGACAGTTTTGCTTGGGTGTTGATTAGGGTAATGTGATTACTTGCTTCCTAATTTGTATAGCTCGGTCAATTCAAAGATTTACATCTCTTTGAACTTAGAGGAGATAATGTTATTTTTTTGGCTAGATGTGTCAATTTCTGTCTGCAGCCGTATTAAGTTTCTGTTATAATTATTCCAGTGCTGAGGATAGTAACAGAGTTGCTGAAGAATTGAAACAGGCCGATGCAGTTGTGCTTACCTATGCATGTGATCGGCCAGAGACCCTTGATAGACTTAGTACATTTTGGCTCCCACATCTCCGTAGATTGGAGGTTTTGACTTTTCCTATTTTTCAAAAATATGACATTTCCAAGTGTATGCATGACTGATAAAATAATGCCATGCTAATGAGCAGGTAAAAGTCCCTGTTATAGTGGTTGGTTGTAAGCTTGATTTGAGAGATGATAATCAGCAAGTCAGCTTGGAACAAGTGATGTCACCCATAATGCAGCAGTTTCGGGAAATTGAAACTTGCATTGAGTGTTCGGCACTCAGGCATATCCAGGTAACTATTATGATGTAAATTTTTATCTCATGTTGGAATCATATCATTAAGGTGCTAATAAATTACCTGTTTAATACATCAACATCATTATTAGGTTAGTGAGGTGGGCCGTTGTTGACATTCAAAATGTTGGTTTTCATGAGATGATTGACTAACCGGTCCTGACAGGTACCTGAAGTTTTCTATTATGCCCAGAAGGCCGTTCTTCATCCAACAGCTCCATTATTTGATCAGGAATCACAAACTCTAAAGCCTCGATGCGTACGGGCCTTGAAGCGAATTTTTATCCTATGTGACCATGACAGAGATGGAGCCCTTAGTGATGCTGAACTAAATGATTTTCAGGTTTCAGAATTTAATAATTCTTTTTAATATTGAAGTGGAAGCTTGGCTGTGATTGGATGTTGTGGTGTTGTATCGTGGCACTTTAATAGACGCTGGAAAACATTTTTCTATTATGTCTTGGTGATATTTGCATGTGAGATCTGAGAAACATCTGACGATTTATAAACAGGTTAAATGTTTCAATGCTCCTTTGCAACCATCTGAAATCGTGGGTGTGAAGAAGGTTGTCGAAGAGAAAATAGCTGAAGGTGTGAATGAACGAGGGCTTACACTAACAGGTTTCTTATTTCTTCATGCCCTTTTTATAGAAAAAGGGCGGCTTGAGACAACATGGACTGTCCTCAGGAAGTTTGGATATAATGATGATATCAAGCTTGCTGATGAGCTGATTCCACCATTGAAACAGGCTCCTGATCAGGTATATCTTGACGCAGTAGATTTTGACTGTGCTGTGAGGCATTGGTCATGATGGTGAAACTTTGTTGTTGTTTGTTATTATTGTTGATATGATAATCTTGACTTGAGTTTGTGCTTGATTCTCCTTACTTACAAGTAACAAGGGAAAATAGACTATTGGATTGTGAAAATGGAATTGTACAACCATTTCAAATAGTCCTGTTCAATTGAATCTAGATTATTTCTGTTTAAGGTACAATCAATCCAGACTGATCTGATTTGGTAGGAGATGAAAATCCCTGGTTCTAAAACTATTTCATATTGTGCAAACTCTTATCAACAGCCATAATTTGCCAAATTCATGTGCACATATATAATGCCTGATCTAAATTGGCTATAATGATGTCTGCAGAGTGTGGAGCTGACGACTGAGGCAATTGATTTTTTGAAGGGAATCTTCGATGCATTTGATGGGGATGGTGTATGTCATTTGTGCACACAATCTTGAATAATTCTTGTCCTATCCATTTATTTTTGTTGCTATCAACTTGTCAAGTGTTCATCAATCTTCTCTGAATTTTTGCTTTGATGTTGCATTTACAAGTGATGGTACCTAACTATGCTTAAAATTTGACCATCACTTTTGGTCCTACAGGATGGGATACTTAGGCCTCGGGAAATTGAAGAATTATTTTCAACTGCCCCAGAAAGGTGATTTGGTTTACTTTTACGAGCTTAATCCGCTGTTCTCTTTTGTGGTCATAAGTAACACCAATCCCCTTAGTTGAACCTCATTCCATTGTCTAACTATTTCTCTATACTGATTTATCTGCCTTCGGCATGTGTTTGGTCTGATGGTATCTTCAATATATAAACTTTGAACCTAAATTATCGGAAGTTGTCATTGTAGAGTAGCATGGCTCTAAATTGCAATGAAAAATGCCCAGAAATGAGGCAGTAGGCAGTTGTAAAACCTATTGCTGCTGTGTTATAGCAGTTACAGGCAGGGCTGGGTGTTCACCTCAAACTTATGTTTGTCAACTGCCATTAGTGCTTGTTTGCTTACTCTATGTTTACTCTTCAATATGTGTATGCCATTTGTGAATCCAAATCCAAATATCCAGTAATGACTCCTGCAATGTTTCTTAATTTGTTGTCTTTTTTTTTCCCTTCTATTTTTCCCTCTGGGGATATTGTAGTCCTTGGACCGGAACACCATATGAGGATGCAGCAGAGAAAAATGCATTTGGAGGGCTTTCACTTGATGCATTTTTGTCGGAGGTGTGCAGATCTCCCATTTTATCTCAACTTCCCCCCTGATCTTCTTTCCAATTGCAAAATAACTCTCGTCTGGTCTGAGAAACTAGTTTTATCTTTTCTTACAATAGAAACTGGTACAAGGGAATCAAAATCTATTAATCTGTGTAAAATTTTAAAAATTTGTCAAGCCACACTATTTAAGAGTTTTGAATAATGTGACTGTAACATATAGGACCCATTAGTTACTATAAATATTTCTCCATGTGTATATGCGTGCTTTTATTTTAAATATATTTGTCTCTAGTTACTGTACCTTTTGAGCACCGATCATTTTATTTCCACCTATTTTTATTGGGGTCTTCTTTTTCTTTATTTCTTTCTTCTTGTTTTTTTTAACAGTGGGCACTTATGACTCGTTTGAACCCGAGATTTAGTGTTGAGAATCTGATATATATTGGCTACACTGGTGATCCACCATCTGCTATTCGTTTGACAAGGAAGCGGCGCCTTGATCGCAAGAAGCAGAAGTCAGAAAGGAACGTTTTGCAATGCTTTGTTTTTGGGCCTAGGAAGGCTGGAAAATCTGCTCTATTGAATTCCTTCATTGGAAGGTATTTTTATTCCAAATGCTACTAGCATGAACTCTAATAATAACTGAGCATATTATAATCTTTGCTGAATTGACAATGCAGGCCTTGTTCTGATAGTTACACCCCAACTACGGAGGATCGGTATGCAGTGAATGTTGTTGACACTTCTATGGTAAATGGCATCTCTTCCTCTCGTGCATGTTGTCCTTTAAATTTCAAGCCATGTCATGCACTTGTGGTTGTGGCACCTTAAATTATTTAAATTTCCATTTTGTTTCTGGACGAGGTGATGATTTACTTTTGATCAAAATCTTTTTGTAATTTGAATTCTGAATCATTCAATTAATTATTACTTTTGATTCAACCACCGATTTAATTTGTTGGCTTTGTGATTTCTTACCTGGCAATTTGATTTCTTGTCTTCCCCTGTTCTAGACCATACTTTTGTCGTATGCATTTTTTGTATATGCATTTAAATCATTCTAACCTTCTGTAATTGTGTGTGCTTAATATAAATTTTGCAGGGGAACAAGAAATATCTTATTTTAAGAGAGATTCCTGAAGATGGGGTTCGAAAGCTGTTGGTCAACAAGGAGTCTTTGGCTGCTTGTGACATAGCTGTTTTTGTCCATGACAGGTGACCGTTGACATGATGAATAATTATGTTACTAACATGAATAATAGTTAGCCTATATTTCAATCTGTTTGGAGAAAGGATCTTCATCTTTTTCCTCAAACGTCTCATTGCTACATTTTTTTTTAATACTTAAATCAACATTGAATGGAGTATGTGCAATTGGACTATTTATTTTCAATCAATGTCTAGATTTTTCCTTAATTTCTAATATTTTTTAACTTCACTATCTTTGGTCTGTTTGGATTTTCTTAAAGTTATAATTTTTTTCTCAATGAGATAAGTACTTTTCAGGTAAAATTAGAATGAATTGTGTATTTAAGTGAGCTTTGCTTGAGTGGATCCAAGATAAGCTGATTTTTGCAGCATTTTTATCAAATATGCTGAAATTATGCCTAATGATGTCATCTGGTCTAAGACCATTCTGCTACCTAAAAATTTCCTTTTTCATAGACAGTAATGCGGGCCTAAGTTTCATTCCAGGTCTGATGAGTCCTCATGGAAGACGGCATCTGAACTCCTTGTAGATATTGCTGGTCATGGTGAGGATACTGGCTTTGAGGTGCCTTGCCTCATCGTTGCTGCCAAGGACGATCTGGATTCATTTTCAATGGCCATCCAAGAGTCAACTAGGGTATGTTCAAATGACCTGACTGTTTTCATGGTCGTGTGCATAATTGAGCACGCTCGTGTTTGTGTGTGTATTCTTGTTAGATGGATGTGGATCAGTTTAAGATGGCCAATATGTTGTTCGGAGTGCAAGGTTTCATCCATAGCTCATGTATAACAATGTATTGTAAGGTGTAGTCTGTACCTACGCTTTTGAGGACATCTACCCAGATGTTTAATTTATGTCATCTTTGGATGGGAGATCAAGAGATTGGAGTTGGGAATCTGATATTCCTAGACCTGTAAACAACATGCTAGTTTTTATTTTATATTCCTTATTGATAATATTTTGTAAGGATGATGACCGACAGAGATGAACTATAGCTGGAGCCGCAATTTAGATTTATTTCCGCCCCATATATACTAGCAATGTGCTGGCTGCTGTGGTCATTTCAATCAATTTCTCTTTCTTAGATCCATTGAAATTACATTATTGACTTGCTTTTGTTTGTTTTTCGTGCTTTGTAGGTTAGTCAGGATATGGGAGTAGAGGCTCCTATACCAATAAGTGTAAAGTTAGGTGATTTCAACAATGTGTTTCGCCGAATTGTAACTGCTGCAGAGCACCCTCATTTAAGCATTCCAGAAACTGACGCTGGAAAAAGTCGCAAGCAGTACCACCGCCTTATAAATCGTTCTCTTATGTTTGTTTCTGGTATGTTTGAATCATTGACTAATTACAACTTGTTTGTTGGGTTGTTTGATCTGTAATACAAATTAAAGGGAGTCTAAATTTGTTTGAGATGCTAGGCTTTTCGGCCTTGAAGTTCATTTCTATTTGAGGGTTATGACTCAAATTAATTGGGCATTCTGTTTAGAACTTTGCTTCGTCAATTATTTTGTTTCTTTGGGATTAGGAACAGTTTTTGTGTTATGCTTATGGTGTTCTGTTTTTGGTATACATGATACATTTATATATTCATTACCTCAAAATTGCAGTTGGAGCTGCAGTTGTTGTCGTTGGGCTGGCAGCATATCGCGTCTATAACGCTAGGAAGAATGCATCTGGTTGAAGACGAAGTTTTAGCGAACGAGCCAATTCAATTAGGTCTACCTTCTTCATCTAGAGGTTCCTGAGCTTCCTATTTGGCTCTGTTTATGCCTCCCCCCCCCCCCCAACCTTCCTGCTTGTTCTGATTACATAAATATTTTTGGTTAATTTTGTTTCTTCAGGTTCAGGTTGCAGTTAGAAAATCATACGTTCAATCTTCTTTGTCTTGTTTATTGGTTTTTGCTAGTTCGAGGCCTTCACATCATGCAAGTAATAATATACAGCTGAGGCGTGTTGGGGTTAGTTAGTAGTTACTATAGAGAATATAAAGTTTCCCCCGTGATTAAATCCCTGCCTGCAAAATCATTTTTTCTTGGAAAATCTCCGATTGCTGAGTTTCATTTCGGGGTTCATGTGGCGGGGTGAAATGTGTTGCTTCTGTAATTTTCCTTTCTGTAACTGAGCAAAATTGAATGATTTAGGAGGCACGTCGCAGTATTTATACAATTTTCTGGAATACTTTATGGTAAAACCCGTGGAAGTGAATTTGAAAAACAGAAAAAGAGAAGAAATCTGTGAAGATGAACGTTATATGATTAAGGTAAATTAATTTTATTTCTCGAATTCGTTTCAATTTTAAATTTAGTTTATTTTTCAGTTTTTTCCTTTGTAAAAAATCCTTATGCTCTAGAATATTTTTGGTGGGGTGTGGGGCTTTTGATGTATTTAGAAATAATGAGCTAAACTTACGTCAAAGTTAAATTGATCCATGCTCGTTGCTCCAACAAAAAAAGCCACCTGGATTCACTTTTGCCATCAGCATATAATCCTGAAAAGCAACTGTTAAGCGTAAAGTGGGAAAAAAGTTTCTTTTTTTTAAAATAAATAAATAAACAAATAAAAGACACAGCTTTTAGTCCTTTAAGGACTTGTTTGTATCCGCTTATTTTAAGTGTTTATAAATATTTTTATATCACTTGAGATAAAAAAAAATTTTATATATCATAAATTATAATTGAAAAGTTATTTATTGTTATTTTTTAAAAAAGATTTGTAAGAAAATTTCTCCAAAAAATTTATGAAGATCAAATTAGGTCTCAAGAGCAAAATGGGGGCAAAGTTCTGGGCTGATGAGAGGGCTAAAAGCTCCTCTTTATCTTCTGTTTTGTCCGGTTCCATTCTGCCTTTTGATTCCGTGGCACTGTGGCAGGCCTCTGTCTTGGGGCATGAACCCGACCTCTTAAGAACTCTGATTTAACTGTCAGGCTAGCTAGATGCTTCACATATTCCATTCTGATGCTCAGTCCGCCGACGATGGGAAGTGAGTTGCATTGAAGTGTCAAGAACGAAATCCAATTGCTAAGTTGTATTACATTTGCGATTTCCCCTTTGAGGCTACAGTCATTGGCCAAGTGGCCTCAAAATTGAGGAGGATGAACGGAAGACAAAAATCTGGGAGGGAGCCCAGGACCCTCACTGCCTCCCAACCCGCTTAAAATCAACTATCCAATCCATTTCTTCCAATCTTTGATGCTATTTTAAATCTTAATTATAAAATCTTATTTATAGTCTATAAACGAGGTCTTATAATTAAGATTGGGGTAGTATCTTATATTCGGAGCAAAATAAAGATGTAGCAAGCATGCATTGTCCATGGCCATGCTAATGGCTTAATCTTCTTTCGGTTTCCACGTTCTATATATCAAAGTAAAATATTTTGAACTGCGGAATTTAATACATGAACCCGTGCTTTGTAGTCATTATTTCTTGGAGAATGAGTTATATATGCTCCTACATCTATGAAAAAAATATTGTATGGATTCACAACTACAATCTGACTCACCGACTTTATCGTTGTGTTCATCTAGTTAGGCCATGTTTCGCTTTTCCTGCGATTGTCTGATGTTGCTGAACCACTTCTTGATCAAGCTGCTGACAATACCTGCAGAAGACTTCTGTGGTAATGAAGAGCCTAAAATCCAGACTGAACAGCAACTCCAGCTCCATTCTGTTCATCTCTGCCGTGCTAACCCCTCCCACTCTCGCATAGTGCCCATTGCTGTAACACCTGCATAAAAACAACAAGAATAAATGACCAAAGCTACCCTCTTCTCCCGTTTCTGCAATATTTTCAGTGCTTACCCGTCATCCACAAATTTTGCTGCCACCATAATAGTCGTGATCAGGAGGCGATGGACATTGAAGGACGTGAGATAGCCACTCTTTCGTTGAAAATACCTCTCCATGTATATTTGTGCAATCACAAAGCAACAAGGGCTGCACCTCGAGTACTTGTAAATCCGTTCCATGTACTGTCTCAGGCTCATGTTTGGTGCTTTCGTACCATGAAACATTGTGATGGGGTCCCTCTTTGTTGATCTCCCGTTCTGCTCATTCCTCCGAATCCTTCTCTCCAAAACACAGCACAACTTCAGAACAACTCGAGGAGTGTTTGAGGTGTAAGAACTTTCAGGTGCATCCAGTTCTAGTGATTTATAAGCTTCGGCTCTCGTACCCATACCTTTGAAGTCGAATGCTATTTGTATTTGCTTCCGAGGGCTGTTTCCAGAGAACGGTTTTAAAATACTTGGGTGTTTTTCATATGTTGTTGACAGATGATGATGATGGCGAGAAATTAGAAAATCGTTGATTTTATTTTTCCAGAAAGGATCATTCTTTTCTTTCAAATTCAGATACTCATACAACTTACCAAAGAATATGCATGTTTCCTTTTAAAAACCAAAGCTTTCCCATCTGTGTGGGCCATCTGGGCATAATCAGTAGAGCTTTCCTTCAAGGACAAAAGAATTGTGTGGGTGGGTTACAAATTGACCCGCGGAATATATTTTATACTCGTGGTGAGTGACAATTGTGAATGCCACGTATTGATAAAGCTAGCCTCCCTCATTCTTCACGACATTCAAATTCTTCAAGAATTTTAGTTTTTTTTTTTTTTGCTGTAATAAACTGAATAATTCAATAAAACAATAAAGACAGCATATGTTAGGAAAGACTGAACTGAAAAATTTAGGAAAACAGAGAAATAATAAAGCATCAGAGAAGTTATCTTTAAGAAACTGTTTAGAATCTGTGATTGAGGGAAACGGATTAATTTCTGGAGCTTGGATTATAATTTTGGGATTGAACATGCTTTTCCAGAAGGGGACTGGGGAGCAGATTAGTTAACAAGTTGCGCGCTGAAATTTGATGTCACAGCACGTCACGTCTTGTTTCGTTGGGATTCCTCAATTGATGAGAGACACATCCCCCTTATCCAGCAATTTATTAGTTAGATACTGAAGAACAGTCGCTCAATATTTCTGACATCTAATATAATTGTCAATATTTGTAAATTAATAAATGTTACAATTTTTTATAATTGTATTGAATGACAAATCATTTGAAAAATTTTATGTCCACCCTCAATAGTTACTTTCACCATTACCTATTTTCTTTTTGAATTTTTATCGTTTCGTTAACCATGCGGCCATGCCCTATTATCTATTTTCGATAACACTAAACTAAAAATGGCAAACAAAATAAGGTCCAATGATCCTAATCAAATTCATTTATCTATAGTGGCGACAACAAAATGATACCTAGCTGCACCCCACAAGCAAATCCTCCGCTTTCCATTTCATCGAATATAAATCTCATTCATTAACTTTCACAAAAATAATGAGAGGCTAGCTCACACCAAACCCAACCAAATGGCTTCTAAGTCCTCCCTTTGTCGCTTGTCTTTCCACCAAAGAACTTTCGTCTTCTGTCTCTTGCTTGTCTCTCTCCCGCTTCTGCTCTACACACCTCCATTGAAATCCCAAAGGGCATTGTTTCAGGAACAGAGCACCGAGCTCGCTTGGTTTGATGTCATAGCAAGAGAGATTAATACCAAAAAGATGAAGGTAGGTCTGGTTAATATAGATGAAACAGAACATGATACTCTATACGAGCAACTGCACAAATTATACCCACAAGAATCACACACGGTGTCTGTCAAATTTGATCATGTTGATGAGAACATGAAATGGCAAGATTTTTTTCCCGAGTGGATTGATGAAGATCGCAGATGGGGTGTGCCAAAGTGCCCAAATATGCCAATTCCGTCGTTGGAAGATTACCAGGACGTGAATGTGGTGGTGGCCAGAGTTCCATGTGGGAGTAGCAACAAAACAGCCAGGAGAGGGATAAGGGACCTGTTTAGGTTACAAGTGAATTTGGTGGTGGCTAATTTGGCAGTGCAGGGTGGGTGGATGAAGTTGGAAGGTGATAATCACAGAAAAGTGTACGTCGTATTCATAGGAAATTGTGGTCCCATGATTGAGATTTTCAGATGTGATGATCTTTTGATGCACCAAGGTGAGTATTGGGTTTACAAGCCTGAATTAACAAGGCTTAAGCAGAAAACTCTGATGCCTCCAGGATCATGCCAGATTTCTCCCCCTTATGCACAAACAGGTATGTTTTAGATCCATTGTATATATGTTATTATGCTGTTTTGCTTTTGGAAACTCATTTATCAGCATTAAAAACAATATCTTGACTATTAAGGAAGCTCATAATACTGCCCTGATTTCTTACTATCATCAGATTGCGAGGCAAACTAATGATTCAGTAATCCATGCATGACTATTTTTTATTGAGATTTGTTTCCTGGAACAATTGACAGGCAAAGAGGTGTGGAGAGCTTATTTGTCAGAATTAAAGGTATTGAAACAGGACCCAAGGCCAAAACTGGCCTATGTCACGGTGCTTCACTCTTCAGAAGCCTATGTGTGTGGAGCGATTGCTTTAGCCCAAAGTATTCTCCAAACCCCACTAAGCGTCGTTCAGTTCTATAACTACACCAGAGATCTCATCCTCCTTGCAGATAATTCAATCAGTCCCAAATCCATGAAAGGCCTTCAAGCCGCAGGATGGAAGATCAGGCGCATTCAACGCATCCTAAATCCCCTCGCCCAGAAAGGTTCCTATAACGAATGGAACTACAGTAAGCTTAGAATATGGCAACTCACGGACTATGACAAAATCATCTTCATAGACTCTGACTTTCTAGTCCTGAAGAACATGGACGATTTCTTCGTCTACCCTCAGTTATCGGCCGCACCTAACGACAACGTGTTCTTCAACTCTGGGTTGATGATAATAGAGCCCTCCAAGTGCATGTTTGAGGAATTAATGAGGAGGGTCTCGCGATTAGAGTCGTATAATAAAGGTGACCAGGGCTTTGTGAACGAGGTCTTCACGTGGTGGCACAGGCTGCCAAGCAGGCTGAACCGTTTGAAGGATTCATCAAGGGAGGTAGAAGAAGACGAAGTGTACGGGATGCATTATTTGGGGGTGAAGCCATGGAGGTGTTACAAGGATTACGATTGTAATTGGGACATAGAAGATCATCGCCAGTTTGCGAGTGACTCAGCCCACCAGTTGTGGTGGGACGTACATGAGGAAATGCCACAAGAGCTGCAATCATATTGTGGGCTTAGCCGGAAAACAGAGGAAAGGATACTTCGGTGGAGAAGAAGAGCTAGAGATGCTAATTTCTCCGACATGCACTGGAATATAGAGATCAAGGATCCCAGAATGAAATACGGAATGTCCCGTGTCTTATCAGATGCGGAATAATTAATTCGTTGGACCGGCCATTTTGACGGATATAAGCTGGCCTAGTTAATCCAATCCAATCCATTATGATCATGGAATTCCCAATTTTTCATTTGAAATTATGGATTTTGATTGTGTTTTAATCATACAAGTTGTTGGTGGATGTCAGCTATGGGGCTGATTAGAACAGGATTTCCAACATTAATAATCGGTTTTCTCTGCTCGTGTGACTTTGGATTTGTCTCGGGCTATATAATGTTTTTTTTGGGCTAGCTACGATATTTTATAAATTTTATTTCAAATACTTTTAATTAATTCTTTTTCCAAAAAACGTAGGCTGCTACTACTGATTTGGTCAAGGCGTCAATTATCTTTTTAAATATTTATTAATATGAATAATATTTTTAAAAACACTTGAATAAAGACAAGTAGCTAAAGAAGTTTTTTTAAACAAAAAAAACAAACCAGACCATAATTACTCATTTACTCATCCAATTTACCGGGATTCAATGTGAATTCAAACCCAAACCTAGGTTTCTATGATCAACCCCCAAAAACAAGACCTAGGAAAAATAACAGATTGAATTTGCTGAATCTATCGAATACCCTTAACTATTCCTAACACACAAAGTAGATGTTAAGAAAACGAAAAAGAAAAAAAAAAGACAATAAAAATAAACTGCCCCTGAGTTTTACGACCCAATCATAAGGTGATGCATTTCAACGTGCTAAGGAACTACACCTAACTTAAACTGCGACGCAGAAGAATTTATTGAATTCAGAAATTAAAAAAAAAAAAAAACTTATGGTCGCTGAAACCAACTTAGAAGGAGGAGAATATTGAATAGTGTGGAATCAGAATGAACTCCCAACCCTGATCAGTGATAAATTCCGAGCTATTGCCTGCTTGTTTCCTTCTACTGCCGAATTTTCTTTCAAGTTTAGGCAATCCGGTGCTCCCAATAGAGGAGGAGGGAGAAATAGGTGCAATTTTGCAAATGGGCATTCGATTTTTGGGCAAAAAATGGGCTTCCGATTTTATGGGGGCAGGTCATTGACTTTGTTGTTTTTTACCCTTCCCTAAACTCATTGGCAATATCGTCTTTTTGTCGCTGCAAAGGGTACTATAGTCTTTGCATGCCATACGAGTGGAAACCTTTTCTTCTTGTTTTTTTTCCTCAATACGGGTGGAATATTTAATAGATTAGTCGGCTAAAGTTAAATATTAAATTAATAAGAATTTAATTTAATATCAATTAAATTAGTTTCAACTAGATAAAAGCTGATATTTGAATTGATGCTATTTACATTAAAATCATCTGATTTAATAAGGCTATCATGAGTGGTTGAAAAAGTCCTAGCTACACAAATAATGCATTATGCAAAATTAAATTTTGATTAGTAACTTAAAAGATTTACTTGAAATATAAATTCTATATGCAGGAGGCCACCCAATTGAAATTAATTTCTTGCCATGGTTGCTCATAAAAATTAATAGGGTGAGGAAAGTCACGCAAAAAAAAATATTTATGGCAAAAAAAAAGAGAAAAAAAGTTCTATTTAAATTAATTGCCCCTACTTTGACCGAAATCTTGAACAGTGAACAGGGAGGAAGTGCTGGGAAAATAAAAGGCGCAAAGATGTTCTTCAGTCGATACTTATCGGTTTTCTCTTTTATTTACTTTTAATAAAGTTCAAGTCTCGTGCGTAGTTGGCAAAAAAAAATGTCCGGGCAAAATTGATTTCTTCACATAAGAGAATAACAATCATCGTCAAGCTTAGGGCAATAGCTCTCATAAGAGAACTGGGTTTCATATGTGGATGTGGCATTTTCTAAACCATCAGGTCCCTTAATGGTGGAGATTTGGCAAAGATAATTACGAGAAAACAGTACCTTTAAGACAATTGATCATATTATGGCTAAAAAGAAACAGTTAATTGAATGAGATTGTGGGATACTTTTGCAGGAGAGAATGTACTTGAAAAAGAGGGATAAAGGATGATGACACACTAAACCGATATCTGGACAAACATATTCTGCTGTCCCCCCTCCCCTCTGCACCAAGCTGTACCCAAGGTAGGAGCAACATCGTGCGCCCTCCTCTTTGAAACCTCGCTTTTGTCTTAGACCCATTTGCTTGCTCTTTCATCCGTTCCCTGGTAACACACACGCACACAAATATATATATATATATATACACTGATTATATATCATTGTCCTTTATATATATATATATATATATTAACCGATTGTCAATTTGTTAATTAATGCTAGGGGCTCGTCAGTGTTTAACAGTGGGCCGATTTTATGAAATCGATCATTCCAAGCTTCCACTTAAATGCCCAGACCATTTAAAGTTTGTCCGTGCTTTCATGGTATGACTTCTAACCTCGTTACCTTTCTTTGTAAATGTTCCACTGCATAAAAATCAAATCTTTACGTCGTTAACTTCTCTTGACGAGGGGATTCAGCTCAGTGCCATGCATGGGGGAGCTTCAAATGTCGGCGAGATACGAGATACCCAAGCATGCAGTCTCTTCGCACGCAGTTCAACGATGCTGCTTATGGGAAACTAGATAAAAAGAAGACCGATATCCCTCCACTCGACGAGAAGTATTTGATGGAATCAGGATTTGCTAGTGATGGGCTATACCGGAGAGTCTCGACAGAGGAGTTAGCAGAAAGAGGAAACTCATGGAGTTTCTGGATTACAACCACTAAAGAAGATCAAAAAGTTAAAAACGCATTGTTCATTGATGAGGAAATGGATATGGTTTCCAAGAAGGGTTCATGCTGGTCCCAGCTCAAGTATTCCCGGATGATTCAGTGGGGTAAGCGTCGACCAGTTCGATTCTTAGGCCAGCATGCGAAGAACAATTTAGAGTCTTCATCAGGATCTGTGAAAGACACCGGTTTAGATGTAAGAGAACAAAGCGAGAGAGGGGAAATGACAGATAGAAAGAGAAAGAAATGTGAAGAAAAGGAGCTTACAAAGGAAGTCTCGAAGGAAATCATCAGGACGACTCGTAGAAGTAAGAGGAATCAAAATGAATGTAACGAGATTCAGAGATTGAAGAAAGCACAGCATGGCAGGCAGAATCAACTCGTATTATACAACAAAAAGAAGCAAAAAGTATCAATAGACAGATGGTCTGCCGAGAGGTAAGAAATATTTGATTATTGTTCAGCTTATAGTAAGATTAAAAAATGATAATGAATAATAATTATGTAACTTAAACGGTGCTCTGATCATTCTGAAGCTTCTTTGCAATTTTACATTTAGTGGTTGCAATTTATAATAGTACCTTGTGTATTTCAAGGTATAAGATAGCAGAGGAGAACATGCTAAAGGTGATGAAAGCTAAAGGAGCAGTTTTTGAAAAACCAATATTGAGGCCAGCCTTGAGATCAGAGGCTCGAAAGCTGATATGTGATACAGGTTTACTAGATCATTTGCTAAAGCACATGGCCGGAAAAGTGGCTCCTGGGGGAACTGAGAGATTTCGACGCCGACACAATGCTGAGGGAGCGATGGAATACTGGTTGGAGAGTGCCGATCTGGTTAAAATCAGACAGGAAGCAGGGGTTCAGGATCCCTACTGGACTCCGCCCCCTGGATGGAAACCTGGTGATAACCCTTCCACGGATCCCATTTGTGCTAGAGAACTTCGGGAGATAAAGGAAGAAATTTCTAAAATAAAACAGTAAGCCCTATTTCTGAACATTATCTGATTGGTGGTAGATGATGAGCACGTAGCCCTGTTCCCCTCTTATAGAGATATAGTGCTTAAGATTCAACTTTATTCGCAGATACTACTCACGTATTAATATATCATCTCCATTGTGTTACAAATAGTGAAATGCAACAATTGGTATCCAGGAAGAGAGAGGAACAAATGGCTATTGTGACCACGACTAATTCTTGTTTGTCAAATAATTTCAATTTGGAAAGATATGGTTCCTTGCTTGCAGTGCAGGTAATATGCATAAAGCTGAACTCTGTTATAACTAGAATCATTAGAATGGAAGGTCCCTGTGATTTGTTGAAGTTATAACTATTTGTATAATCATTATATTGTAGGAGATGTATGTAGCGTTGGTGAATAAGAAGTCTAAAACTGAGGAACAGCTGAAGGATATTTCCATAGCTTTAACCGATATGGAGGTAATTGATGTTTGTACTATCTTTTGTTTTTTTTTTGCCCCTAAAACTAAGTCTGCATTAATTTTCTTGAAACCCCGATATTAAGGGATGGTATTAGATTGAGCAAGTTTTGTTTCTTGATATTCAAGTCAGGTTTTTAATATGAAGTCCTTGTATATGTTCTCTTGCGCGCACAGATCGATTGTGTAGTTGATAAGTGCGCCAGGGATGAAGCTTTGTAAAATTTTAAGGCCTGTCTCCTTTCTCCGACCAATAGTATTTTGGTTCTATTGGAGCCCTCAACTGTTGTAGTGTTGCCGCATATAGTTCACAATACAGAAGTTCTATACGTATGTGTGCGCTCTAAATATATATTTTAATTTTAAAAAGAATGTACATGATGCAGGAACAGATTAGGAAGTTAAAATCAAGAGAGGAGCCAACATCTGAATCAGTAGTGCCTGCAGCGTTATTGCCAGCACCACCACCAAGAGTACAAGTTGCATTGGGAAATGAGGGAGAGACAAGAGATGAAGAAGCACGTAAGAATAGTGAAAAGAAAGCAGCAACAGATGAGGATGTCCAGAGGATGGCGGAAAGTAGCTGGCAAGCTGCCGAGGATAGGGCAGCAAAAATTGAAAGGTTGAAAAGTGGGTTCCGAATTTGCCAGCCTCAGGGGACCTTCATATGGCCAAAGACGAACATCACGGCTCCCCAAGATGATCATGTTGTGGTCCCAACCCCATCCTCTGCTTCTTCTTCTGCTTTTCCTGAGCCATCCTCCCTTGTTAAGCCACTAGCAGAGAGGCGCCCAATCAGCCCTGCCACTTTAACCCACGTCACCATGTCCTTCCCTCCTTTTCTGTCTCTACCGCCATTGGAAACCCCGCCTTCCCAAGAAAGAGCCTCTCGTAGTACCCCTCTCATCAACCTCAATGAGGCTCCTCCCAATTACGACCCTTCCTCTTGTGCCACTCTGCCTTACCAAGCATCACTACATCCCACACAACCACAAGTAAGTGTCTCGTATTCTTCCCATCTTAACTTTGCCTGTTGTCTTGCTTATCTGATTGTGTTTGGCTGCTCAAGCACTTATTTTTAACCAGTTGTTAATGCATTCTTCCAAACCTTGCAATATCTATGGAACTCATTAAATTGTTTGCTTTGCAAAAATGATTGATGATGATGATGATGCTTTTCTTTTTGCTTTTTTCTTCCTGGACAGAAGTTGTTTGTTAACGGAACACGTATTTAATTTCTGATAGTCGCTTGCTCTTGGGCACGTTTACTTAAATTGTTTACGCCATTCCTTGAGTAACAAAACCTGTAACCACTCATCAGTTTGATCTAAATACCATGCATTCTAAGCTTTTGGTTCCTCGGTTCATCCCTCTATATGGACTTCATCTCTTTCAAAGTTTGTGACTCATTACGATTATTTGAAGGCTAAAGGAGAAGGACGTATATATTTGCCATAATTTTTCCTTAATTTTGAATCACTAATAAAAAGCCAAATAGCTATAATAGTCCAAATATTTTGACTGGTTTGTTTTGGGAGAATCATTTTAAAAAAAACCTCTTAATTTCAAAATTTTAAACCAGTATTATTTGTTACATTTTAATAATAATTGATAATATTTAAAACATAAATGATAAGATATTTTTGTAGTCATTCTTAATTAAATATTTTAAAATTTTAGAAAATTTCTTTTTGGGATTCTCTGTTTTTCCTTTTAATCTTAAACTCGTTATAACTATGCAGGGTCCAACTGCTACAAAAAACAAGGCTCGTGTAAAGAAAGAAAAGGAGACGGAAAACTTGCCATCCTCCATCTCAGAAAGAGAAGGGTGGTGGAATATTGCCATACACGGTGACCTCCCCTAAATTCCAATTCTCAGCATAACCTTGTCCAGGGTTTCATAAAAACATGGACTTTTTAAGTTTTTTGGTGTAGCATGCGAGCATGATCAAGCATAACATTAACAATAGGTGTATCTCCCTCCTATGCCACTAGAAAGACGTTAGCTATACTGTAGTACTGGTGGATCAAATTGTATGTTTCCACCATTTTATGTTTGACTATGGGAAGAAATAGAGATACTACACTAGGTGTTACGTTTCTTCACAAGTCATTTCATGTCGATGGGGTCACCGGAATATGGATTTGTCTCAGATTACTTGATTATTTTTTTTCTGCCGCAATTTTTTTCACTTTTAAAAGATTTTTAATTAATTTGTTTTAAATAAACTATAAATTTGTTTATTATTTTTGTCAGGTAGTAAGTGCTTAGGTTAATGATATTAATCATACTCATTGTCACATCGGAAATTTAAACTATTCCCTTGATTTTAAATTTTTAGTATAAATATTTTTTCAATAATATATTTTGCATGTGTTGGTTCAATAATAATATAACCTACGATCTTTAATATAAGACCAATTTAACTAATTTGATTAGATTAAGGAAGTTAAGTAAGTTAGTTAATTATAAGAAATGTGACACGTTTTTTCTAAAATACCATAATTATCTTTCTTAATACCTCCTCTACCTCTTCTACTTGATTATTATTGATGAAGTATCTATAAGAGTAATTTAGAAAAATTGATAAATATGAGAAATAGTTCTTATATTTAAGATCAAAACCAACTCAACAATTGGGTCCTATATTAAAGACCGGAGGAGTATGTTTTTACCAGCATTTATATTAATTCATTTATTAGTTTGAAGAAATTAGATATTTATTTTTATTTGATTGGAAATAAATGAGATAATGGAAGTATCAATTTAACATTCTGCTTGGATGGGAAGAAAAATAAGAGGAAAGAAAATGGGAGGAGAGAAAATAGAGAGAGAAAAAATTAGCATATATCTAAATAACTAAAATGTCCTTGTCAAAATATATCATATTTACAATTAAATTAAATATTATAATAGAAAAATTATACTAACATCAGCATTATCAAATAATTTAAAATCAAGTTATTTGGTTTGTATATATTTTCAGATTATTATATTTTAAAACCAAATTATTTAATAAAAATATTGTTTTAAGATGAAAAAAAAGTGAGTAACTTTTTAAATATAATAAAAAAATAAATATAGAGAGGAAGAGGGATGAGGGGCAGTCATGGAAGTCTTGTTTTTCTTCTCAAATCTCTCTATATATGGAGAGAAAATTTGAAGAGAAAATGAGGCATGGGGCTCACCTTATTTTCTCCTCAACTTTTTTTTCCTCCCACATTTTCTCTCCTATCCAAACAAGAGTTTCTCTTTATGTTTTCTTCTCTAGTTTTCTCTCATCCTAAATTTTCTTTCAATCCAAACAAAGATAAGTCTGGTTAAAAAAAAAAAAAAAAAACAAGAAGAAGAAGCAAACGCAAGTAATCGAGGCTAGTTTGCGCTCGTCGCTGGCGCCGGTATAGCCACAGGGTTATTCAAGCCAAAATGGAATTGTGCTGTTCGAGCGGCTTCAGCCCGACGACGACTCTTCCATCTCGAAATACCGTTGCTAATCTCAGTTGTCGCAGTTTTCGTCCCTTACCTGTAAAACATCCAATTCTAGGTTGTTCTAGATTTAGAGTGAATTGCAGAGAGCCAGCACATGACGATGCTCCTCTCTCCGCTGATTCGGCCTACTCTGTCCTCGGAGTTCACCCCGATTGCTCTGCTCTCGAATTGAAAGCGGCTTTTCGAGCCAAGGTACGACCCCCAAATGCATCTTCTTTACTTACCGTGTACTATCTTATCACATGAATTGTCGAAATAAGACGGAAATCCTGCAGCACTTTCCCTATTTCTTTCTCAGTGTTTGTTTAGGCACTCTGGACGAATAAGACTTAGCTGACTAGTTTGTTCAGGCATCTAGTTGAAGTTTCCTGATTAAGAAAATTAAAAACAAAACGGAGAGAAAGAGAGGGAAGAAAAATGTTTACCTCCAACAGTTATTTTTGCAAATAACGACTATGCGACTAGCACTGTTACCAGACCTGTTAAATATTCCCTATTTAGGTGAAGCAATTCCATCCCGATGTTATCAAAGACGGAACAAATTCAGATACTATGATTCGCCGTGTAATCCAGGCATATGAGGTACTGACATTTACGACTGTGCCCCTACCATTTTCTCTCTTCAGTAAGGGACTTCTGATCAATAGTTAAGTCCAGTTCTCTTTTCACTGCTCCATACCTTGGCACTAATAAAATTTCTAATTTGGTACTTTGTGGCTTTGCGCAGATGCTGTCCAGCTGCAGCCGGTCAGAGATAATTGAAAGGTAACAAAAACTTTCAAATTTCAACATTTCAGTGCCGATCTTGTCACTGCATTCTGGAAATTGTTCAAAGTTCTCGGAGTTTCCATAATTTTAACCCCTTGGTCCTTCACCATCACTGTTTTTATGTATTCTTAATGCAATGCTGACAAGCTGCACTTGTAGGGAATGCTTAGATCCATTTGACAAACCAGAATGTGAAGCTGTTGATATTTTTGTTAACGAGGTGCTTTGTGTTGGGAAAGGTACCAATGTCTATATGCTACTTGTTACTTGAATTTTGATTGGAAGCCAGGAAAGCAATTAAGGGGACAACTTTAGTTTGTGCAAATTATTCTTCTTAATTGCTGGCAAAAATGAAGATTCTTCTTAGTTGACAAGCTTAACATGCCTTCGCCTTAAGCTTGTGGAATGCGGGCTATGACGTTTGTAGAAACTGCAATATCTTACATGCCTTTATTTTCTCATCAAAATGACAATTATATATTCTGCAGCATGTTCAAATTCATGTGTGAACAGAGCGCCTCATGCTTTCACATATGTCTCTTCAACTGGAACAGCACGTGCAACTTCTCAAGGTTTGCTCGTGTGACTCCACAACTTAATTCTAACAAGAATAGATGTGAAGAATGGCATTATGTGCAGATATTGTTCTTTCATAAATTTATGATTGTTCCATGCCTTCATCCTGGGAAACTATTTTAGGTCATGGTGAAGATTATCAAGTTCAACTTGCTGTTGGTCAATGCCCAAGGAGTTGCATTCATTATGTTACCCCATCGCAGAGAATTATCTTAGAGGAGCTACTTGACAGGTACAGTTGAATTAATCCTAGTTGTCCCTTAGAACTTTTCTAGGTAGGCTGTGAAACAATTTATGAAATCAGCTCTCCTGTTTTGCATATTATGTTCTTGAAGGATGAGAGCTTGACTAATTCTTCCATTTATCTTACATTGCACACAACGCGCTATTTTGCTTATCATGATTTGACGCTTCTTCTCAAGATTCCCATTCAAATGCTTGTACAGATTCTAGAGTCTTGCTTTTATCTAATTGCATATTCTATTTTTTACTTGTTCGATTGATGTTGCAGCATGCTGAATGCACCCTTTTATGATACGTCAACTGAGGCAGAATTGCTCTACTCACTTATAACGAAAGCCAAATATGAGAATAACAGATACCAAAAGCCGAAGAAGCAACCGAAAACTTCAAGCCAGCATGTTGATTGGTTTTAACATTGGGGCAGTGGTTTATCAATAAGTCATCCTGTAAATATAATGATAAGGGCATGGCAGTTGTCAGCTGCATACAAGAGCTTTATTTCTCTTTTCACCGGAACTTATGCGAAGATATGCATTTTGTCCCATCCCTATTGCAATTCTTTATGAAGAGGCAGGGGCGGATTTGTGACATACTCTTCCTGTCCTAAATATAAGACATTTATACTAATGTGTATAAAGGTCTTATATTTAAGACTGGAGGAGTAGTAATTTACGTGTTAGCATGGATTTCAGGCTCTTGTTTTTGGTTTTGCGTAGGCAAATCTATGTAACGTCTCACAAGGTTAGAAGCCGGCGGCTCTGATCTCTACAAAGCGTTGGGCGGTTGGGGTAATTAATTTTGACTACGCAAAATGTAGACATTCTTCCCCGGGGGGGGGGGGACATGTGCGCCGTTGTATTATAGTTACATGGTTGTTAATTGCTTTTAACCTAACTCGCTTGATATTAAATATGGTCGGAACAGCAAGCTTGAGCCCCTGGGCTACCATGCTGCTGTCGAAGGTTGTGCGTGAATTTTCGGCCGAAAATAAAAAGGTCTTTGTGTGAATCTTGATTTCCCTTTTCGCCATGGAACTATGGAAGTGTGATATTTTGAATTTCTTAGAATTTATTAATTTAAGGTATTATAAAATCTATATTCTTAATATTTAAACTCCTGTTCATCGTAGTAATACTTTACGCATGGTCATATATGGATTGTTTATAGATAAGTTTCCTTCTCAATTATTATATCTGGATTGAGGAACAAGTAGCAGAGTTTATTATTTATATAATGGCGTTACTTATTCCCGTTATAGAGTATTGATAATACTGACTCTGGTTAATGATCCAATATATCATATTCCAGGGTGTTTGTTATTATATTTAATTTTTTAAAAAATTTGCATCTTTTTTTTTTTTTGGAATTGTGGTGTCTCTAATTACAGGATCTATTACAAAGTGGTAGGAGTAATTAAAATATTTTTTATTTAAATGCCCCAAATAATGGTATTTAATTAAAATATTTTGATTTGATGCGCCATTTATCAACGAACGTTGTGAAGGATACAAGCCTTTCGGGTGACAAAACAAATGTGATCTCTTCCATTGTGCCGGGCCCACAAAGCGGCCGATCCCCTAAGTTCAAATTTGAAATTTCCTCAAAAACCCTACTGACCGTTTGAGGAGCAAAATAGTGAAGGCTCTCCCTCTCGCTCTCTCGTTCTCTCTCCATCGCTTCCTTGCTATAGCTCGTCTGAATTTTCATCTTTCTTCTCCAATATCTCCGTTACCGATCCCATGGATGGTACTTGTACTCTCTTCCCTGCTTTTCTTGTAAATACTGGAGATTCCTAAAATGGGAGATCTCCTGTGACATTGTTTCTTGGCAAATATCTGAGTAAATTTAATGTGTTTTATACTTCTTGTAGAATTAACGATGGAGACACTTACTGAAAAGTTTAATCGATTTGTGATTGACTGCAATTTGAAGTCATCTAACCGCGATTCAGGTTTTCATCCTTCCTGCTCCTGATCTTGCATTCACTCTGTACTCCCTAGATTTTTGTGTTGTTTGATTTCTTAAGGTTTTGAAACAAAAAATGATTTGAAAGACATTATTGATCGTTGGACGATTTGTTTAGTTTCGGCCCGGAATATGGCGGATGAAGCTAGTAACATAGGTTTGTCTTTACGATCCCACTTCGTGCCTTTATTTCTTCCCTTTTTCCTCATTTCGTCTTCATAGGGTCTTTTTTTCGCTCTCGTTGATAGAAGAGAAGAGATGTGTGCGCATGCGTTGTTTATTTCTTTGGAATTGTTGTTAGGCAATATTTCACCACAAGTGAAAGAGAATTCTGGCTGCATGGATGCGAATAATCTGTCCAATGGGACCAGTGAAATTTCTCCAGATCAGGGTCATACACTTCCAATATTGAAGAAAATACTTGATTTGAGTTCCGAAATTCAGGTAATTTTAAGGCTTAATTCATTTTTCACTTTTTTTTTAATTTTTAAATTTTTTACTTAGGAATTTGTGGCTTCTCAGCTCTTATTCTGCTCCCTCTTTTTTCCTCCCTTTCATTGTGGGTATTAAAGGATACGTTTTTCTTGTCTTTTCCTTATTTGCTATCAAAAAAGACAGATAGGCTTTTCTTAGACGTACGAAACTAATTTTTCTATTGATTTACCTGGTTTTTATTCTCGACGCAACAGGAGTTGAAGAACCAGCATGTAGCCCTATCTGATCATGTGAAATTCACAACTGAATCCTTTCCAGGCCTTGAGGTAGTAAAGTCTGTTCAGAGTCTAGGTAAAGTTCTTGCGTAGACCCAAAATTGAACCAACTCTCCATTTACTCTTCTGTTTTAAATATAAGGCCTGTTTTGTATTGTAGTGTAATTTACACTAAGTCTTCTATTTAGAACAGGAGGGAGTTTTTTTTTTTTTAATTAGTTAAAATTTATTTTTCTCTGGTACTAGGCACTGAATACGAACTACTCAAAAGAAAGTACCTTGAGGAGTCCGCAGAGCGGAGACGGCTTTACAATGAAGTAATCGAAATGAAGGGAAACATCCGAGTTTTCTGCAGATGCAGGCCCCTAAATGAAAGTGAAACTTCAAATGGACATGCATCTGTCGTCAATTTTGAATCATCTACTGACAATGAGCTTCAAGTCATTTGCTCTGATTCTTCTAAAAAGCAATTCAGATTTGACTGTGTCTTTCGACCTGACGATAATCAAGGTACCGAGCATTCAGTTTTGTCTTTGTATGCTATGTTGCGGTAAAGAAACTTCTTTCATTTCGGTAAACGCTTTATCTTGCTTTTATTATTCATCATGCAGAGGCTGTTTTCGCACAAACAAGACCTATTGTTACATCAGTGTTGGATGGGTTTAACGTTTGCATTTTTGCCTACGGCCAAACTGGAACTGGTAAGACATTTACTATGGAAGGAACCCCGGAAAATAGGGGAGTTAACTACAGAACGCTGGACGAATTATTTCGGATATCTGAAGAGAGACGTAGCGTAATGAAATATGAATTGGTTGTTAGTATGCTGGAAGTTTACAATGAGAAGATAAGGGACCTCCTGGCGGAAAATTCTGATCAACCTACTAAGAAGTGAGCATTCATTCTAGTATTTTCCGTCTAATTAGCACTATTATTTCTAGTTTTTTCGAGTATATTGACGTTTGATCAAATTATAAGCGATTTCCAATTACTTGAATGACAAGTGTGTAGTTGCAACCATTTTTTTTAAATTTAAAGATCTTCAGTCCTGGCTAGATTTAGCAGAGGAGAACATGTTCTCAACTTTACTTAACTAAATGAAGGTTGGAGATTAAGCAAGCAGCAGATGGAACCCAAGAAGTTCCAGGACTAGTTGAAGCTCGTGCTTATGGAATAGAGGACGTGTGGCAAATGCTCAATTCCGGAAACAGGACCAGATCTGTTGGGTCCACCAATGCTAATGAGCTTAGCAGTCGTTCTCATTGGTATATCTTGATTATGCATAGTATTTTATTTTCAAAATTTTCTGAGCACACCATACTATACTATGGTCAAATAAATAGCAGAGTTCTTTGATTGAAGTGACAAATTTAAAGTTAGCACGGGATGAGTTATTTCTACCAATGATTGATATGCAATTTGGTGTGCTTGTACATAATTGATGATCTAGAAGTGGTTCCAATGCAGCTTGTTACGAGTTACTGTTACGGGGGAAAATCTTATCAATGGCCAGAGAACAAGAAGTCACCTTTGGCTAGTAGACTTAGCAGGGAGCGAACGTGTAGGAAAAACTGAAGCTGAAGGAGATAGATTGAAGGAATCTCAATTTATAAACAAGTCTCTATCAGCACTCGGTGATGTTATTTCTGCACTTGCATCCAAATCAGCCCACATCCCCTACAGGCAATTGTCACTTCCTCGCTCAGACACACTCCCGCTTAATGCTTTGTTATTTTATTGACATTTGTGTCCTTTTGTTTGGGACAGGAACTCAAAACTCACTCATATACTGCAGAGCTCGCTAGGTGAGGTTTCAAATTGGAAATAGCTTCTTTATGGTTGGGGTTTACATCTGAATACCATGCTTTATATATCTCTGATAAATTTTCTTGGATCGAAAGCAAAGTATTCAATTGATGTTGGATTCTTTACGTATGCATTCTTTCTTATTTTGTGATATTGATCTGGATTGAAATGCAGGAGGAGATTGCAAAACTCTGATGTTTGTCCAGATAAGTCCAAGTGCGGCTGATCTAGGAGAGACACTTTGTTCACTGAATTTTGCCACCCGTGTCCGCGGAATTGAAAGTGGCCCAGCTCGCAAGCAAGTAGACGTAACTGAGCTGTTTAAGTACAAGCAGATGGTATGATGGAGAGTAACTATTTTTTACACACGGAATGAAACACGGATTTTGGTATCTAAAATTTGAAATTTCATGAACAGGCAGAAAAGCTTAAGCACGATGAGAAGGAAACAAAGAAATTACAGGATAGCCTGCATGCCTTACAACTAAGGCTTGCTGCGAGGGAACATATCTGCAGGAATCTTCAGGAAAAGGTAAATCGTGACTTGAATGCGACGGCGGCATTATATAACTTTCACTTGTTCGCGAGCGCAAGTTTTTCGCTGAGTAGTCTTGTAACGGTTCATTCCTATCGCCACTATTTATTTACGACGTTGAGATTTACCATAAAATCTGTGACAGGTTCGGGACCTTGAGAACCAGATAGCAGAAGAGAGAAAAACCAGACTGAAGCAAGAAAGTAGAGCGATTGCCATTTCAGCTCAACCCTCAAAACTCGCATCGCTGAAAGAAGCACCAGCTCGGAAACCACTGGCAGAGAAAAAGCCGCCATTGAATCCTTCGAAGCTGAGGATGCCACTGCGGAGGATTACTACAAACATCTTGCCCCAACCGTCTCCTATGCCGTCAAAGAAAAATGGCCGTGTCACTTACAAGAATGGAAAGGAAAACACTGCCAGAAAGAGCATAATGACGAGAAACACAGAAGAGCTTGTGAAACCAAGAAGAGCGTCCATTGCTGTGAGACCACAGACGGCGGCACCATCAACAAGTCAAGTATTTCAGCCCAGGAGGCGGGTCTCAATTGCTACATTCCGCCCAGACGCTAGCTCTGACTTGACAACTCCTCTTCGCAGCTCTGCCTCTGAATTCACCGGTGGCCAACAATCATCGATAAGAAGCCAAAGGAAAGCTCGGTATTCAAGGCTGTTTGCCCCTTTGCCAGAAATGAGAGCATCAGTTGAGACAACACCGAGTATCATGAGGAGCAGTAGTAAGTTCATGGGCAGTCCCATAGGGGCGGTTAGGAATCCGGCGGTGGTTGCCCTGCAACGAAAATCTTTTGTGTGGAGTCCTCTGAAGCTGAGAGGCTTGAAAAATATCAGAAAGTCTTCACTGTTGCCATCTCGGCCTTCCTCCGAAATGCAATGAGGTAGTGTGTTTGTCAAAGACTCAGAGAGCAGAAACTTGTCCCTTTTGCTGCCACCTGGGCCTATTATCTGGAATGGGCTTGTCTTCCTTCCACTCCTTCAAACAAGGGCAGATAGTGTGTTTTCGAAACACATACAAATTTAAAATCTTGGACGTGAATAGAATTCATTTCTTTTGTAACAGTGTGATTACTGGTTTTGCCGCTTCATATTTGAGGGATCATGCGACTCAGCTGTGTGAATGGGCATGACAATCATGTTATAAAGTGAATTGAGTATATAGCTTCATGTTAAAATGGCGTCAAGGCAAATCTGTACAAAGCTGAGGGACTTAAATGGCCGTTCCTGGACGAATGTTGTATAACTAACCTTTTGTGAAGAATTAATTCAGGCTCAAAAAAATGTTATATAACATTTTCATGGTCAATATAAGTTAAATATAACCGCATGTGCCATGTCATATGCGATTAGATAATAGGGAATTTTAAGCATCATCGATGGCAAGGCCCAAAAAAAAAAACACAGCGACAACATAGAGGACCATCCACATAATGATATCATTTATGAGGTAAAGAATTTGCTGATGAGAAACTGGAAGGTTCGTTTCATTTAGTCTGTCAACAACGTAAATAATGCTCATGTTTTAAGTTTATCGGGATTAGTATTCATTCAGTGATCTACTTGCTGTATTTTTAGCTTTACTTTTCTATCAATTCATATCCAATGTATTTATTTAAAAAGGACCATGAATGTACTGTCTTCCATGAATTTTTTTTTAGCGGTAATCCTACAATTTAATGTTTTTTATTAAAATTTATTGTGATTTCTTCATATAAATTTATATTCTTAATCGAAATATAGTTACTGTAATATTTAAGAATTTTTGTAAAAGAAAAATTAACTAAAAATTATAAAGGAATTATGAAAAAACATATTTAGATCAAGTTTCTTATATTTATTGTGTCAAATCTTTCGATCAACCATGTGTGATTTGAAGTTTTTTTTTTTTAAAAAAAAGGTGATTTGAAGTTAAACCTCTGTGGACCAAGACATGAGTGGTCCAAACACAAATTAGTGATTTAAGGGCCCTAAAGACAGTAAGATTATTGGCAAAGAGCGTGTTAAACGGCGATTACTTATTTTATTAATTTATTATCATTAATACCTCCCTTTTGAAAAAAAAAGGGGTTCAATAGCCGTTGCACTTGTTTCGCGATGATGGACTCGACCGTTGGAACCCACAGAAACATGTTTTGACTTTCCGCTTCGGGGCCAAACTGAAAGAAAAAGGTTTTGGGTCCGCGTTTGTCTGTTAGAGAGGGAGAGAAGAGAACAAAAATTCATTCCCAATCTTTGGTTGGGTGCTTTGCTGGAGAGAAAAAGGTTTGGGGTCGGAGTCTGAGATTAAAATTTTGAGATCGACCCTCGTGTTTCCTTCGGATAGCGCAAAGATGGTTGCGAGAACCCCACCAAAGTCGAAGAAAATGTTAGCTGCACTCAATCCTCTCCTCGTCAGAGAAACATTAAACAAGGTAATTTATCATTCCGTCATGAAATTCTATATTCCGATTGCAATTTCAATCAGACAAAGATCAAATCACTTTCATATTTGTACGTTCTCCCTGCTCTTTTACGGCACTAAGTTTTTGTGGATGTTTGAAGATGGACCAGTGCATGGCTCGGCTTCAGGAACTTCAGTATACTGTGACCGGTGGGACGAAAGTAGTTTCAGGGGTGAATCTGAGCCCTCGCAGTACCAGAGGCTATCTAAGAACCAGTCTGAGGTGCAAGCAAGAATCACTCAGGTTTGGCTAAGATTGTTATGACGATGCCCTAAGTTCAATATTTTTAATCCAAGTCATTAGTTAAAATTGTGAGCTGTGTTCTCGTGATTCTGAAGGATCATGAATGGCGCCCGTTCCAGATCTCCAAAAGGGAAGTTTCCAGCAAATACAGGAGGTCTCTCCCTACCCATATGACGCACTTTTCATGGGTGGAAATCAGATTCTTGTATTTTTATTTTCATTTTGTTGACCGATAATTGAAGGACCATCCATAAATGCAGGTGAATGGAAGCGAATGTCATTGCCAGCAATGCTTGTGGGTGAAACTCTTGGAGAAATTCTACAGGCAAGTCAATTTGCCAGGGATATTGTTTCAGCAGTGGCTAGGAAAACTGATACAGAGGACCCGAGAACTCCGGTACCACCACAACGGACAAAACAGAAATTACAACATCCAGAAAACACCCAACTCAAAGCTAAAAGGAAGAAAGAGAAGCAAACCAAGCCAGGATCGGCTCGATCAGAATCATCGTCCCCCTCACTTGGAAGGGCTCGTTCAAGAATCAATTTTAAGGTATCTCCCCAGAAAGTTAGAGAATTTGATAAAGAAAATAACAGGTATATGGCAAACAGGGTGTCTCCGAGGAACAGGCCTTGGGCTAAGAAGACTGTACTATTCCCCAACCCTTTATTCCTGTCTACGCCTTCTTCACAGCAACACAAGTTCTGCAAGACAAGATCTCCTGTTATATCAAGAAACAGAGGAACTCCACACAAGTTCCTGATTAAGTCTCCACCTTCTTCTAAACTGCAACCCAAGAACAAAAGCCCACAATCTAAATTCCAAGCCATGGTTAAAAGTCCACCATCCAGGGTCCATACCCAGACCAAAAGCCCTCCGTCCAAATTCCAGGTGAAGATTAGAAGCCCACCAGTTCTGTCTATTTCTTCACCTACCAGACCCCCGAGTCTCATGAAAAAGACTTCTCCCAAGAGGTCGGCTGCATCCAAGCTGCGTCGATCTTTCTCTCCATCTAGGCTGGCGACCAGGTTAGCTTCACTTTCTCCATTGAGGAGCAAGAGAAGTGCAAGCGTACAGAAAAGTGACGGATTAGTGAGTGGACTGAAACAGCGTCCGCCTTCAACAGTGCAATTCCCTGCTCGAAGGATTTGATGACATGTTCACCTGCCATCGTTTTATTTCGTACTTAAGTCAAGGAATTCTTCTTGTCCATAGCTACATATTCTTTCCTTTTATGTTTGGTAATTGGTGGTGTGTATCCTTTTTCTCTTGTTATGTCAATAAATTTTCTCCTCTTCAACATTTTTTTCCCCACATAGACGACCAATGGCGAATTTAATGTCAATTGCCCTTTATCTGTTCATCAAAAACTTTGATTTACATATGCACTCATATTGACACCCGTGTCAGAGCATCTATATCACAAATCAAAATGTTAATTATTATTGAAATTTTGAAAAATAATTAAATATGAAAAACGAAGAAGCATAGTGGCAACTCATTCCATAAGCAATCTGAAGCCACACAATTCTGATTATTTTTTCAATTCATAATACAATCGGGGCACACATGCTAAAGAAGTGCAACCATTTCTCAAGCAAAGGAAATTGAAGAGATTTTCAAGCAACACCCGGCTATTAGTGCTTTACACAGCACAACACTTGGAAGAACATAGCATTGAGGCTCTATGAGACTGGATGACACCACATCGAATAATTCAATGAGTCGGCAGGCAAACCGGCCGAATCGGGTATAACAAAAATATGAACACCCTGCAGTGAAGCTCGTGTTTGCAATCCCCAGCTGCAAATATTTTTGTGGGATCCGACCGTCTTTATGTGCTGGGCGATGCAAATCTCGTCCGTTCTCTCTGCCGATTTAAGGCTCGATCCTTTGGTGATGATGTTTTCCCCCCTATACCAGCTTGACGCATCATTTCTGCAAAATTACCCCCGTCTCCGCGTAAAAATATAGTTCATATATAGTCGAAACTCAAACTTGGGAGTTCCGTACGAGGAAGGGACAAAATAACAAGGAAGGAAAACTCTCTGTCCCTTGCTGATAGTCAAGCAATTTCTAAATAGACAAAAATTGTATAAAATTATGAAAACTAAAGAGAACAAGTTCTAACCGCGCTTTCTCTCAAGCTCCTGGTCAAGTTCTTCTTTCCACTTCTTCTGTCTCTCGGAAAAGCTTAAACTGCAAGTAGAACATCTAAGGTTCAGATTACTCCAAACATTTGACAGTAATTATTGCCAAGACAAGCAAAACAAAGTGTTAGACGATAAACAACCTTGGGCTAGGAGGCTCCTGCTGGGAATCAACTAGCAATCCTTTCCATTCATTGAGGGGGGGTGATGGTATGTTCTGTGAATTATGATCAGTTGCATTCCCAACATTCGGGGAGGACCTGCCAGTACTTCCCGGACTTTCGGTATGGTCGACTGCTTTTGATGGGGTGCCAATTGCTACCCGATTCGGGGACCTGCTTTTGGGAGGTAATTTCAAGAACTTCGGAGTAGTTTCGTCATTTGAGTTTTCAACCGCATCGGGAGAACAAGATGTATTGAAACTGTTGTAGAACTCTTCATATAAAGGTGTTTGCAGTTTTTTCAGTCCTAGAGCCTGCCACAACGCATCGATTTATGACAATTTAGTGGGAAATAAATATTAATGACATGCATGGTCGCAGATGGACTAATACCTTCTCATCCAAAAAAGCTTGTATTTTTGACTCAGTAAGTTGTTCATCCTCCTCGGACACTGATGGTTCGCCTGAAAAGGAAAAATCTTTCTGCTCCTCATGGGAAGCCTCCAGGTTGTCAGCAGGCTTATGCATTTCGTCAGTGGTAATACTAACTCCACAACGATCCAGTCCTGGACTCACATCGAATTCGCAACTCCAATCATCAGAGGGATCAGACATCGGGTTGAAACTCTGCATATTCAAAAAATAATTCCTGAAAAGTCTTTATTTTCTTATGGATGCAACAATGCATAAGGACCAAAGTGCAATCACCATAATATTTTCTGACATCGAGGATCTAAGTTTAACAGCCCCCTCCGAGAAGTCATCTTTGTCATCAATCTCACACATGTCGTCATCATTGCCCATTCCCCAATACTCTTTATTCTCTTCTTCCTCAGGATGTACAATTGAGCTGGAAGGATTGTACAAATTATGAAAATTAAGGCAAAACTAAGGGCAGCAGATTAAGATTTTCTTAGCATCACAAGAAAACAACTACCAAATCTAAGATCTCAATACTTACGGAGTTTCGATGTTTGAGGTGCAAGATGCTGAGGAAGCTTCAAATTTTCCCTGCTGAAAACATAAGTTATTTTCCCTCAGAGTTGACATCTGCACAAACACAACTGCATCTCATCTGAAATAACGCTTTCACTATACAAACCATTGCTGTACATGACGCAGGAATTGAACCCATGTGCTCGCCAGTAACAAAGGGATGCTGCATCAATTGGAAAACTTGATATTAGGGGAAACATAATCATCAATTGCAGAACACTGTCATACGAATTCAGTATATTAGAATGGACACCCAAGCTGCTGGAGCCCTTGTCTGCGAATCCAATAAAGAGAAATGATATTAGGATCACCTGCAACAGTTCTGATGCTGATGGCCGTAAGACTGGTTCCCTACATAAAGATGGTAGGTAGCATTTGTAATCTAAACACAAATATAGTTCCATTTACTCTATCAAAATTAGTATTTGAAATCTTTCCTTGACAAACGGGCATAAATTATGAAGCCCAAAAAATAAGAACTCCATAATGTGTAGCTTCACATACCCTATTTCCTGAATATAATTTAAGAGATAAGAATTTGTTGATTCAGGCTTAAGAAATCTAGAACACTTGCAATTCTGAACAGAAACCAAACTAACAAGACAAAAGTAAGGAAGATATAGTTTAAAACAGCATACTTCTGCAAACATTTTAATAGAAAATCTTTTGCTCCAAGAGAAAGATGATCCGGAATTGGTGGATGAGACTTTGTTGTCCCTATATGGAAGAGAGCAGCAACCTGAAGGTCCAATCTTTTATTAGATGTTCATAGATCACCTCAAAACAAAATAGAAGTTATATTTTAAGATACCTCTTGGTACTGCTGGCTCCAAGGAGGTTTTCCAGTGGCCATTTCAATCACAGTACACCCAACGCTCCATATATCAGCAGAGCTGAAAAAATATAATCATATTAATCCATTTCTTGAGAGTTTCAAAGCGTGAAGAAATATGAATATTTCAAAAGTTAAGATAATGGAAAAGTGGCAAGGCCCAAAACATATGTAAGGTTACCCTACAAAAAGAGTGACAGAGATATTTAACTCCACAATTCAGTTCAATATAAATAGTCGTTTATTTGTAGATAATCTAAAAGCAGTAAGGTTTTAGTTGAGAAGGGAAGGAGCAAGGGACACTAAGAAGAGAGCGCGAAACTCAGAAAAGCAGAGCTGCTTGTGAAAAATATGTTAGGAAAGCTAATTTCCTTACAAGCTATGCCCAGTCTGGAGAATAACTTCAGGAGCCATCCAATATGGAGTACCCTTCATAGACTTGGTACCGGTAATGGTAGCCTGGAGCAATGCATGTCTCAGACCAATATGCAAGGGGAAGAGCCTTCACAGCATAGTGACAGAACATATAATAGTAGAGTGACATATAAGATTGACCATACCAGCTCAACGACCTGTTTGGACGCCCCAAAATCTGCAAGTTTTATGCACCCTTTATTATCAACGAGGATATTTGCCCCCTGAAAATAATTCATACTTCAATATTAATCACTTAAAGGAATAAGTCCTAAACGCATATAAATGAAGTTGGAGAAAAGCCACCTTAATGTCCCTGTGCATGATTCCATTTTTGTGCAAGTACTCAAGTCCCAGCAGTAATTGCTTCGTGAAAGTTCTAATAACCTGTGCTCAATGAAATAATGGTTATACAATGGTTGAAAGAATTACAAAGTACATGCATTTAGCAGCTAAACTTACAGCCTCAGGGAAAGCTCCAAACTTCCCCAGAAGTGACGATATGGATCCACCTGGTACAAATTCCAGAAGAATATTTAATGTGTCCTCCTCCCTAACTGTACCCAAATATCTCTACAAGCGAAAAATAACATGTATCCATAAGAGAGTTTCTTTAAACTAATTGGCTTTGTCGAAGTCACTCACTTCTTGAAAATCATACTCACAACAATATTGGGATGGGAAAGATCTTTAAGAAGCTTAACTTCTTCCTCAAGCTCCTTTATGTGAGTCTGTTAATTGTATTAAAATGGTACCCGCAATTCCAAATGTCAGTCAAATAACATCATAAAGTCATTCAATCAAGACGAATCATGCAAAGGGTGAGAATGAAGAAGAACCAATGTCTTTTGCATCCAGCATTTTGATATTAAGATACAAAGACATTTTCAAAAGAAAGATACTGCAAACGCGAAAAGTTTTGTCATTTTGAAAATTTTCCCAGACGTTTGATATTTGAGCGAGTTCTTTTCTTTTCTTTTTTTTTTCCTCCCCCCCCCCCCCCAAATTAAAGCCTCATAAGGAAAACTTTATGATATGCAAGACATTAAATCAAAATCAAAAAATTACTATTGAAGCTCTTTATTAAAGACTAAGGATCAATTCATTGGCATTTAATATCCTAAATTAATGCAATAATAAGCCAAGTAACTAAAATTGATCAGACAGAGAAGCACGCAAGATACCATAGTCACCGGGATTTGTTCAATGTAGAAAATTGCCAAAATACTAAGCAAAGAAACTGAAAAAATAAATTTGAACCTGTGCCTTCTCCTTCGAAGCACTACTAGCCGCGATCAGAACCTATAAAGTCGGACAAAACAAAAAGCCAAAATAAATATAAACCCTTATGATATTATATAAATATGCTGTAAGTAAAAGTAAACACAGCGTCATTTGGGAGTAACAGCGTCATTTGGGAGTAACAACGTCATTTGGGAGGATATTTCTCATCTTCTTAGTTTCTTTTCTAATTTTAATGTTCTTTTAGCTGATCCCCCTCTTTTTTGTAAGACTGTTAGGATCATGGCTCCCGTTATGGTCTTAGACCAGTAACTTATTTTGTTTTAATGAATCATTCTGTTTTGCATTTAAAAAAGTAAAAAACGGGAAAAATTGACATTGAAATACTAGAGAAAAGGATGCAAAAATCCCAAGAGTCGTTTATTAGATTCCAAGCGAATAAGAGAACGAGATAGAAAGAGCAAACACCAACTACAACATTAAAACTTCACCAAAATCTCAAGAATCCAAGACAAAAGAAAATTGATTGCATTCCAAGATGAATGGGAAACTAACTGGACAGCAAAATTCCCACAGCCGAAATTAACATCCAATCGGAAGGGGCGTGAAGAGAAGAACTTACTTGTTTTACTGCCAGAAGCTCTCCAGAGTCAAGATTCATGCCCATGTAAACTCGGCCAAAGGCACCACATCCGATCAACTCGCCTTTGCGCCATCGGATCATAAGCGAAGATTCCTTTGTGATCGGTGGCAATGGCGAAGATGCCGGAAAAGGTTTAGAGAAGACTCTGGACTTGCGGATGCACGAATTGATCTTATCAACTAGGGTTCCTCCAAGTGAGGCTTCTTCGTTCTCCGGCGTAGTACGAAACACAAGCGATCGGCGAACTGACCCGAAAATGTCTTGCATTTGCATTGGTGTGTTGTCTTGAGTGAGAGTAGTGAGGAACCATATATCGTTATATTGAGTCGGCCAAAAACAGCGGTGTCCGCGGAGGGAAAAGGGGTCGGAGACTCACTTTTCAAAAATCGGGGCATACTACTACAATTACGTGAACTTCGGGGAGCGTTTTGTCAATTGCACAATTAACTCGTTTTTCTCTATGACTTGCAAACAGTCATACTGCTCTTTGCTTAAAATCAATATTATCGAGAGAATAAGAAGAGATATTATTTATTAATCATGTCCGATACTCTAATGACTAATCAAAATCAACATATCATTTTATAAAATATGAAATTGATGACAAATCAAATGATTTATAAGCCTGAAACATGTGGTTCTTCTCATTCCATTTAATGTAAAGGAAAATTTGTTCACTTACCTTAAAGTATAACTAAATATTTTTCCGTAAACAAACAAAACTAGATATTTTTCCCAAAAAATTGAGAGACATAATTATTTTTAAAGTTTACCAAAATTCATACAGATATACAAAAAGTATACAAAGATATAAAACTCACGGTTCCCCACTCCAAGTGATGTATAAAAAAATATGTTCAATTATCTTATAACTTAACTAGATTTTTTTAAAATTTTTTTAGGTGATAGAAATAACAATTTAAAAGTTTATAAGAAAGTTACACACATTTTTAATAAGCTAAATGTTATTAAAAATATAGAGAGGAATACTAAAAGAACTATATGAATCCCAGTATTACGTAAAATTTAGGAAGAATTATAATGAAATCCTAGAAAAGAAAAAAATTACAAAAACAAGTCTTAAAAATTGTCATTCTCCGTTTTAAAACTTTTTATTACAAACTGTATAAGTTGTTATTGAAATTTTTTAATAATTATTTCTTTTTTTAGAACTTGATTACAATTCTCCCTAAAATCTAAGAAACGAGTGTACCAGGCTTGCGAAAAGGCGAAGGCAAAAAGATCACACAAGTCATAAGAAGCCACCATGTTAGTATAACTTAAGGGTAGCGTTTCTCTCTCTTATAATTGCATTGCTGTAAAGGCGATGAAATCAAGATATTCAATTTATCACCGGACTTCCGGGAAGTAAGAAAATCATTTGACAAAGGAGGCTTAGAAAATAGGAAGAAATAAAAAGAAGCGGCAAGGCCCCATTTGACGAATTGTTCATGGTCCCCAGCTTCATTATATTTGAATCTTAACTCATGCATGTTGAATGGATGGCATCAGCTGAAAAAGAAAATAAGACTCGGGCAAGCCAAATTTAGTGCCGTAACCCCTATTAAATTTCATGATAAATTTTAGCTATCTAGAACCCATCATTATTTTTGGTCACACAGTAAAATAAAATTTTTAATTTTCTTCATTACCCGCTTGTAGGTGATTGAATCCCCAGGACAGCTTGTGCGCTATTCAGCTTCAAATCACACGCATTTGATCAGTTCTTTCTCGTTTTAAATTTGTTTCTGGTAAACAATATTTCAATTTTTTTTATTAGAACAAATAGCCCTGTTTGGTTTTGCTTGATACACATTTCTATTTCAAAACCATTATGTCCGTTCATTCCTACTATTTCTATTTCAAAACCATTATGTCCGTTCATTTCTAAACTTTTCCGGGTCATATCTCCTAATGTATGAATTATTGTGAACGACGATAACCGTTTTAGCAATCACACTGAGCATGCTAATTGAGGTTTCATGCAGTTTCTATTTTAGCAAATCAACTAAGAGTAAAATAACGATTAAATTAAAAGCCCTGTTTTGCAATGAATTTAAACTTTTAGATGAACAATACAGCACGAGGATGAGACAAAATCAGATTTTGTCAAGCACCACAGGCCGAGTGTTGTTCCAGAGCCACTGGCGAGCAGAACCATCCAGCAATGGTGACACCTGCAGTGGACATGATCCGGTGTTTAATTTTGCCACCGAATGATGTATAACTAAGAAGGTCAAAAAGAAGAAAGATTTTTTTGGAGGGGGAAGGGAATGGTTTTTCTTCTCCTTTTTCTTTTTTAATCGTACATGTTGTGAGAGAGGGGGGGGGGGATGATCATTGCTCAACTTCGATTATTCTAAAAAGCCTAGTTGCAGTTAGTTCAGAGGAACCAGATAAAAGTAGTACTCTTTCGAACCTAAATATAAAACCCAATGGGTCTCATATTTAAGTCTAAATAGATTTTATATTTAGATCAAGAGGAGTAGCATGCAAGTTTTAAAAGTATATTCAGAAGAAATTTCTCGGTTTTAATTTTTAAAGAAAAAACCGTAGACATGGAGACCAAAGGCTTGTTTCAATCTATCTAATCGAATGCCCCCGAACGGACAAACAAGGCTTGTTAAAACGCGATGCATCCATAAGAGCCAATTAAAATACCTTTTCCCAGACCTGCGAGTGGTAGCTGTTAATCCAATCAACCTCTGCAGCTGATAGCAGAGATAAGTCAACCAACTTAATCTGCAAGGTGTCACCGCGTTAATCACAAATACATGGAACAATGTCACTCATAAAAAGTGGGGAAAGACAGTTTAGTAAAAGGCAGAGAAAAGAAACTGAAACTAATTTGAAAGCAAAACTTCAGGAAGTAGATAAATAGTTTACCTGAATAGGCACAAATGTGAGTTTCTCAAATCCCAGGTATTGAATCCCTCCATAACGATTTGGTGTCTCCATGTCTGTCACGTAAAGGAGATTCTGCAAGCTAAAAGAGCCTCATCACCAACCAAAAAAAGTGAGCAGAATACAAGAGCCTCAGAGTTCAGACATGTTATTTTAATAGTTCAACAGAGAAAAACAGAAAAAAGAGCAACAAGATGTACCCAGTCGGTGCATTTAAGAGAGCATCATAGTTTTCTGCTATATTCACTGGGGCTAAAAATATTAAACAAGGTGAAAATCTTGTATCAAGTAACAAATAAGTTCATTCACTGAAAGCCCCTTATGACACTAGTGCGAGGTTTAAAATCCAAGTTTGAACCTATCCTCTAATTACCATTTAAGAAATCTTGAGCACAACAACCATGCTTTCACGTGTTTCAATGACCTTCACTCTTGCATCTGATACCTACTTAATTATTCTCATACTTCAACTTTTCTGTAACTGATGACTGTTTAAATAAAGATTCAATCAATATGCGTAAACAATGTCGAAAACAAGCGACCTCATAAGTAATCCAATCAAAATCTTGCAGCTGGAAAGAGGCCAAGAGGATATAACCTCAATCCGAATTCCAAAGGAATGGTCCTCATAATAGCCAGGCTCATTGCTAACAACCATGCCTTCCTGTAAAGAGGTGAAATTTCCATAACGATAACTAATGCTTTGCGGGCCCTCATGAACATTCAATGCAGCACCCACACCATGCCCAGTACCTAAAAAACAATAATTAAGCACAAAAGTCAATGAATTACTACATCAATTTGGCTTGAGGTGGGGTTCAAGGAAAAAGTTCTCCTCTTGAAGTCAGAATATACCATGCCTGTAGTCAAGTCCAATTTTCCAAAGAAATGAACGAGCAAATGCATCCAGCACAAAACCAGGGGTATTTTCAGGAAACACTGACAAATCAAGAGCTATATGGCCCTGCAATTGGACATTATCAGAAGGAGAAAACAGTCTTAGGAAACCCCCCATGCCATTATATATGTACTTGTTAGAAGTGCACCCTCCCACAACTAACACATCAACCAAGATAATGTTAATGGTTATGTGCCGACTTTTGGTCAAAATGCTCAAATAAACTCAAGCAAAACATACAAGCCATTAACTACCGTACCTGTAATACTCGGGTGAAGCATTCTCTTTCTCTTGCTGCAGGCTTGCCAAAATGAACTGTTCGTGTTATGTCAGTTGTGCCATCAACATACTGAGCTCCACTGTCCAGTAAGAATAATTTATTGGCATCCACGATACTACAACTTTCTGGTTCTGGTTTGTAATGTATGACAGCACCATTTGCACCAGAAGCTGGGGAATAATAAAATTGAGACCATTAAGATCTACACAGGCATGTCACAGTTGCACAAGAAATAAACAAATTACAGCTCACCGCCATGATTAGCAGAATAAAAGTTGGTTTAATAAGTATATTAGCTCACAAGAAGCACATGAGAAATTAATAAAAGGACACCGTTCAAGTCAACTAGATTCAGTCAAGAAAACCAAAATAAAATTATAACTTTGGATTCTGCATACATGGAGACATAGTCGTTGTATGACTTTTATAGTTTTCTAAAAAGCATCCAAATGAATTTAAAAAAGAAAAAAAGGGGGGGGATGAGAGGAAGCTGTTGAATACCACTTATGGTCTCAAAGCTTGTATCCAAGAAACCAGCTTGTTTTGAGCGAAACTCAAGAAGTTTGTCAGAAACCTCTACTTCTGTTAAAGCCCTATCTTTACTAATTTCTTTCTCTAGCCAGTCCCAGAACTCAGCAAGGGCAGCAGCATCCCTGGACACGAGAAAAGCCCAGTTAGTTACATGCTAGATATCATTTGTACTCGTAACTTGTTGTATTAAAGCTTCACATACAATTGGGAGAATCCAATAGAGAACAGCTCAAATGAATATAATAGCAAATTTCTCTTTCGGTCCTCAAAGATACATACTTTTTCCATGATTGAATCTTCGAAATTGAATATTTCAATTTGATTTAAAACGGTCATTCTGTACATCCTAAATACTTTAAATCAACGACAGGATATGCATGGGATTGTGGGAAGACGGAAGAGAAGAACAATTAGCGATGTGTATAACAACACTAATTATCAGAAGATCGTCCAAGCATGGAAACCAAACATCAACATGCAAAAATACTCATTTATTATCATCACGGTAATATATGATAACCTTAAATGACAGTTCCTCATCCCTTCTAACTCTGATTCATTTTTTATGGCCTTTGCCAGAGATACAGGGGAGAATCTGCGCACTGCAGTGGGTCCATTCAAGTTCTCACTGGATCCATCAACACGTCCCTTCTGTTCAGTCCCTTGGATATGATAATACTTATCACAAGCGGCTCTGTAGGCATTTACAATAGCAGCATTAACCGATGAAGTATCCAACCAAAGGGAAGCGCCTTTTGCTGCCAAACTGAAATGGAAAAATAAGCTACATTTGAACGTGATATTCAATTTAGAAGCCACCTGGGCCCATTAAAAAAAAAAAAACTGCTAGATATTTCCACTAAAAGATGCAAAAACCACAGCCTCCCCAAATAACTGGACTCCCAAAAATTACCTTTCAATTTCAGACAGAATTGAATCATATTGCCTCAACTCTATGCCAGCCTTCTTCAAGTAATCGCTCACCTCTTCTGTGACTTTTGAATGATCTATAAATAGTTTGGCTCTGTCGATCTCCACAATCACATATGCATACATGACAGGTGAATGCGGAACATCACTTCCTCTCTGTGAAATATGACATTTTATTGGTTAAAACAAAGAGAGCGGCTGGAATAAGGAAAACAATTTGGTACATGAAATGAAATGGAATGGCCATAGAAATTGATTTTTTTCCCCCTTTTTTCAAGGAAATTTTGTAGTTTCAAAATGTCCTCTGTGCCCTAAATAAAAATAATAACAACAACAACAACAACAACAACAAAAAGAACAGTTACTGTTAAATAGTAACATCAGGGATTCATAAGACATCTCATCTTTTTTAAACTGGAAAAGGAACCAAATGCTCCTTAAAATAACCATGTAAACCTAGAATGAGCACGAGCAGCTGAAAAAGGATTTTGGAAGAATATTTTCGAAGATATATGATTTTACACCAAATAAGCATCAGTGCATCAAGTTAAAGAGGATCGTGTTGAAATATACTTTACCAGGTTCAACAACCACGCAATTTCATCAAGCATGGATATAATAATTGCTGATGAACCAGCACTGGCAAGTTCTGATCTCAAAGATGACAATTTTGCTGCCACATCTAAACCAGCATACTTCAGATTATGTAGTCTAACTGGTTTATTTGGAGGCTTTGGCCTAGATTCTTTCCATATTTCATCCACAAGATTTATATTGCTCAAGTAGACCAGCTCATGATTTTTTCTAGAAATCACATCCTTAAGTTCTTCAGCAGCATCGGAAGTAAAAAGAAACTGCATCCTTCATTATGTGGAAGTGAATGTTGAATCAGGCACAAGATAAATGAAAAGAAGGATCTGCTATATGACTAAATTAAAAGAAAAATCATGAATTTGATTAGAAAATATGTATATACAGAAAGCCAAACAGAGCCAAAAAATATGAACCAAAGAATTCAAAAGGAAAGTTAACATGATATTTAGCTTACCAGTTGAAAAAGGATAACTACTATTTAATGAGCTATGCTTTCAACATTGTTCATAAGACATAACAAGCAGAAGATTTTTAACATCTTAATATCGGATCGGAAGGGTGTAAATCATATGCTCTGAAGTAAAACTACAAGAATGTGATAGTAATTCCTCATTAGAAAACAACTGTAGAACATCCATCAAAAGGTGCGAATTACTCACAGGATCAATGGCAACTCTACCACCAGGAGCCAAAACATCATTTAGCCATTCACCAGTAGATGGAACCCCTGGATTCCCTGCTCGCATGAGAATCCAATTGGAGTTCAGTTGCTTCTCAGCCTAGAATGAGGAAAGAGGGGGAGGGGAGGTATCAATGACATAGATATACTGCAATTACATAATAATACAGTCTAGCAAAATCCACAACATAGATAGCCTAGTAAAAGTCCTAGCAGACTCTGGCCAGGCAGAAATAAACATAATTGCTGATCTACACAGCCAATTTCCAATCACAATCATGCATAATGGTAAAAAGGAGGAGGAGGAGGAGGAAGATGATGATGATAATTAGGAACAGCACAATAAAAGTTACTGCTAGTCCGAACCTGGAGAAAATATCGCCCGTCCGTCCAAAGAGCAGCCCTGTCCTTCGTAACAACGGCAGTACCAGCACTACCGGTAAACCCTGATATGTAGGCCCTCCTCATGTAACATTCAGCAATGAATTCACTCTAAAGCGAAATTAAAAAAATTAAAATCAGTTTGTACCCAAAAAAAAAAAATTAAAATCAGTTTACCAAGCCTATTTGTTTTGGGCATGTGCAAGACAAATTATCAGCAAAGAAAAGAAAGATGAAATTCATAAGCTCAAACTATAACGTGAGAATCAAGGTTAGATTAGGTCATCTAGGGAGATTTCAAGAAGAACTTTTGAAGAATACAAACTTACAACCAAATGAATTGAGGGTTCTGAATAACAAAGTCACAGATTGAGAATACTACTTCATTTCCAAATATCAAGTTTACTAAAATTCCATGTAAAATAATAAACTGAGGTCTGAGAACTTACAAAATGCAGACTGGCTACATCAAGTAAACAAACCACAAAGAAAGCTAAGCTTTTATTTGCAGAGAAGGAAGATAAGAGGGAGAAACTCATTTTAGTATCAAGTTTTCTATATATATATATACACGTATGTATATATGTGTGTGTGTATATATAGCACTGGAACTCCCTCATATATGCACTCAAAACAAAGCGTATAAGTCAAAATGAGTAGTGAAACCTGGTGAGCATCCTGGGAAGGGATGATATAAGCGTCAATGCCCACCCCGGGCCTGGAGAAAAGTTCTCTGAGAGCCCGAAGCTTGTCATCGGGCTGCGAAACAGCACGGGCCTTTCTAATTTCAGCAGAGGACTTAACTCTGATGGAACTGCAATTCCGCACAGTCAAGAAAGGGAACTTGCGGGATTCTCTGAGAAGCTTGGGTGCGGCATTAATTTTACAGAGAAGTGGATCCGAGGGAGGCAGGGGCAGGGGGCAGAGGTACCTGAAGGTTGGTGATAGCAGGAACCGCTGCATCGGAGGTGAAGGCAGCGAAAGCATGGCGTAGTTGGAGGCAGAAAGATTGGCCTCTGCTGGAACAGGAGATTAAAATAGTTGGACCAAAAATGACAAGAACCCTCCTAAGTTCGCGATAACGTCTTTCGCGCCCCACTCAATCGGATCGCCAATTTTTCGTTTCTTGCTCGCTGGTTGCGCAAGTAGTCTTAGGAAAATGAAAATGAGTTGCGGATTATATATAAATAAATGGCAATCCTTTTCATTATGCACGAAGGTTAAAAAAAACCTGTTAATCATGCATGCTATTGCTTTAACGTTAATATTTTATTTTTAAAAAATATAATTGTTAATATAAAAATTAGTTGACTAATTTAATTAAATTAAAAAACTAGTTAAATTAATGATTTGTAATAAATAAGTGTTGTCTATTAAGTGTATTCATTAGAACTATTATTATCACAAATACTAACTTAAAAAAATATATATAATAGATAAAATATATTACTGAAAGTAGTATAGTATTAAGGACGGGGTAGTATAAAATGTTATTTGACTTTTATTTTAATTGTAAATATCAAGGATTGAAGGTAATTAGTATAAGAGTTAGTTGACTAATTTGAATAAATTAAGAAAATTAATTAAGTTAGTTGTTTGTAATAAATAGGTGTTGTCTTTTTTAAAATATTCTTTCTAATTAAGTGTCATCTGATAAAGTATTTAATATATGTAACTACTATAAAAACTACTTTAAAAATAAATAAATATAAAAAATAAAGTGAATTAAAATCTTATATTTAAAATTAAATTAAAAATTAAATAAACTCTTATAAAAGTAAGATAATATTGAGGGCGGGAGGTAGTATTTTTTATTGGGTTGATTCATTTAATTTTTGACTTGTTTGATTTGCATTTACAATTTGGCAGCCCAATGCATCCTTTGTTTGTTCCAATCCAATCAGCCAAACAGGCCCTTTCGAGTCATGATGAGTGGACTTCGGTCTAAATCTCCGAGGTTGCCATGGATTGCCGCGGGGTGTGGATTCTGCAACCCGCGTGGATCTGGTCTTGGGAGTTCAAAGAGGAAAGCTTTTTTGCTTAGGTTTAGTTCAGGCTTCACTTCGGAGTCGAGTAATGGCGATCATAACGGAAGAACACGATCAACAAGAACCTGAACCCCAACAATCACAGAAGCGACCTGTCAATTCCCACAAAACCAAACCATCCGCCAGATCAAGAACAAACGAACAACAATCTTTTGGAATAAACCCATTCTCTTTCTGGTTCTACTTTACTCTTTCTGTCTCTCTCATCACTCTCTTGTTACTCTCTATCTCTTCTCTCCCCCCGCAAGATACCAAGAGTTGGTTTCTCAGCCTACCCCTCCCGCTCCGCCAGCATTATTCAAAAGGCCGCAGCATTAAGGTGCAGACACGTTCTAATCAAGCACCCACTGAAGTTTTCACCGTCGAAGAGGGTCCTATAGCGTCGGAGAACGTAATCATTGTACACGGATTGGGGCTCAGTTCATACTCTTATCGCCAACTTATTAAATCTCTTGGTGCTAAGGAAGTTCACGTGGTTGCATTAGATCTGCCAGGGAATGGGTTCTCCGACAAATATACGGAAGAGTTTGTGGAGGGACAAGTGGGGATTTTGGGGAGGTTTTGGTATGTTTACAGTGAGATTCAGGAAAAGGGATTTTTTTGGGCGTTTGATCAAATAATCGAAACTGGTCAGATTCCATATGAAGAAATACTAGCTCGGATGGCGAAGAGGAAGATACTCAAGCCTATTGAGTTAGGGACCGAAGAGGTAGGGAGAGTATTAGGACAAACGATTGATACGATGAAACTGGCTCCTGTTCACTTGGTTCTGCACGATTCTGCCTTGGGATTGAGCGCGAATTGGATTTCAGAGAACTCGGAATTGATCAGAAGCGTAACACTAATAGATACATCAACGAAAACCGCAGGGGCATTGCCCTTGTGGGTCCTGGATATTCCAGTGATTAGAGAGATAGCGTTGGGGTCTTCGTTGGCGTATGCGAAGATGGTAAACTTGTGTTGCTCAAAGCAACTTGGAATGGCGGATGCAGATGCACAAAGGATACTCTTGAAAGGCAGAAATGGAAGAAGAGCGGTAGTGGCTATGGGAAAGAACGTGAATAATAGCTTTGACATCGCAGAATGGGGTGGCTCCGATGGATTGAAGCATCTGCCAGTGCAAGTGCTTTGGTCTGCTGGATGGTCTAAAGAATGGACCGAAGAAGGAAATCGGATTGCTCAGGCTCTTCCGCGTGCGAGTTTTGTTACACATTCTGGAGGCCGTTGGGCTCAGGTAAGCTCAAACTTTATTGCTCATCTCATTTTACCTCTGTTACATGTGCTACCATATCTCTGCATTATCTCGTTGTCATGAAGAGGTCGTTTGATTGGCTTCAAATGAATTACTCGAACAAAATGCTGAGCCGAAGATTACGCTTAGAACTTAGGTTAAGAGGTTGATTTTGACATGTTCTGGTCCGTTGCTGTCTAAACATGGTTGAAGAGTCATACAAGCTCGGTATAGTGGGAAAGATTTTTTGATAAAATTCATTTTGGTATAGTCTACGCTATTTTTCTCAGGTTCTGTCCATCCATTTTCTTCCATTCGAACTATAGTTTCCTCAAAGAATAACTAATTCCTGAAACTAAGCTTTAGACGTGCCAGTCTCTTGCGTGACATCCTTCTTGGGCTTTCAATTGGAGGTTCTGGCTGTATATTGCTTATAAGGGATTCGCTTGGCATGATTGGTCTTCTATTGTTCTTTTTGGGATTTTTAATGGAATTTTATCTGTTTAGATGACCTGTATTCATTCTGAGGAAGGATGATCTTGATTCTTCTTAAAATTTTTAGAAGGAGGAGTGAACTCTGTTTTTGCGCAGGGATTTCAGAATTTCAATCAATGAAAGGGGAGCAATCTAGTCTTGCCCGCGCATTCTGATTATTCATTTGTGTTTACATACATTTGATCCTGAAACATTGTTCTTTTCCATTGACTACTGAATCAAAGCTCTTCAATTTGGTGACCTCAGGAGGATGTAGCAGTTGAGTTAGCTGATAAAATCTCTCAATTTGTGTCATCCTTGCCCAAGACTGTGAGGAAAGTTGAGGAAGAGCCCATCCCAGAACACATTCAGAAGATGTTTGATGAAGCAAAAGACAGTGATCATGATCATGATCACCATCATCATGGCCATGAACACTACGGTGGCCATGGAGCTGGCTATATGGACGCATATGGGCTTGACGGTGGTTGGTGAAAAGTGATCAGTAGATTGTATTTTTGCTAATATTATCGATTACAGATATAGATGTTGGGGTCTGGCCCGTACCATAGTTATCTTATTTGCAGCTTCATGTCGTGTGCTTTGCTTTTTGAGTGTTTGACCCTGTTAAGAACTCTGAAATAGTGACAAAATTGCATAGGTATTAACGATGGTGAGGCCATTTCTTTTTGTCATGTTCCTGGATGGTAATGTTTTGGCACAATTTTGTTACCTTGTGTGGTTAGTTGATATTTCTTACACGGGTGACTACGATGCCTAACCTTGTCTTTAGCTCGAGGGATTTAGAGAATTAGTGGGCGGAGTGGAGACCTTTAGCGCGGTAATCTCAGATGATATAAATAAAAAATTAAAGTATACATTTTATCCTTTTTTAAATTTATACAAAGTTTTAATTTAGTTCTTTAACTTCAAGAAGCATATTTTAAGTTTTTTAACTCTACAATTTGTTGGTTTAAAATGATAATTTTTTATAACAATTATAGTTGTTTTGAAAATTAAACTTAATATGTTAATATTTGAGAATATTTTATTAACGTTTAAGATCTCAACATCATTATTTTTTGTTAATAATTTTAGGATTAAATAATTAAAAACATATTTTATAAAGTTAAGGGATTAAATTAAAACATTATGCAAAGTAAAAAAACTAAAAATATATTTTAATCTAAATAAAAATATTGCTTCTTGACATTTGTTTCTTCATATTTTGTTAATATCATGCTTTTAAAAGCTAAATCTGATTTTTTTTTCATATAAATTACAAATTTTAAAAACTTTGAGAAATAATATGGAGTTGAAGCTTTTTAAATAAGTAACCAACAAGTGGTTGATTGAAATGGTAAGTGGTTTCGCCTCTAGTAAAGATGAGAATATAAGTTCGGTTTTTAGAAAGTATTCTTATCGGTGAAGAAATTAACTCATTAAATGATGCATTCTATCTTTTCGAGCTCGGATTAATCGGTTGCTGGGATACTTAGTCCAATAAAAGGTCAGGGTTGCTATGAATATATAATGGATTACTGTGAACTCTATATTTCATTATTATGATGCTTATGCTTGTATCACAACGGACGAATGAATTAAGCTGGTTGAGCGACGACTGAAATAACCTCCAGTCCATCCGTTGTTGGGACTGTGGCCGAACAGACCTTTGGCTAAACCAAAAAAATAAAAAGCACCAAAACAAAAAGTCAAAAACGGTTTACTGAAGATGCCGACCAAGTTGAGCTAAGAGAGAGTGAAATGGCGAGAGCCATCAGTCCAAGCAACCGGTGAACGGGGTTGGTGAAAAGGACATTCCATCTTGAGGCCATGGGTTGCTGTTGCGACGAAGACGACGACGACATCCTCAAACATCTCATGAATTCCCATTTCCCGTCTTCCTCCGTCGAATCCCCACGCCCTTCTGCCCCCTCTTTTTCCTCTTCCAACGTAATTTCCCCTATCAATTCTCATTTCCCTGCCCTAGCCTGCAGGGACACCCTCCGCATCATCTTCCTGAAACTTCCCATCCCCGACCTTGCTCGCGCCAGCTGCGTTTCCCGATTCTGGAACGCTGTTGCTTCCGAAAGGGATATTGTGACTAGGGCCTTCCTTGCTCCTTGGAATTTGAAGGATATAGTTGGAACTCCGCTCTCTGGAAGCTTCTGGCGGGACAATGGTTTGGGGAAATTTGCACTTTCCCATCGGATTGGCCGTGGGGATAGTGTTGCCAGCCTTGCCGTCAAATACTCGGTTCAGGTATGTCTGATTTGTGATTGCGCCGTGATGGATTTTTCATTGGAGAAACTTGAATGGTTTGGGTGGATGTATCAAATTATAATAGGATATTTCAATATTCAATCTAGAAGGAATGAGAAGCAAATAATTTGCAGAATTCTCTGTTCTTAGTTTCTTTGTAAGTGTGAATTATCGCTCTATTGAGTTTGACATTGAAGATATATTTTCATGACAAAGCTACTAATATGAGTTCATGACTACTATATTTGTCTGTCTTTGTTGGTCTCGTTCTGACACATAATCTTGTTGCAGTTTCGAGCACGTGCGTATATGAGGAGTAGAATTTTGCTATATCATTTATTCTCAGACCAGTGGAAAGTTGATAATCAAAGTCACACATCATTAATATATATATTATCACATGAGTAGAATGTATTCAATGAAATGGTTGTGATCCTTCCTGTTCACTTATCAATCAAAATGGGAGGTGGCCCATATAGAGTGTACATATATTTCAAGATTCTTTTCTATCCACTGTCTTGTGACCTGAAGTCTCTTCTATATTATATTCTGTTTCCTCCTGGTTAAAGGCTTGGCGAAGAACTGAAATCACATTGCATTGACCTTCTAAGAATTTCATGTTTTGACAGGTTACGGACATAAAACGGCTGAACAATATGATGAGTGATCATGGTATATACTCAAGGGAAAGGTTGTTGATCCCCATAAGCAATCCTGATATCCTTATGAACAGAACATGTTATATTGAGCTAGATGTCTACGCAAAAAGAGAAGTAGCTGTGTTGTATCCAGATGACGTGCCCGACAGAAGAACAAGCTATTTATCCAACAGAATGTCCTCAGAAGGCAAGAAAAGAATAATCAGTTCCTTAGGGAGAAGCATGCAGGTTGATGATGAAACTGCAAAATACTACTGGTATATTTCAAATGGTAATCCTCGAGCTGCCCTTTCTGAATTTACGGAGGACCTTCAATGGGAGAGGCGGGTAGGTCTTTCCTAGTCGTTGGAAAGCATAATAAAAGGTTGGGTATCTGGCAAGAGCTAGCTTTGATTGCTTTCCTGGTAAATTAATGAGTTAGTTCTTATCGTATCATTCTCTTCTCAATTTGACTTTTCAAAGACATTATTTTAATTTAGTTGCTCCAAATATTTTAACTCAATCAAAATGGTTCCATTACTATGCAAGCTTTTCCCAGCGAGTATATAGGAGCTCAAATCTGTGTTAACTCATGGCGTGATCTTGTCTAAGTGATATTTTCTCCAAAAATGGCGTCATTTTCACAGTCATGGAATTTGCCTTAATGGCTTCGTTTTTTAGAAGTATGCCTCCTTGGGCAAGGTTCGTGTCATGAGGTACAAGTCATGTGGGCTCTCCGATGTTAATACGAGAAAATTTGCTTGATAGAAGAATCGTTTTTCGCTGGGCGAAAATTTTCAGAGAACTAAATTGGGAAGCTTGTTTTGATGGAAAACAAGTACAGCCTATCAAAGGCGGCTTGAATTGTGAATCAACTGCGATGTGCCATTCGCCACCGAAGTTGTCGGAGCAAGACACTTGCGGGTTTTGGCATGTGTGAGCCAGAATGATGTGATGTGCAGAGTTTGTCTAACGTGTAATTGTATTCAACGTGCTAAGCAACGCAAGTTCTGTAATTGTGAGCATGACTTAGCAAATAAGATGAAGCATTCAGTTGTGTTGTCGTATAGTAATTCATACTTCTGTATGGTGAAGGAGGCATAGATTTCTCTCTTTAGTCTAACGACTGCCGATCAATTCATGTCAGAACAAAAATTTCTGTACGGGATGCACGAAACGGCTCCCTGTGCAACAGGATGCAGCATGTGTCGACAGTTTCTTATGGTATTATTCTGCGGAGGTTGATAGCTGAGGTTGACGTGTTCATTCGTGCATGTAGTGCGCTACCCTCGAAAAGTTCTCTCGAAAAGTAAACATTGGTATTCTATTCTCACCTTCGGAGAGTTTTCTTGTGTTTTTGTTGGGAGCGATGTCTTCGAACTGTACAATGGATACTAAATACACAAATTTAATAACTAATTCATGAACATTAAAAAAATAATTATGTTAGTTATTTGTAATAAATATATCTTTTTTAATGCTTTTATCATTTATAGGCATTGAAAAAATCTTTTGATGAAAACTCTTAATATGTACAATGATTATAAGATTATTTAGAGGCAAAATAAAAAAATTAAAAACAAAATAGACTGAGGTTGTCAAGAAACGAAGATGAAAATTATAAGTATCATTAATGATTAACATAATACAAAAGCCCTCTTAGGGTTAATTAATCTCTCACTTGAGAGATAATCAACAATCCAAAATTATTGAGATTAGGGAGGAAAAGTTTCCTCCATCTCTTTGAAAAGGATAACATATCTTAACTCTTTAAATAGCCTCACATTAAATGGGTCTATCTCAATTAGCTAATGGCATTGTTAAACAGGAATTTTATAAAATTATTGAATCTCCAACTAATTCTCATAGGGACCAGTTGTCTTTTAGGATTTTAGTACTTCTCAAAAAAGACCATGTTGTGTGCATGTGTGTGAGCAGTTGAATAATTATAATAATGCCAGCGGTTGAATAATTATAATAATGGGTCTGGCTTCGCTTCCGCGTTTTCTTTAATTTATGGGGAATGCATGGAATGAAACACCTGGTCTTCTCCATTAGGAACGTATGTTAAGATTATCTTTTTAATGTTCATATTTTCTTTTTCAAATGGACAGCGACTCATACTCGCATCGCATATGAAGTTGCCTTGATTTGTTCTCATTCACTTGTACGGCCAAATCTGACTTCATCCTCGCTTGCTTGACTCATTCCTAGTCATCAGTCACTGATACCCCATTTGCAATTTCTTGCGTCTGAAGCCACCTAATTGAACTTATTCTTTGTTCACTTCAACTTTTTTTTTGAGTTAATCGCTAACGCTCTGCTTTAGCTTTTCTTTATTTTGTTGTTGGGATGCTCACATATATTCCTTCTTGCCCGCGTGCTTCTTTTTCACCCCCTTCCCCATTAATTGAGTCTCCCTTTAACAGATGTAATAATGTGAAAAAATTTAGAATATCAAAATCCTTATTCTTCCAAAAGAAAAAAAAATGATTCTATTCGCCAAGCAATATCCAAAGCCCATATTTAAATATTGTCTGACCTTACATATGAGAAACTTATCTCCCAACGCGTTTTTTCGTTAACAGTATTTGAATTCAAAATTTTATTTGAAAAGATGCAGAACCCATTTCACACGGTTCAACTGTTGTTGGTGGTCATTTCTCAATTTTAAATGCAACTGAAAAAAGCAGGAGATGTGAAAGAATAATAAGTTCATTAAAAGTAAGTTTAATATTGAATATTAATTTATCCATTCGTTTCGAAATTTATACATGATCATTTTTTTTAATGGAACTTATGACCTTTGATTTTTTTTTTGGACGCGATTGCTCCAAAAAAAATATATAACGGTCATTAATTGTAAAAACTATTATCATTAAACGCACTTAATAACAATTTTACATTTTGATTAAAAAATAACAATTTGACATAAAATAATGAAATTAGTTAAAATTAATCATTGTTTGTAAAATATGAAAATGGTATGCAATAAAAGTCACTAGTTCAAAAAGGCTGATTAACTGGTTAGAAATGTTGGGTGAAAATAATGAACAGTTTAAACATAATAGGATATCATATGACTTAACATGATAAGATTCCTTTTGTTAAAAATTGAGAGAATAGAATACGCCAAAAAGTAGCAGCGAAAGGTGGTGTTGCCAGCGTCAAGCCCTCTCCTATGGGGTGAAAACCAAAAAGATTTGCTGAACATGCCGGCCCTAGAAAAAAGTACCCTGCCCCTGGCTGTATCAGTTTTTTATCTGACGTGGAAAGGTGAATTTTTCTAGTTACCTGGTCCTGATTGGTGCAAGTTGGCCAGCCCCAAGGTTTGCGTTTGTCAACATGATAATTACGCGCCAAAAACATTTCTTTGACGATGTTTAACGCGACTCAAGGTGAGAAAATATTTAAGTGAGGGAAATGGCAAAAGGAAAAGGAAAGAGATCAGAGTTTTCTTTGTTGCCAGTAAATCCTTGCATTGAAAGAAATCAACCTAATTATACGTTTGGTTCAGTGGATAGTGATCAGATGAAAGGAAAGAGCCAATGAATTCCGTAGAAAGTTTGCTTGGCATGCATCAATGTGGCTCCTGAGCTCAGGTCATTTTTTAATAAAAAATTTATACTCAGATGATTAATTTTATTGTTTTAACAGTGGAATATTCAATCTCAAGGGTTCCAAAAGAGCTTCATCAAAACTTTCATTCCAAGCAATTAATGAATCCAGGATGCCGCAGTCGGATCCGCTTAAAATAATCATCGTCGGTCAGGTTACGATCAACTGGCCAAAATTTAAAAGATTACAATCAAATCATCAGGATGCGATAATTCCAGGCGGATCAATGAAAAACAAACTGATTTGAAGAGCATGGCGTATCTATATCTCTATCTATGCATCGAATTTGATTTTATCGTATTATTACAACACCATAACCAATTAAATAAGAAAACGATAATTCTCGCTAGATATTCGTGTTCAGGTGGACGAGCTATTTGAATATTTAGTCAGTCACGTTTCTTCCTTCTGGACCTTCGACGCAACAATGTGAAAGCTAATAAAATAAATAATTTATGGACCAGACAGAGAGCAGAAAACGACGGCAAATTATGATGAAGTCGTAAGCACATTAAAAATATTGGAATGATATCCGCGCAAATTGATATTAAAAAATGAGTACTATGTATCAACGTACAGACAAAATAAATTGCAAATCGAGGAGAGGAATACGTCAATAAAAGAGAAGCCATCACGTGCCTTGAATTCGACGGGCGAGAAGCGAGAACGAAGACGAGGGCAAAGGCAATATGTAACGAACCTTTTTCCTTTCCTTTTTTATTTTTTCTTTTTTAAAAAGCCGGTGGAATTTCTTCCCGAAAATACCACGCAGAACCACATCCACTTCCAAGAAGAAGAGAGCAGAGAGGAAATATTGAGATCCGCAGTGGCGCGACAAGTGGAGGCTTCCTATTGGCGGACGCGAGCTCATCTTTTCCACCTCTCTATAAATACTAAGCAGCTTCCTCGCAGAGTCACTGCAAATTCACGCTGCTAATTTAGTCGCCTCCTCCTTTTCCTAGAACCTTTTCTGTGTCCGAGAGATAGCTGTTCTGAGAAGAAAGAATGTTTCATAACGTTCTCAGCGCTCTCACCGGCAACTCCGACGGCAACGGCCACCGCCCTACCATCAAAGGGACTGTGGTGTTGATGAAGAAGAATGTGTTGGACATGAACGACTTGGGAGCTTCCGTCATGGATCGTCTTCATGAGTTAGTGGGCAATAAGGTTTCTCTCCAGTTGATTAGCTCCGTCAACGTTGACCCTGGTCAGTTTACCTCTTCCACCTCTCTCTCCCCCCTCTTCTGTTTCAGTTTGTTTGTTTATGGAGCTTAATTACCGTTTGATAGAAGAAACTGAAATCAAAAGAGAACAGATGAACGGATAGAATTAGACACTACTGTGACAAATCCTGACCCCTAATTTAGTACTGTTTAGGTGCTCAGTTTTCTTCCTTGCTAGCTCGTTCTCGCTCTCTGGAAACAGTATGATCTGTTTCTGTTCTATTCCATCATCCATCCATCCATTCTGAGTTGTGGAGCGCGGGCGATTTATCTGTCTCATAGTATGGGAGAAAATTTATTATTGTTTTTTAACCTAAAAACAACTCGTTTAAAAATGAAGGTTTGGTTAAAGTTTAGGGGCGGCGTTAGTAACTTTGAAGACTGTACTTTGGTTAGAGCAGGGCATGTTGACTGTTTTATTTTGTTGTTGAAGTCGATTTCCATGGCATTGATATTGAAATATTTTCTCCCGAATAACCAAAAAAATAAAAAATCTCCTCCCGAGTTTTCATTATGGTAGTATTTAACTGCCGTAATTTACTGTATCTTCATACTACAAAATTATACGCAAGGGTTTTTTTTTTTTTTCATGTTTTCTTTCGACTTTTGTCAGGCAAAGGGCCAAACGATATTGTGGTGGGCTGATGTAATCATATATTGTGTGTGCGTACATTTTTTAATTATTAATATTACCTCCAGTCCTAATTATAAGACCTAGTTGACTAATTTGAGGAGATTAAAAAATAAGTTAAGTTAGTTATTTGTAATAAATAAGTATTGTCATTCTAAAATATCCTTGCTAGTTAAGTGTATTGGTTAAAACTATCATTATTAGAAGGACTATTTGGAAAAATACATTAAATATGATAGACAAAATAGATTGGGGTCTTATAATTAGGATCAAATAAAAGTAAATAGGTCTTATATTAAGGACCGGAGGTAGTATTCATATTGTATTTTGATAAAGTCTCTGCTGCCTCTGAAAAATGAGAAGCTCATAACCATACTGATTACTGAAGGCACGTGCAGCGTTCCAATATGCGTTCTATTGGGCCATGCCAAAGCATGTCCTAAAAGTAAAATTATTTGTACTCGACTACTCGGGGGAAAAAAAAAAAGAAAAGTAACACTATTATTTTGTTTTTTTTCTTTTCTTTTCTTTTGTTCCAAAAATTACCAAGTCCGACAAAACAGGCATTGATCCCTCCCAAAGGTCGGAAAGGTCCAGATAAAGTCTGAGGATTTCTCCGGTC